ACTTGATATCTCCTTGCGAAAGGGTTCAAATTTAATTTTAGATCATAATATTATGATGTTATTAAAATAATTGCATCCGTGGCGTTGTTCGGAACGATTTTATTATATGATTCCATTTCATTTTAATTTTTCTTTGTTTTTAATGAGTTTACATAACTTCGTGATTGATGAAAACTTCTTAAAATAAACTTTACCCTAGTTAGAAAGTTTAATGTATGTATATATTCTGTATTTAGAGCTAAAGAAGATTTATATTAAATCGTCTATACAAAATCCTTATTGATTGCAATCGATTTGTTTTAAGACTACATCACTACTTTGGAGAATTGATTTAAAGTGTTAATTTAATCTAAATTAAGTAACACTTTAAGTAAAAATTTATCAAAAGCGCCATCTATGAATATATAAATGTATTAATATTGTATAGTATAAAAAAATAGAAGTACGGCTTATACTTTTTAATGTTACGTGACTAGGCACCCAAACAACGATATTAATATTATTGAAATACTTAAAAATTCAAATCACACGTGAAAGTTAAGATTAGCTCATACGAGGTCGTATAATTTCTAAGATTATATCGGCTCATTGTCACGACGCGATACAAAGGCATTATATTTTATGAGAGCCGGCGGCGTTAACAAATTCCTAACTTTGTTAAGATAACACGGCGCGGCTAAGCCTTCCGACTTGCGGCTTTAACTTCGCCAAATCCTGCATAATTTGCTATGTAGAAATTTTGTTACGAAAATTTTAAGATAATTATACCACTCCTAATAGCTGTGTTTTTACTTTGATTGTAAATTAATTATTTATATGATTTTCTTACAAGAAATATGTTACTTGGGAAGCATAATTAAATAATTAAGATATTTTGCCTTATTATACAATGTTATATATTTGATGTTGATAGAGGTAAGCGTACTGTTATTCGGTTCATAGCTGTTTCGGAATTTTGTACCTAATGCGACATGAAGGCTGCTTTACTTTATATTATGTTATAGATTAAATTATTCTGCAACTTTATCAATAATAACAGAAGTAACTCATAGTAAAAACATACTAATGCTCCATTTCAAGTAAAATTAAATAGAATTTAATTGAATATGAAAGAAAAATTATAATTATTACGAAACAGTTTTCATCTTTACTTCAAATAATGACAGTGACACTTTATTTATTTGTCAAATTTCCGTATGAAATGTCATGTTATTAAAAACCAACCAAAAGAAAGTTCAACAACTCTCTTTTTAATATAAATTAATATTCTGATAACTAATTGAATGAATGACTCGAATCTTTCATAAACATTATAAGAAATGGACCTTTTAGTACGTCAATTACATGTAATAAATCTATTAATTTTTGATTAAGTAGAGCAAACTCCATCAAGATTCCTTAGTGGCCTCAACTCCAAATACTCTGGAAGCGCCTCAAGGCACGAATGCCAGGCAAGACAAACCTAAATCTTATCAAGCGTCCATGTCTTTAATAAGCAAAACTGCACACAAGAGCCCAACTTACCTGTGGGCTGTTTACCGTACATATTGCTTCACGCTGTACGCAAACAGCTTGCTATATTATGAAAGCGTTGTACCGATTTACACGTGACCGATAATTGGAACTCTTGTTCTTGGCTGAATATATTTATATATGACATCTTTTAATTTATAATCTGTTAGTTTGAATATTTTATTTAAATTATTTGTTTAGTTACAACTTAGCAAAATGACGTAATAAATATAACTTCAAAGTATCATGAAACCTATTAAAATTAGAGTTTAAAAGAGTCTTTTTTTTCGTAGCGGTTAAAAGAAAAACAGTTTCTTAATAAAACTCATAATTGAGTGTTCATTGTTCTTTAAATAGAAATGTTTTTTGTATTTTACACCAGGAAACCTTACATACAAGAAACCTTACATTTTAATTCAATTTTCTTAATAGTATTTATCGTTGAAAGCTACTCCTTTAGAATTTTTTTATTCCTTTTTCATTTATAACTTCAATATTATTAGGTTCCTCTGTTTAAGTGATTTATATAAAACTGGTAAAAATATCGCTACTTCAAAGTTATGTTAAAAATTTATTAAAATTTTTACTTAAACAAATTAAATGTTCTAATTTATTATAAAATAAATATATTTCATAAGAAACACTGCAAATTAAAACCAAAAATAATAATAGTGTGGTAAACAAATAAAAAAATTTAATAAATTTAATGAACTAACTGTCAAAGTGAATGCAATTATTATTAATACTGTCAGAACGGTTTGACAATTCGTATCAGAGTCGCTGTTTGGACGATTTGCAATTATACAAAATCGGGGATGAGTCCCTTGGGAGAGTTTCATTTCATAGCAATTAGTTAGCAACAGCGGATACGTCACGAATGAAAGGATACCCCTTCCGAAAAGGTCCTATAAAACGAGATTTACTTTAAGACTGTTCGACTGTTCCGCTGTCGTGTGATAGAAATATTTATACGTCACGACACGATCAAGATTACGATACGACTTTTTCACATTGTCGTACGAAAAATAGGAATTTAAATTTAATTAAATATATAAAAGAAATGATAGTAATATTTTTCCGATTATACTACGCGAGACGAGATGACGTAAACCCGTGATCACGGTTGCTAAAAAGTAACAAAAACGTCGGGAGTATGTATTGTTTTAGAATAATAAAATACGCGTAGTATCCAAAAAATATTAGTTTCATTTTAATGAATACTCGCGAAAGTCTTAGATCTCATAATATAAAATAAACTTGTATAGCTACCAAACGAAATATTTTATTTAAATACATACAAAAAATCAGCAATTACCTGTATAATAGCGTCTAATAATAAAGCAGATGATTTTTTTCAAATGTCGTATTGTAGGATATAAATGGTGCCGCCAAAGAAACAGCAACTTGCTCATCTAAACCGAGTTGTCGGGGAATCTGTAACAAAACGGCCATCCAGCGAACTTCAGACAATAAACAAAGTCGAGATAAGCGAGTACCGAGCTCATTGTTCTGTAGACTCGAGTCTGGGGAGCCGATTGCTTGTGAAATAAACTTCCGCTCTCTAATGTGGTTTTTAACGCCGATTGATATAGACTTTTCGCTAATTTCACTTAATTTCTATAACACATCTCAAAAAGACCAAATCTATTTGATTGTATGAAACTATAACTGTTATTAATTATGATGAACTATAATTAAAGTTTTATGGCAAAGTATTATCTCACAAAAATGTAGTAAATAAATTAGGTATTGGAAAAAGTATTACAAGAGGAAAAAATTAGACAATCAAGTATAGTGGCAACCCTGAGCGAATTAGCCCATCGAAAGTTCGTTTAAGTAATGTCACTTTATCGCCCTTCCCTTTCGAGACGACTGAAATGGAGCTAGGCGTATACCTGTGTGTTAGAAAGGGACAAAACACAAACGATAATATCCTATAATCACAGTTTTGTTTTCCAATCGCTGCTAACGATTATTGGCATGTTATTTGGGCGTCGTTTTGAAATTGCTTTAGTGCCCTTAGATAAGTCGTTAGGAAGTACAATAAAAAGACGGAACAGTGATTAGTACACTCCAAGGTGATTTTACAAGTTTTCCGTACTTACTGTGTTGTGCTGTCAAAAATATTTACAAACATTAAAAACTTCAGAATAAATAAAAATAGGAAATCCAGACAAACGTTGAGGTGTTTCAAAAAAATTTTACATACATTAAAATTCAACCTTTGATTAACAAAATTTTGACGAAAAACAGTAACAATGATAATAATGAGTACTCACCACAAAGTAAATATGAGAGGTTGGATTTAAAATTGCAGATTGGCTGGCAATATGCATATCCTTCACTAGCTAGCTTAACTTATGAATATTCATATTATAACAGGAATTATTGATTTAAGAACTTACGTGTACCAGACTCATAAAATCTTTTTGTTAATAATTCAAATCAAAAAAGAAAAGTAGCACAGAGTACATTACATCTTAATAAAATGTTTTATTAACATTTCTTTTTATTACTAATTATTGTAGATTTATTAAAAAGTAACCAATAAATGTTTGTAGTATTAAGAAGTCATAAATATTTTTTGAATGAGACTAACATATCATTATATTTACTACAAAATAAATGCATATTCATTCTTCCTCTATTTCATAATACACACTGTCATCCCATTTCAAAATGTCATTAAACCATACATAATACAAAAGGATTTTCACGAGAGCTTAGCGTTTAAATTAGTTTATTCCCCTATAGAACCACGACGAAGGGTTGCAAAATTTAAATTACAAATAAAAGTACTGAAAAATATCTACGAGTGGGTAGTGCCTCTATAACGACATCCTTTAATTAAAACGGATAGGGTAATAAAGCGGAATAATCCTAAAACTTTGATTATCCGATAAAAATTATACTCATATTAGTTCTGACAGTTCATATATTACGGAGGTTTTTGTATATAGCAACACTAATATTAAAAATGTCAGATGTAATCAAATATGAAGTTACATTGATCATTGATGGAAATGTTCTCAAGATTTTCAATATTGGGTCTCTGGATCATGGGGCCCGATTTCCCAAGCATCTGTCACGGACGGAGGCACGATTCACTCATCTGTGGCAGATGTACCATATTGAAATATGCCAGCCGGTTGACCGTCTGCCGGTCACGTAATTGCCCTGAGGAATATTCTCTTCAAAGTACCTGTATTTGAGATACACGCTTCGCTGGTCAACAGCAAATATTCAATATGTATCCATGTGATATTATTGGATACTTCAGATGTATATAGCGCGAGTTATATGATACAGGGATATGGGAGTGATAATATTACGCACATTTTAATATTTGTGACTGTCATAAAAGGATTTATGTGTTGTTAATACATTATATTTATTCGTTCATATTATTATAATTATTAGTACATATGTTAGTAGTAGTTATTTACAACTTATCTTAGAAATAATTACATGTATATATAATTTTAAAATTATTGTCGTCTATTATAAACGAGTTTGTTAATTTCGCTTGGTTTTGCCTGTTTTTTTTCTGGAGGTGAATAACTTCTGGAATAATAAGTATCGTCGTAGGTCGCGTATTTTCTGCTGCTCGGTTGGAAATCGAGTTCGATGTAATCACCTTCCTCTCTCCTCACCTTACTATTCTGTTGGTTGGAATATCTTGGGTCTTCGTATATAGTTATGGTTTGCTTTCTTCGCGCGACCACGGGGGAATGTCGTGGTAGGTCTGCCACTGGGTCGGATCTAGATTCACCATAACGATAGCCATATCCATGTTCAGGGTCATGGCTGAACCCACCGCCGTGGCGTATCCCATGGTCATCGTAATATCCTGGTCTGCTGTAATCATTTTCCCACCTTGGATCCTGCTGCCATTTCGATTGATCCCAATCCCGTCTGTTCGCCCAATCTCTATTATTCCAATCCCAGTTTCTCCGTTCCTTCCAATCCCAGTCAGGGTTGTGATGAGGTACAGGAGCTTTGTGTTCGTAGCGCTCATGATATTTTCCTCTGTCGTACGCTCCGTGATCGTTGCCATGTTTATTGTAATGATGTAAGTTGTCCGATAAATATTTATTTTCATCATCCTGGTATCTTAGATGTTTGTCAGCGACATCTCCGTACTTATTGTGTCCCCTAGAATTGTAATTATGTCGTAAATTGTCGTGTTCATTATTACGTGAACCTTGATAATTTCTGCCGCTGTGATTATCATAACTATTAACTTTACTATTGTATCCGCTTCGATCTCCCTCGTCGTTGAAGTCGTCGAAATAAGTGCTTTTGTTTGACGATTCGTCTTTATGATAGGAATTTTGGAAACCTTGTTTATGATGTCCCTTTTTATGTCCAGTTTTGAAACCGTCTGTATGACTGTCTTCTAATTTATCTTGTTTGGTATTATATCCCTCGTAGGCAACTTTATCGGATGCAATTTTGGATTCATGATCTTTCGTCAAAAACTTTGAATCATCGCTCGATTTAGAATATTGATTGGAATGTATGTCTTTAATTTCACTGTCGATGTGATGATTCTTCTCTTCTTTTTCTTTTGATAGTTTGAGTGATTCTGAATTATCATTGTGAGCTATATCTTTGAGATGTTCTTCCAATGCTTCTTTCACTGACGACGAACAGATTTCCGTGGAAAACAGACAAATACTCAGCAGAAGTATATAATAGCGATAGAGTTTCGGGATCATTGCATTACACTTTAAACAATCTATTGTCAGTGATAACCGATGGGAAAATAAAGAAAATGGTAGGATCAATAGTTTTATATTCACTGTGAGTGAACTTCGCGGTAATTTGTATCACAATGGCAGGAACCACAGCCAGGGACAATGGAAGAACAAAACATGCGGAACACTTGTCCGTGACACCATGGTCTAAAACCATGAGTACATGAGGTAGCAACTCTTCGAAAAGAGGCTCTGAAAAATAAACAAATCAAATGCTAATTGAATCTCCACTCACTTTAATTAATTTTTTTATATAGTAACTAATATTACAAAAACATTGAATCTGATCTTTTATTGTCTCATATTTTAGCAAAATAAAACATGAAGAAAATGTATTAAATTCTTGATAAATTTAGTTACGTACTGTACTCTGTTTACAATACTGTTCTTTCATTAATCTCTATGCAAACATGCTTTCTTTGAACTAAATCAAAAATAATGTAAAATATACACCGCAAGCCAAAACAAAATTGATCGATAATATGGATTTAAAAAAGCTTTGAATCAATAAGGTGTAACTAATATTAAATATTTTTTATAAGACATACATATAAAAGATATCAGATACACAGACGTATTACTGTGTTTACTTTTGCTTAATGTTCTACTTTTAGATTCAATCCAGGGCAATCAAAATGTACGTCACACTTTAAGTGGGAGGTAGGATATCATCGAAGTGTGACATCGTGTCATAAAGGGCATGGAGGGTCAATAGTTTTATGACGTCACATATTAAAATTTAAAATACTATCATGTAAAGTTTCGATTTGAATTACAAATTTTAAAAAAGTAAGAATTAGATTTATATTTATTAATAATTTAGCATTCTCGTTGTGAGGTAACCTTAAGGCGGCCAACTTTCCGAAAACTGAATGCGGGACGTAACCTTTCGTGAATGGCGGGGGGGGGGGGGGTAGGGATTGGGAATGTCATAAAAATCTTCGCAACTGCCCATATTAAATTTAAGTACTCTCTTACGCGTCATGAGTTCAGAAGAAAAAAAGAAAACGAGATTAAAGCGGGCGCGATACGCTTGTCCCTATTATAGGTAATCTGTGTTCCTGCACTGTTGACCGTGGGCGCGTATGGGTGTTGTGTAGAAGTGTGGTAATAAAATAGGGATGCGGGACATGCGGGACGCATACAACGTTTTGCGGGACTATTTTACGAATAATTTCAAAGCGGGATTTCGTCCAGCATTGCGGGACGGTTGGCCGCCTTAGGTAACCTCACATGTAACGTCATTTAACTTTTAGAGTTGCGTTTGCAAGTGAGACACTCAAATTCACGAGAATTTTGATTGGTAAGGATTTTAATATTTTTGAGGTAGTCCGAGCGAATCTAATGTAAAAAATAATTCCCAACTTTGAGCTTTGAAATTAAGCATACGAATAAATAAATACATCATTTATTTTATCTTAAAATTTTATAAATATTCACGGTTTAGTTACATATTACATTTTAAATATAGTGTGTCGTTATAAAAATATGATAACCTGTGACAGGAACGTGGAAAGAGGTTCAAAAGTCTCCTTAAACTGTTTCTCTTGTATACTTTAGAGAACTCATTTAACACAGAAAATTACTAATAATATTATATTTATAATATATTAAGGAAACACACTTTTTATTTGAACCGAACCTTTAAATTCCCGAACGCATCCGAAGCGATATTAAAGCTATGACGCTTACCTTGTTCTCTTTTACGCGCGAAAGCATGTTGTGAACACGGCTTGTATTATTGTAAATAGAATTTAACTAATTTAAGGTGTTTTGGCTTAAGATAATAAGTAGTTTGCTCTAATTAAGGTTTTATTGTTATTTAAAAGTACTGGCTTTATAAGAAAACTATATTTTTATAAGGATTTTATTAGAATCCTTAATATATATACATCTCTTTTTGACGATAACCTGACAATTTCTTTATCCAAACAGATACCAAAATAATAAATTTTATTTCATTTTTCTTGAATAACTGTCAAATCAATACTTGTCAGTTGGAACTGTCTTACACCCACATACATACATACATTAAAAAAATGGCGGAATAGGTAAAAATCAAAGCCATTGATAGTATTCTAACTTCTTTTATTAGATAAAAAATATTTATGAAAAATACTATTATTAACACGCATCCTGAACCTCGGTTTAAGCTAAATTAATTTTATAGGTAACATTATCTTAGAACTGTATTAAACTTTTATATAAAACAACTGAAATAAATACTTAAAGAACTTAAACGATTAAAATGCTTTCATTAAACAGGACATTATCTTAAAACAGCAATTCTTTACAAGATAAAATCGTATACAGATTTAATTTGGATGTATGGTTTGTTTTAGCCAAGTTAATAAAAAAAAAAATTAAGCAATGTGACATAAAGATTGTTATTTACAAATGATCAAGTCATTTCTCAAGTCCGTTGACATTAATATTCAACATGTTTATTCTGTTCTTCAATTCCTCAACAAGTTTATCTCTCGGTACCTCGTCTTCTTGTCTCGTAACTATATTTCTTATTTTAACCAAGCCACGTTTTAATTCCGATTCACCCAATATAACAGCTAGTGGTATACCATTCTCTTCGCAATGTTGCAATTGGTTTAGCATTTTTGGATTCTTCTTGTATGGCTGTTCAGCCTAAAATGAAAGAAAGGTATTTATTTATTTATTTTATAAGGAAGCCAACATAATGTACAACTATCTTAGAAAGTACACTACAGTTAAAGGCTAACTCAGCATGCATTCACAAAAAAAAATATATATATATAACAAAGCAACGTATTAAATAATAAATAATATGAAATAAAGTAGAACTATTTTGTAAGAGGTATATGGACTATTCCGCAGATATTATTTACAATTAGTATATTACATCAAAAGTTTAAAGTTATTTTTTATTTTATAGGATTTTAGACTATCGTTATATATATCAATACCCACTTTTTTAGAAATATTATTATAACTTCTAAAAGCCCTATTTAAAGGTGCCTTTATTCCTAAATTTGTTCTTGCAAACCGACACTACTATATTAAATTCTTTTAGTAATTGAGGTCAATCAATTTTACCTGATATTATTTTCTGTAAAAAGCATAAGTCAAGCATATCTCTACGATTTTTAAACGTTATCATATTGTATTTTTTTAATAAAGCATCATAATCTATACTAATATTATAAAGCTGAAGAGTTTGTTTGTTTGTTTGTTTGTTTGAAAGCGCTAATCTCCGAAACTACTGGTTCGAATTAAATGATTCTTTTTGTGTTGGATAGTCCAGTTATCGAGGAAGGCTGTAGGCTATATAACATTACGCTACGACTAATGGGAGCAAAGATATAGTGGTAAATGTGTAAAAAACGGGAGAAATTATTTCATCTTTGAAGCCTTCCGTTGCGTGCGCCGTGAAAACGGTTCAAGATACACAAAAAATATGTATGAAAGAATAATAGCTCTTTTAATGATCTAAAAAACAGTCCGCGACAGTATATGTCTATCTTTTAAGATTAACTCACAAAAACCGTTTATATGGTACCTAATTTGGTCGAAATAATTTGTTAAAGTTGTATCAACATAATAATATTAATCTTTATTCAAATAAACAAATAAATATGTTTTTGGTTAAGAGTACTTCATTGTGAATCAAAAAAAACATAGGTTTTATCCTGAAAATTCTACGGGAACTCGACCATTCGATTCGAACTATGTGGGAAGAACCAAAAATCTGCCGGAAGTCACTATTCCACGCGGACGGAGTCGCGGCAGAAGCTAGTATAGGTATATAGATTATATATTACTTTTATCTTTAGTTTATATTTTAATGTATGGTAAATGAAATTATTATTATTAATGATGTCCACAACACAATTATGTATAATTATATTATTTGTCAGGAACTTTCTACTATCATTATTTGATACAAGGCATAATAATCAACCATCAGCGACATCTATTATCTGTTTCGCGTAACTAAGACCAAATTCAACTATTAAGATAAGTTCCCCTATAAACTAGAAGGCATGAATGGATAAATGAAAGCCCAAATGTTGTCTTGATGTATAAATTACATTATAGGCAAGTTTTACCAAAATGTATTACATATATTACTAGCTGACCCGGCAAATGTTGTTTCGCAAAATAAAAAAATAGGGGTTGATGGTAAAAAAGTAAAATTTTGGGTTGTATGTACTACTTAATGCTACGTTATAAAAAAACAAACAATTATTAAGGGTGAAAAATAACCCTTATAACTTAGGGGTATGAAAAATAGATGTTAGCCGATTTGCAGACCTACTTAATATGCTCACAAAACTTCATGATATTCCGTCAAGCCGATTCGGAGGAGTATAAGAACAAACATTGTGACACAAGAATTTTATATATAATATTGATAATATGTATTGTAATATTTGTTATCATATAATCACCTTAATACCAGCATCCCACAGTTCATTGCATATCCTCATTCTGGTAGTTAGGAAATCTTTCTGAGCGGATGCTACATAAACATCTATTTCAGAAGGCCGTACACTCAACTCCCCAGCCGCTAAACGAGCTTCTAGTACTGAGAATACTCGCTCCACACCCACACTTATACCAACACATGGAACCTGGAATGATTAAGCCAAATTTCAATTATCAGCATTCTTTAAGTAAATTAATATGATTATATCATATTAATTTATTGTAAAGTAAAAAAAATATAATTTAGTTTTATGTGTGATGTTTAGAGTTAGTGGTAACTGGTTGTTAGTGAAATAAAATTTATGTATGAAATTTATTTTGATAGGACAATATAATATAAATTATTATACAGCAAAATATAAATTGTTATACTTTTTTAAAGTTTAATATGTTGACTGAAGAATATATTTTCTATTCTATGAAGTGTTCTAATGTTAAATATAGTATACATTTATGTCATTTTTAGAAAATAACTAGAGAAATATACAATGTAGAAAACTTATAAAGATAAAATCTATCTAACCATATGAAATATTGTAACAATCTCCATTATATGATTATTTAATATATATTTAAAGTTATTTAATTATATATATAGTAGTCACCTGTTTATTTTTGGTGTCAAACATCCCGACGAGGTTATCATACCTGCCCCCGCCAGCTATCGAGCCAACACTTTGCTCTTCACCACCAATCTTGATCGGTTCTGAAATAGAATATATTTTAATACATTATTGATAATAAGGTCAACAAAATGCAAGTTTGTAATAATATATATAACTGAGATTACATATGTATTGATTTTATAATGAACTACAGTTTTAATGAAACTACATTTATTCATGATATCTAATAATATAAGGATTGTTTTATTTCAATATTCCCTCGGGAATATAGCCTTTCATATAATGAGATCTAAGATTTTCGCGAGTACTCATTGAAATGAAACTAATCTTTTCGGATTTTTACTTCGCGTTTCTATTTTTGATTATGAACTACATACTAAAAACGTTTCAGCTACTTTTCAGCAACCGTAACGTCGGTAGTATGTTCAGTCAGTCAGTTCATAATCAAAAATAAAAACGCGAAGTAAAAATCCGAAAAGATTAGTTTCATTTAGCTTTTTATATTTTGTAAATAGTCCTGTGCGACTTTCGTCAAGGGCGCCACCGATTGGCTACATAAATATTTTTTTAATACTCATTATAATATACTAGCTTTCCGCCTGCAGCTTCGCCCGCGTGGGGTTCCGTTATATCGCGTTTCCAAGAGAACCTTTCAAAAGTTTGGGATAAAAACTATCCTTTGTTTTTTCTCAAGGTCAACTCTATCTCTGTACAAAATTTAATTAAAATCAGTTAAGTGGTTTAGGCGTGAAAGCGTAACAGACAGACAGAGTTACTTTCGCATTTATAATATTAGTAGGATTTGTTGTTTGAAAGAAAATTTAGTAGTAATTATTACAACTCACCGGTCAAAACAGCTTCATATATAATGCCAGTATAGTAATCCAGACCTCTAGCAAGGCTCAGATCAAACAGCACCTTATCCTTTATACCATAGAGCTCACAATACTCTAACAACAATTTAATCCCTTGTAAACCTTCTACCGCGCTTTTAGACTTCGATAGTTTTTCATCTTGAAGCAATTTATCCACAAGTTCCGTACTTCCGTTCAACCTTACGTATTCCCCGATACGATCAGCTGCTTCCGGTGTAACGCCTTTCTCATTGATCATTTCCGTACGCACCTCTTGCCATGGTGACTGAAATATTAAATTTCTTTAATACATATATAATTAATATATTATTATAAGAAATTACTTAAAAATTGTATATTTAAACTATATTTTATAGTTTTTTTACAAGCTGTTATGTCTCTAGGGATTTTATTGTTTATATGTAGTGAATAATAAAACCCGGAAAATATTATTCTGTATATGGTAGCTGGGACAAAACAAATAAAACATTTCCTTAATATTAAATCATATCAATAGTCTAACTTCTAGATTTAATTATAAAAAAATCTGCCAGAAGCCAGAGCTGTAAAGTAAAGCAGTGATAAATTTTGACACCTTTCGTAATATCATTATGACAAAAACTCTTACAAAAGTATTACAACACTGTACTATAAAAAAAATCCCATAAAAACACTGAAACATTTGGCCTTTCTGTTATAAAGATCGCTCCTACAAAGAATTATATAAGAAAATAGTAACCAGATTTATATAATATGTATACTGTACTGTAATGTAATGTACTGTTATGTAATGTGCTGTAATGTAATGTAATATAATGTACTGTAATGTAATGTAATGATATAGAAATTAATAAGTCAAAAGTATTTCAAACATTATCAGCATTCTTTGAGTAAATTAATATAATTATATCATAAGTAAATTTATCGTAAAGTAAAAAAAATATTAATTCAGTTTTTACTAGATTTGATAACCAGATGTGAAGTGAAATTAAATTTTATGAAATTCATTTTAATAAGAAGATATAATAAAAATTATAACACAGCATTTGTAGGTTGACCAAATATATATTCTATTGTATGAAGTATTCTATAATTAAATTTAATATACTATATGTTATTTTCAGGAAATAAATGGAAAAATATACTGTACTGTAATGATTACCTTATCAAGTTTATCTATCGTAGAACATGTAGAGCGGAACTGCTCTGCCGGTACACCACAAGCTTCAAACATACCATCCAATAAACATCTGTGATTCACTTTCAGTATGTACTTTCCAATATCCAAAGAGTCCAATATCTCGGTAACAACTTTAAGACATTCTGCGTCAGGCACCATCGGGTCAAACTGGCCGGCTATATCAAAATCCTGAAAATTATATAAGATTATTATTAATTTATGTTCTTCTTCTACCTGGCAATTTCCCAGCTTTAGCCAGGGCCTTACATTTAAATAGTTTTGGCTATTTGTTTTTACGACCGGCTGCCTGCCTGACATCCAACCTTTTTGGGAATGCATTAATTAGTGATGTCTAAATATTCTTAGAAAGTACATATGACCAGTGGCGGCTGTACCTTAAGTGCACTCGTGCGCTGAACCACCAATTCAAAAGATTTAAAAATACCAATTATTACTTCATCTTTATTTTTAAATTACCATTTTAATATTTAATTTTTCAACATATAAAAACGTATAATAAATTAAATTTCCTAATTATGGTCAAAAGTTTTAGCGCTTCACTAAACTCATCGTGCGCTGCGGCGAGTGCACGAGCACTCCTAATACATCTTGTATGAGATACGCATTAATACGCCTGACGCGTGAGACAAAAGATAGTTCATAGAAATGTACCGAGTAATGAGTCGGTTCTCGCGCGCCGCACGGCCGAAGATTACCGAGAGTCCCCGATGTATGTACGAATTGAGCCGGCCGGCAAGGGCGCGAAAGGATGGGTGCTATGATTGACATCTCGTTATTTTTTGTAGCATTTTCGAATTTTAATATTTTAGTAAAGTGAACCACCGGTTCGATTACCCACCGGCCGCCACTGCATATGACTCAGACAAATCACATTGGTACTTGCCAGGATTGAACCTGCGCCCTCATGCATGAGGCGGGCCTTTTAACCACTAGACTACCACTGACATATTATTATTATTAATTTAATTTATATATACTGAATTTTGAATTATTTTTATTATATACAGATCAATGTACCACTTGTATAACTTAAATTGAACTTCAACTGAGTTATTTACTCACTTAAATTTTGTTATGACCTTGTCATTACATTCGCAACTAATGCTGCTACTTTCATTTAATTGCTCAATGTTTTATAAAAAATGTTACAGTAACATAAATATAAACTGGATTAATGATTTCTTCAATATATTGTCATATATTTAATTATATTTGAAACCAATACTAGCACTATTCAATGATGTATATCCCTTTTAATATTATAAATGCGAAAGTAACTCTGTCTGTTACGCTTTCACGCCTAAACCGCTGAACTGATTTTAATGAAATTTGGTACAGAGATGGAGTTGACCTTGAGAAAGAACATAAGATAGTTTTTATCCCAGACTTTTGAAAGGTTCTCTTGGAAACGCGATATAACCGAACTCCACGCGGACGAAACTGCGGGCGGAAGAAACTGAGCTAGTATATATTATGTTTATATGAATGAATATTTAACTATACTCACACATTGATAAAACTCCCTATATCTACCCCTCGTCATGGCTGGATTATCTCTTCTATATACTTTAGCAATGTGATACCTCTTCAAGTTATTAATCTTATTCATAGCCAGATATCTCGCTAGTGGGACTGTAAGGTCGTACCTCAATGAAAGAATCTCACCGCCTTGATCTTTCAAATCATAAATCAACTTGGAGTCTTCGCCGTATTTGCCGGTTAATACTTCCTGTGAAAGTAAATAACATTTGAATAAATTTTCACACATTTATATGATAGCAATGATTAGAATACAAATTTGCTATTTTCTTATTTTGAACACTCTGTATAGAATATGAAGTAAACAAATGTATTAAAAATATATGACTATTATATTAAAAATACCTTCAACTCAAAGACAGGGGTATCAATACATTCTGCGCCATGTTTCTTGAATACTGATATAATTTTTTGCAGAACGCTATTCCTTATGGCCATCTGTTGTGGGTTATAGTCCCTCGTACCTTTAGGTGTCTTGAGAACAAATTTTTGTGGCGGCGCATCATTGGTGAGCTGGGCTTTTAAAGCCAATAACTTAGCGACTTCTTCTTTAATCTGTAAATAATTTAATAACTATTAAGTATAACATTTTATAAGCACCTACATTTCTTATTAAGCCAGTGTTTCTACAAGATACCTTGCAATAAGATGATGTTGTAATAGCTCTAGCTAGATTGCTCTTCCATGTGTTACACAACCAAAGCTTTGAACCGATATCTATTACTTTTAATGCTTTGTACATGCTGAATTATAATTTCGACACAATATGATCCCTCGTCACCACTGACACCGGATATGGAATTGTAAGAAAAAAAATTATTCATATATTTAAATCTATGTCACGCTATTTAGTGGCAACGAAGCAACCATATGTGGAGGTTCATACAACTCAGAAACTAATCTAAATAACAAAGAAAACTAACTAATAAGAATTCTAACATCAACTTTATATTGAGAACAAACCTTTTGGTCACGGTTCTGGTTGGTATTTAAAATTAATTTTACAGCATCTGGAGGTTTCATAAAAGGAAGTTGCGTTATTTCAGAGTTGCTGAAACTCCTCATATGGCACCACCAACGCTTAACGTACGGATATCTCATTAAATCTACGTTTTTTAGATTATTATAAACTTCGAAATCTAATTTACTAGGCGTATAACCATTGATATAGCTGTACTGGGAGATATATTTGTCAAATTCACCGAGATCTTGAATAGAATACTCGTTTATAACCTATAAAACAATTTTCCGATTGAGTGATGTGGTTAGAGTGACGCAATGTCATTGTTCAAATCCTCCTGCATTGCATATAAGCAAATATAATTAAGCATAACACAGACTCACCTTCTCGGATGATTCCTTTTCTGCTTTCAGCTTTCTCACTAAATCTCCCTGCTCCTGAATTTTTTTCAACAATATTTCATTGTGTTCTGCCATAATATAAAATCAAATTAAAATAAATTTCTAACAGAAACGAACACCGCGCTCAAGGCTATGTATAACGACTAAGTTTCTAATGACAAAATGATTGGACCTAAGGCTTTACTCTCGATCGAAACCTTTCATTTCACTTGGTGAATTGGCGAACGTAAATTTAACCAACAGAGCTAAATATGTATGTGACATTGATAGGTTAACGTGACAGGAGACAAATCTTATTTGTCTATTGTTCTTTATGGATTAAATCCAAAGCTCTATGACTTGTAATATATTATTTTTGATAAATTTTATAATTTATTGCAGCCTTTATTAGACGATAAACAAGGACATCCTATCAATTCCTACTCTTCCTAAGTTTTTCTGTCTATTTTTTGTATTTTGAGAGGTTAAAGCATTAAACTACAAGTTAAGTTTATGACTGCCTAGGAAGCGCTGAAAATTGTTTTATAATTGCTAAAAGAAAACACTGCGTCAATGTGATTAATTTATTTATCCTTTAAAAAGAAATATCTTACCTTAAATTGTGTTTTAAATATGTCCGTATTCGTTATCGATTACCAAATAAGTAACTGAAAGTGGATGATATTAATAAAAATTAAATAATTTAAAGAAAAGGGATAACTCTGACAGTGTAAAAGAAAATAACCACTGCATAAAAAAGTATGTACTCATTCCTCTTCTTGTTTGATACCACGGTGTCGTCAATATTATAGTAGGTTGTATTAACATCATATCGAAATATTTGCATAATAATATTCTATAGGATTTTGAATTACCGTATGAAAACCATTATTTAATAGGTATATATTTTAAAAACCCTTTTATACGTAAGTTTTACTATTACAAAGTTTCTTATAAGCATCGGCATCTAGTAACATTTCTAATAATTTATTAACACAATGTCAATGTCAATAATGTAAAAATAATCGCAAACTATGGGACATACCTAGTTATATATAATCAGTCATCAGTACCAAATTATTAAGAACAAAACGTTTATTTTAATATACAGAAACTACAGCTTTAGTCATAAAGCTAGGAATTCAAAGTATCCTATATTTAATGAGCAGTTGATATGTTACTATTCCAAAATTTAAAATTAATATTAGATTTATAACACAACTATCATACCTCAACTACACTGCGATTTTTAATAAAATGGATAGATTTGAATACATAGAAGCCAGACTATTTGAAGGAGAAACGTATCTCAAACGAGATAAAAATGTGAAAATTTACGATGGTGAAGATAAGGTGAGAGTAAAAGTATTAAAATCGAAACTATATACTTTTTAACATCATTTTTATTTTGTTTTGTGAAAAATTTCAGACCCAATTTGTAGATGGAGAAATTGTTCTAACGACTCACAGAATACTGTGGGGTAAACCTGGTGATATACCTAAGGGGCTTATTTGTTTATCACTCCACCTATACTATATATTCTGTGTAGAAGAAGAAAGTGGAGGTGTTTTTGGTCTTGGAGGTCCGAAACGAATTATATTGCACCTTGGCCCAGCACTTCCAGGTAACATGACTTTAATTTCGTAACATGACCTTAGATTTTTAATACTATGAATAATTGTTAAATCTTAATATTACTTGTACAGGTAAAAGACCAGGACCGGCTGTAGTGAGTCCATTTCATTTCATAAAATTTTCATTTAAAGATGGAATTGATTCTGTATTTTATAAGGCGTTAAATGATGCTGTCGCTGCGAAAGCCTGGCAGATAGAGACACCTAATAATTCTAATTTATCTTCACCTACAAATAACACACCCAAGACCTCAACATCGCCTATAACTTCTAAAATTCGTTCCGGTATTGTCGGTATCGAGAGAAGTATTGAAGAACAACATAAAGCTACTGATCAAAGTATCAGTGTAGCGTTCCAGGATTTAACTAAACTCATGGAAAAAGCTAAAGAAATGGTCACAATATCTAAGACGATTTCATCTAAAATTAGGGTAATAATGAGTAATGATACTAAAATTTATACATATTAGGTAAATATTACTGTTAGTTGGTATATTGTGTTACAGGAGAAGCAAGGTGATATATCCGAGGATGACACAGTGAGATTTAAATCCTACTTAATGAGCTTGGGTATAGACGATCCCGTAACCAGAGATGCATTTAGATCAGACTCGGAATATTACACAGGTCTTTCTCATCAAATTGCAGATATGATGGTGGCTGCCTTGGTGGTATGTATAAGTTATGAATTATTTAATTATTACACTAGTTTTTTTTTGGTAAATAATTTAATATTATTGTCATATTCTTATAAATATTATTGAAGCTTGTTTAATGTGTTTCAGGATTGTGGCGGCATCATGTCTTTAGCCGATGTGTGGTGTAGAGTGAATAGGGCTAGAGGTTTAGAACTCATTTCGCCCGAAGATTTACTGAATGCTTGCAAGTATGTTTTTTACTTTTACATATATGGAAACGATAATATAGATATAGAATATATATATGTCTTTAAGATCACCTATGCTGAAAGATTCTAAAGGTGTATGCTTTGTTTCAAGACTTGGTATATACTAAAGCTTTTTTTTCTATTACTTTTTTCAGATTGTTACAAACTATTGATGCTCCAATGTCCTTACGTAAATTTCCAAGTGGCGCGTGTGTGTTACAACTAAATAGTCACAGAGATGAAGAAGTTGCAAAAACAACAAGTGAACTGGTAATTTCGTTATTAATTAGTTATTTCAAAGAAATATATATTCAATGAGACAGCAACTAACATTGTGCTGATATATTTTAGTTAAAATGTAGATAAATATATTGTTTTAATATCCACAGCTCGAAGAAAATGGCTCATTAACTCCAGAGAAGTTATCTCAAATAGCGCATGTTTCCGTCCTACTTGCAAGAGAACAACTATTCACAACTGAACGAATGGGCCTAGCTTGCAGAGACGAATCTATTGAAGGATTGGCTTTCTACCCTAATTTGTTTCTAAGCAAAGTGTAAATAACTATTTATTTAAATATATTTTATAATAAAACTATTTGAATTTATAACACCCATGTTAAGCATAAATATTTTATTGAAGCCAGTTTACACTCTTACTTTAAGTGATACAAATTTAAGGCCTTACTTTGATATCTTTCCTATAAACCATCTCAAAATAACTTTCTCGATACACTTATATAAGATATGAGCAAAATATTAAGCTTAGAAGACATTTTACAGTGTTTAAATGACTAATATTCAGAATTTTTCATATAACTTCTCTATAAGTATAAATATTTCACATACACTTACTAAATGTAAGCAACATTTAATTTGAAAGCTTCACTTATTTTACCGATACTATAAACCATATCAAAATAACTTTCTCAATATTCTTATATTTAAGGGATATAAACTAAGTATCAAGCTTAGAAAATATCTTACATCGGTTACACATTAAAGATCAAAACTGCTATATATATAAAAAATATTGTGATAAAAGTGCAGTACATATATTTTAAGGCTTTTAATAATTTTACTTCTTTTCCTAACAATAGATTTTTTATGCAAAATCTTAGCATGTCATAAAAGCATTTTTAAAGCTTTATTATAAATCTACATGCGATAAAAAAATAGAAGTCTTATTGTCATAACAGAAATTATTTTCTCAAGAACTTTATGGTGGCTAAAAAAATTTTTTTGATCAAATAAAAAAAAACAACTCTTTTGCACAAACACAAGGGCATGAAAATAAAAAAATAAAGCCTAATACTACATTTTATTCTTATGGAATGTTAATACTCGATTGCACTTTTGAAATCCTTTGGTAATTGAGTGTGTTTGCCGCAGAGTTCCCAGGCCTTGAAGTCATCACAGGATCTGATGCTCTCAATATAACATTCAACTCCTCTTACAAACGGCAACATCATCTGTTCATTAATAATTTCTGAGAAACGATGCATATAGCATACATTCCTTGCTAAACTTTCTTTGATTGTAGTCGATAATGGTCTCTCGTTACATTTAAGTATGTCCAACTGGAATAATATAAAAATTATACTCATTTAAAACTATTAAATTAACTATTTATGTTTTAAAATATGTACAAACCTTTTCCTGAATAGTATTAAGTCTCAAACCGAGATATGTGTTGAGGCATTCCGACAAAGACTTAACATTGTTTGGAAATCGGCCTGTCTTATTTCTTGTAATTATCAAATCACCAACCTGAAAAAGCAAGACTTAATTATGATTTGATACTTCTTGATACATAAGTATTAAAACAGTCAAAATGACAAAATCAAATTACATAATATTGGTCAGTATAGCTTATAGAAAAAAATTACCTGAGTATCAAACACTGAGTTTAATTTAACATTATGCTTATGATATAAGCAATCTGATATTTTTCTACAATCATGGACAATCTTCTTGGGTTGATCGCTTTCCAAAAGTTTCTTTAATCCTGCATCAAAGGCGTGGTGCTGTAGTACTTGTATATCAAAAATATATATTTGTGCTGGTGTAGAAAGAACTAGAAAAGGCAATTTACACTTTCTACCCATATTACCACCATCTGTGCTGATACAAATGAAGCTATACTGATTCAAATCTTCTATAGCATCATGAAAACTATGGTCAATTTGATTGATGAAAATATACTTTTTAGATATTTTCAATATATCTTCACATTCTTTCTGAGTTATTTTAAGAAATGTTTGTTCATTTGGCTCTTGTAACTTCACAATATTTCTAACCTCCGCGTCGTAATAGTGGCATACACCTTCATTTTTATCAGATTGCGGTGATTCTTTGACTTCGTACAGAGATATTTTTGACTTATCGTTAGTAATGCTGTAAAATCTGCCTTCGATGACTTCACTATTTTTTGTGTGAAGTTGAAGAAGTTCCCCTTTCATGTATTGATTGTCCATTTTTGTGAATATATCAGTATGCGATTAAGTACTTTAAGAAATCTTTTTGAGGGGTTTAGACGGTTTCTCCGATTCACCGTAGGCTTTGTAAATATAGAGGCCTAGAGTAACATGTAACACGATTACCGCTACTACAGCAGAATATATGCTACTGGATACAGCTTCAAGACGAAACACAGCATCGAAAAGTATCAATTTAGATACGAAAAACGATACTACCGGCACGATAATAATGAACAAGCAGTATTTTATTACCGTCCGAAATACTTGAAAATCGGGTAGCTCCTTAAAGGAAAGACAGGTTATGATTAAAATCGATTTCAAGGCATAAAGAAATGTATAGAAGTTATTGATTTATTCATGAGAGACTTACATTGGCTTTTCCTTCCATCATCACAATTAATTATACTTCTCACTCTCATCGACATTAACAAACTTTGTTCTTAATCAAATAATAGACTAAAAACGCTGCTTTAAGGAAAAATAAATGAAAGTGTTATGTGGAAATAGCCATAGACAACAAATTTCAATCAATATTCCGTGTGACCATATCTTAAGGCAGGAATACACCGGCTTGTAGCATTTTTAACACATTATATTAGTCTATTGGGTAATTTTGTTGGATTAGGAAGCCATTGTCTAGTTTTATAGTTATAATTTTCTAGATATAATATTGCACATTTGAGTATATGCAGTATTGGCAATGATTAGTTTTTGGAAATTTTTAGAATCCTTAGCCTGTAAAGTCTTGGACAGTACCTATCCTTAATATGTTACATTATTTTTCATAAGCTGGATTGTCATGCTATTCACAAAAGGTGAATATATCACTAATACTATACGTTTTTGCTAGCCACTTTGAATATACATATTTTTTGTACTATATATGTATATTAACAAGTCACCTTTTTGGGAAAATTTAACTGTTTATAAATCCTCTGAAAAGCAGGCTTTCAAACTTCATCACTTATCCCCCCTCTGGCAACATTTTTCATTGAGACTTTTTCTTCTATAGCTTTCAGCGATAAATAAGGCTGAAAGAATTTTTCAAATGCGAAAAATAGCTAGGTACATACACTTATTACATATTATTAAGAAATACAAACAAAATTATTATGTATTTTGCTTTACAATATCTGCATTGTACCTGTACCAATAAACCGTCTAGACTTGTAGAGGCGAATCTGGTAAAGAAAATGTTCTGTTTTATTAAAGGCAGTTAAAGACTAAAATTTTTCACAAATTCGTGTTCTATGGCATAAAGTTGTGATAATAGGTACATATTGCATTGATAACTAATATTTATATTTCAAATATGATAATATAATGGTAATTAATTCTACTTTTAGTTATAATTTTAGTACATTTGTTAGTTTATTGAATACAATAAATAAATATTAACAAGAAATTACAATACATGTACAAGTTCGATATAGTCTATAGGCCAAAAGCGATACACACTTGCCACAGTTTAAAACTGTTAATTTTGAAATAAATCTGTAATGCTCAATGACATTGACCTAAAATGATTTATAAAAAGTATCTAAAAACATGAAAAAACTATTACGAAAGGAAACAACTATTCTCTGATTCGTGGTATTCTTTTTATATTCGGTTTCATAACTGGGATATTTTTATTATATTATATATAATGGACTTTGTTACCACTCTCACAAATTTACGGCACGTTGATCATGAATACCGGTGAAAAATAATGATATTAGGGGTCCGCTGTTTAAAAAAAAAGTGAATTAATATTATTTTAATATATTAATAAATAAAACACCAAAATGTGTGCGTATTCATTGTTTATTCTATTATTTAGTCTCTTATTTGAACAATCTTGATAATTACGCATTTTGATTGATTAATATAATTTTGAAATATGAGAAGGATTAAAAAAAATTACATTGTATCGTAATATACTAATATAAAATAAAATATTTTTGTAAAATCAATATTAACTTGGATTTTTGCTCTTCAAAAGAGTATGTAATATATAAAATTATAAATGTATTGTGAATTATCCCTACTAAAATTATAAATGCGAAAGCAACTCTGTCTGTCTGTCTGTGCGTTACTCTTTCACGCCTAAACCACTGAACTGATTTTAGTGAAATTTGCTACAGAGATAGAGTTGACTTTGAGAAAGAACATAGGATAGTTTTTATCCCAGACTTTTGAAAGGTTCTCTTGAAAACGCGATATAACCGAACTCCACGCGGGCGCAGCTGCGGGCGGAAAGCTAGTATAATATAAAGAAAGTATATTTTTATAGTTTTAACAAATGTAACTTATTATACTATTTTATCTTTTTTTTTAATCAAAAAGTTACGTAATTATTTAAAAAAAATATTGAATATACGGAATCATTTAACATAACATAGTTTAAATTTCTGCCAATGGGTGTTGGTACTTTTTAAATTATATATAATTATTCATAGTATATTTCAGAAAGCTAGAGAAATGTTTAGTATTACATCCTTGTCCTTATGATGAGTAACGTCCTCTACGGAGTCCTAATATCATTATTTGTAAGTGTATATTTGTATTTTAAAATCATACATTGCATGCATATTATATCGGAATGAACTATTTCCAACAGATTGGGAATTATGGTACATTTTTGGACCTAAAAGAGGTACAAAACACTATTACACGGTGGAAGAATAAAAACTTGCTAAATCTTAGCGAGGTTAGATAGTTTAATTGAATTCGTTTGAGTATAACTCAGTTAGAGATCATTTTAATAATTTATAATTATGTTCTTAGGTAGGTGCAGCAACTAATGGAATTTTCGATTTAAGCGATGTCAAGAATAAAATACTTCAATGGAAGAATCAAAAAATAGCAGCGCTATGTCCTTCGAATGGGCAAGTTTTTTATATTCATAATGCATATTAGATGAAACTAATATTTCTCGAATACTACACTTCTACTTGTAGCAACCGTGATCACGGGCAGACAAGACGAGATCTCGTCTGCCCGTTAAAAATAATAAAATACGTTTACTAATCCAAAAATATTATTCATTTAAATGAATTCTCACGAAAGTCTTAGATCTCATTACACATATTAGAGTTGTTTATCTACCATTATACTATTTGTTTATATACTATTTGTTTCTATATATTATTTGTTTCAGAGCCAAACTTCAATATCTTTTGAACTTAGCATGCAGCACAGCTCAGCCGACAAACGTAACTCTAAGAGACTCTTGTATATCCTGTTTCTCAAGAGTCACAGCTATGCCTGAGGTGGGTCGTAATTAATAATTAATCATCATCATCAGCCTATCAGAGCCCACTGCTGAGCAAAGGCTTATTTCTCACATGAAGAAGGTTTGAGCATTAATCACCACGCTTGCTCAAGACGGGTTGGTGATATCAAACTTATAATTGTGAAACTATAAGTCCACGTTTCCTGATCATGTTTTCCTTCACCGTATGTCAGTGGTGTCTAAATACTCTCAGAAAGTACATATGACTCCGAAAAATCACATTGGTACTTGCCAGGTTTGAACCCACGCCCTCGGCAACGAGAGGCGAGCCCTTTATTAACTATGCCACCACTGACGTTAATCTTCTATCTTCTATATATATATAAAAATGGATTGCTGTTCCTTAGTCTCGCTAAAACTCAAGAACGGCTGAATGAATTTGGCTAATTTTAGTCTTGAAATACTCCTGGAAGTCCAGGGAAGGTTTAAAAGGTGAGAAAAATTGGAATAATTGCCGGGAAAACCCTAAAAACAGCCCTTTTCTATTTCCCATACAAACGTTTTTTTTTGACATTAGATTTGACAACTAACTAATATGTCAATCATTCTGTTTGATTGAAACAGGAAAAACCTGATTACTTATGGCCTCTAAGACGGAATAGAGTTCGCCTGGTCAGCTATACCTACATATATTACTCTTGACCAAACTAACGCGGACGAAGTCGCGGGCAAAAACTAGTTAATAATGTTTATTTAATTTCCATTTATATTTACACGTAAGAAATATAGTTTAAAATATAATTTATCTATTTTAAATCTTTTACAAAATTAAATATGTAATATCTAAGGTAACATGTAATTTTTTGAACATTAAACATTATACAGTTTTGATTATGGAAAAAACTACTTAGTTAGTAGATAGTCTCTGCCCCCCACCCCTTAAAAAGTGTAACAGTCTGACAAAAAATTTAAGACGCCTGAGTCGTTTTCTATAGATAACATTTCGCCGTTTCTATATTTTTTTTTATTAAATTCGTTGAATGTACTTTGATAAAACAATCGTTTTACAGCTTTATCGATTTTATCGATGGGGTGCATATAATTAAATCCGCTCAAATTAGCTTAATAGGTATATAAATTGTATCATAGACATACTTGTCAAAAACGTGATACTATAAGCATTGCTTCTACTTGAAGTCGTTTCACGAAGTGGTGTTTTTTATTCAAGACACAGACAGACATACATATTACATCGCGGATCTCAACATCAGTGATCAGCCAACTCGTCTAATAACATTGTGAAAGCTATATAAATACTATTAGCCCAATGAGAGGCTAATATTATTTGTCCATAAAAAAAATGGATAGTGTGTTTTGGTATATTTATTAGTCATACTTGTTACTTGTTTCGCGACGCATCTAAATATTAGTCTCAAATGGGAACTGTCTATTTTCCATAATGGGGATCAATTGCAAAAGTTTTCTCGAGGATATTTAAATAGAATATGCAATCAGAAAGTAAAGAACGAAATGTCCCCTCAGCACCATTGAGTTTCTAAATAAACATGTTGTTTTTATTAAATTATTAAATGTAAATTATTACAATAGTGGTCAATAACGTATTCTTAGCCTACTTTTGCTGAGCAATGTGAAAAGGATGTTTTGTTTTAAATTTTGCGAGGTAAATTTTTAGTCTATAGAAGCTTTCTCGTACGCGGAGACGCTCTTAATCTCTTCGTTGTTAAATTCGTCACATTGTATTTTAAATTATATGTCTATATATAAGTATATATATTTATGTATAGAATATTAGGAATGGTTCTATATGTTATATATTATTTTATCCATAGAAATTTACGAAAGTTATTTTTATACCAATGCCTAAAACATTTTTGAACAATTTGAATATGTTTAAGGGTCCTCAAGAATTAAGTGCGTTGAGTGTTTGCGCTGTACAGTATTTTACGAATACTTCGTATGCAAGTTGTGCAACGGCGCTTATGGTAAGAACTTTATTTTTTGATTGCTTTTTTAAAACTTTAGAAAAAAAATCTTAGAAAGAAAGGTTTTTTTTTCAGGCTTTGTCAACCTCAGCATTAAATGTTCAGCCTTCCGGATGTTATATGGGTTACTGTGATTTTGTTAGATGTTTACGGCGGACGAATTCTAATAATTTGGTATGCTACTAATGATTGTATTACTATAATTCTAAAACTTAATTTATTGATCTAAAACTTATTTTCAGATAATTCAGTGCACTAGAGAAGCACGTACTGGTGTAAACATAACTCTGGACAGTGACAATGTCAAGTTTTACACAAACGTGACTTCGTGTATTTTGGCAAAAACGCGATGCGGTAGTTTTAATCCAATTACTGGAGAACCACAAACTCCTGGATACACTTCTACAGGTGTGAGAGTAAGCAATTCGCTACAATTCTCCACAGCTGGTGAATTGAGAGTGATAGCCTTCCCAGCAACAACGCCAATTTCATCTTCTTTTTGTTCATCTTCAAATAATTTAACCCAGTCTGATTGGTTGACTAATGTGTGTTAAGAGGTACAAATACACTGAAATATCTTAAAAATTATAGAATAATAAAAAAGACGGGACCGTCATTTTATTTCATTTACCAAATCAATAATTCAAAGAAGTAAATTAATTTTATTCTATTATTTAAAAAAAATGTATAAATGGAAATGTTATAAATACATCCTTATAATTTTATAATTACGGTCAAATATAATGAAAGAAAAAAATCCTTATCAAATGTCATAAAAACACTTTTTAATAAGAATCGAGTAATATGTTAATTCCGTAGATACCTAATAATTTCAAAATTAAGTTTATCATTTCAAATAAAAAGTCAATGTCATGTCAATGTCTGACATTTGTCTAGTTTTTTTAAAAGTTCCAAGTTTAAAAATGTTTTGGTTAGGCTAGTGGATAGTTTTTCGTATATCGTATGAGTGTAAATCTAATATAATAACGGTTACTTCATTAAAAACAGGAAAGAGTAAGTGTATTTTCATTTTTTTTATTTATATTGTAACGTTTTTAATATAACTCTAAGAAAATTGAACGCATTATCTTAAAAAAATACTTGATAAACTAATTCTATTACGCTACGTAGAAAAAAATATCTTGTTTTCTCTGAGAATTCCAAGTATATGAAATAAGACAACATTGCTCTAGAAATGATAATAATAACTTTTTTTTTCTGTCACAAAAAGCTTCCTAGAGATATTAAAAGCATGTTCTTCATGATTGAACCATTTCTGTAATCTTTTTATCAATAAATAAATGGTAATTGGGTACAAAGTTTTAAGTATAAAACCTATTTTTTTCATTTTTATCAAAAGAAACAATTGGAGAGTTAATTTTATTCAAACTTCTTATCTGTTTCTTTAGTTTTTATGGTGAAGGGAATGAACTAATTTCGATATTTTTCTCTTTTCCTATATTATGTATGTGTATTTAGGAAATGTTCCTATTAAATTAACATTTCTTTCATTATATTGTCTAAAATATTTATAATAACATTTAAGTAATAATAGTTCATGTCATAACAATATCTTTTTGATAATATTGAGATAACGTGACTTCCACCGAGTAATGTGAGATTGTTTGCTTTTTACTTAGTCAATAATTGAGAAGAAGTAATTTTAGAGTTTTTTACAATAAATAATTATAACAATTTTTGGATCTTGGGATTAATGTTCCGTTTTGGGAGCTGAGCCAGCACCGATGTTGCTAGTAATATTGTTCCCAGCGATCAGTCAGTTTTGCTATTCTAACCTACTATACATATATTTAAAAAGGTTTTAAGAGTAAAAATTATTGAAGTACCATATGATCTTTATCATTATCATATTTTTTTATTGTGATCGACCTGCACTTTGTTATGAAATAATAATAAAAAAACATTTTTTATCATGTTCTATTTATCCAAATGAAATAAAATAAATAACATTTTCATTCCATTAAATTGCTAAAAATTTATTTAAATTGCTAATATATTTATTAAATCATTAAGTTAGTACTAAAAATATTACAATCATAGTTTGTCGAACATTCTATTATTTTTTACTAATTTGATTTTATTTTTGATTCTGAGCTACCTTTTTGCAATTTATTTTTAACTCCTCTATTTTTTTTCTTAACCCTCTTGGTTGTCTGTATAGACTCATCTGATTCTGAATTATCTGTTCTCGTAGATTTACTATTTGGTTGTTTTGTTTGGATAGCTGTTGCGACAAATATGCCTTTTCGGAATGTTTTCGCCTGTTTACTTTGAGTTTTCTGAGTATTCCTTGGTATTTCAGTAAAGCTTGTGTTGTAAATTTGATTGGAACTTTCTGATTTCGTATGTTTCAATCTGAAAAAATAAATATTAACTTGTTTTAAATCCTTACCTCAGTAGTAGATATGTCTTGAATGTAATAAAATAACTTACTTCCCCCTTTTCTTGTTACTTTTTGGCATTTTTATGATAGGTTCCAATATATTTTCAGGGCTGGGAACTTTTATAGACACTTTTTTAGTTTTTTTCTTCTTTTTATCATCTTTTCTCTTTTTTCTTTCCCCTTCCAATTCTTCAAGTTTCTTGGAACATGATCTAGTAGAAATTGATTTCATTACAAAATGCATATTAAAAAATATATTATAAATAATTAGTATTAAAATAAATACCGTAGCAGGGCCTCACTATCTGTGAAGTATGAATTAGTTGCAAAACTAGATATGCCCCATGATAGTGGTCCCTTTTCATCGTCTGGAATTCCAGTCCATATACTTTTCTTTAAGACATTCAATTTGACTTGTAATTCAGCCGGCTGAAGATTCCTAGTTTTTTGTTCAGTTATAGATCTGAATAGAAAAGAAAATGAATTCAAAATTTATATTTTGAGGATATTCTCACTCAAATCAATCTTATGTGATGTTAATAAAATTAAATGAATTATTTATATAAAGTTTATGATAATTGATACCCAGGTTTCATTAATTTTTATTACTAGAGGCATGCCTTGAAAAATTTGTGTCTAAAATGTCATTATAATAGTATCTTCTACCTGGCAATTTCCCAGCTTTAGCCAGGTTCTGCCTTACATTTTGTGAATAGTTTTGGCTAATTGTTTTTACGACCGACCTGCCTGACATCAACCGTCTTTGAGAATGCATTAATCAGTGATGTCTAAATACTCTTAGAAAGTACATATGACTTGGAAAAATCACATTGGCACTTGCCAGGATCGAACCCGCGCCCTCATGCATGAGAGTAGGCCTTTTAACTACTAGGCCACCACTATCATTATAATAGTATTTACATACTTGTGAGCTGGTAAATGACGAAATTGATGCCACGACGCTGGTTTTAATTTAGTTTGTTCTACTGGTTCCGTTATCATTGACAAACTCCTCGGTCTTATGCATTTAGAGGACTTCTTCTCTTTGTCTGAATTTAAAGGCGAGTCACTTGTCTGAAATATATATGACTAAGTAAACAACACTTTTATATAATTGGAGTTTTTATTAGAATATTGGCGTTAGAATCAAAATAAGGGATTTCGGATTTAAGTCGTTTTTACACCGAATAACGCGAATATATTAAATACTTCTGTTTCTTACTGGTGCACGGAATATTTTTAGCTCGGGTGGCATTTTCTTTTTTCTTCTAGTTTTTGTTTTCCCCGACGGCTGTAATAATTTTCTAACTCTCCTTAATGGACTTAGATTTTCTTCTAATGAATCACAATCTGATGATGCGTCTGTCATAGCGTCGGACGTCATATCAATAGTAGCTCGAGAGACCTGGAGAAACAAAGAAGTCAATTTTAGCCCTAAGGTCTGAAATTAGTGAATTTTTTTGTAGATATATACCCGTAAAGTTTCCCTTTTCGTCTTCTTCTTTTCGATTTTTGGTATTTTCTCTAGGAGTCTCTGTTTTCTGGATTTCTGCCGAAATTAAATCAGTGAGTGATATAGTCCGTAAAAGTAGAGTTAATTGTAGTATACCTACGTCAATAGCATTTCTATTAATCTCAGGAAGAATAGGTGACGGTGGCGGTGCGAGTTGCGTAGTATTGCTAGATCCTCTTATTACACCCGCTTCGGAACTACTGCTCGATGTATCACCTTCATCACTGTTACAAAATTACTTTTAAGAGAAAACTTGAGATTAACTTTCTTTAAAGCATGGCAAAAAAATTGCTCGTAAACTAAAGACTGTACCAATGAATTTCGAATATTAAAAGTGAATTGGAAGCTTTAATGTCCTTACAGCGCACTCATACTACCCAATTTTGGCTATAATATTTTTTAACAGGAGGATTGTGTCATCCTAAATCAACCACCCAATGTATATTTATAAAAATATTATCATTTGGAAGTGATAATATTTTTCGTAAATTGTAGTGAAGTAGAGTTGAGTTGAGATTTAATTTTAGAATAGAATTCAGATAGCTACTTTCTCAAATCATTGCTGTATAAATATACGTCGATATAGTTCCATGTTAGTCTAAAAATGAAATATAAAAAGCTATTAGCTATTTCGTCCCTGTATTTTTTATAACACCAACCTAGAATAATCAGAAAGATCAATGTTGGTAGGTTCATCAGCGTTGGATCCCTCTTTTAGTAAACGTGTGACTATCTTGGTCCTCAATCTTTCCTTGCTCGGATTTTCGTCACAGAAATCAAGTAATGTCTCACAGAATGTTCTACCCAAACTCTCGTAGTCTTGAGCTGAAAAGTGGGTGGACATTCTACTGCCTAGTTCTGACCCACCAAATGAAGCTTCCATTGTGTAGCTATTGGCTACTCCTAACATCCAAATTACTACACGAGCTGTTCCTTCTTTACTGCGTTGAATCCTAAACTTACAATTCTCGAAGGAAAACTAAAAAAATAAACATTTTTATTCACTATGTTTTCGTGGTACAAGACTATGAAATCAATAATGAAGCAGTAGGTAGATATAGTACCTTATCGGCTGCATTTTTATGCAACATAAGTGGAAAGACCTGTTCCTGTAATCGTTTGTCTGAGTTCTTCCGACTCTCGCATCCGTATATGAATATATTATGCTTTCTAGAGTGAGCGTGCAAATCCACAAACATAGCTACCCCGCATTCCTCCTGTAACCTAAAACTAATCAGTTAAAAAAGCTGAAATATTTGAGGTATATTCTATTGATGAAAAAGCAGTTACCTTCTAATCATAACTTTGGTATGCCACACTGAAGGGTATGTCTCCCTTATAACTGTGCGGTACTGTCTGTTTAGGTCTTTCCCAGTTAGGGAGCAACGATTATTTCCAACAATTACCTTAAACAGACAACAATAACCTCATCATCATCAGCCTATTGTAGCCCACTGCTGAGCAAAGGCCTCTTCTCAGATGGAGAAGATTTTCTTGCTCGCTCAATGCGGGTTGCGATTTCAAACTTATAATTGTGAAATTTTAAGTCCAGGTTTCCTCACGTTGTTTTCCTTCACCGTCTGTCGGTGGTGTCTAATCTTAAAATACATATGACTCGAAAAAATCACATTGGTACTTGCGAGGTTTTGAACTTCCGCCCTCATGCACGAGGCGGGCCTTTAACCTCGATAATAATATATCTTCTTCTAACTGGCAATTTCCCAGCTTTAGCCAGGGTCTGCCTTACATATTGTGAATGTGTCATCAGCCTATCAGCGCCCACTGCTGAGCAAGGCCTCTTTCTCACATGGAGAAGGTTTGAGCATTAATCACCACGCTTGCTCAAGACGGCTTGGTGATTTCAAACTTATAATTGTGAAACTATAAGTCCAGGTTTCCTCACGATGTTTTCCTTCACCGTATGTCAGTGGTGTCTAAATACTCTCAAAAAGTACATATGACTCGGAAAAATCACATTGGTACTTTCCAGGGCCAGGATCGAACCTGCGTCCTCGGCAACGAGAGGCGGGCCCTTTAACCACTAGGCCACCACTGACTAATAATATATATGAAATGCTAATTTTGTAATTTGTATATTCTTAGTAAGTTTAATCGTAAATAACTCACGCCATCAGGATTCAACATCGGAACCAGTTTGAATATAAACTTCTCTCGTAATTCCCTCGCCTGGTTCGTATCTCCAGTCAAGAAGTCCATAAACCCTTTCATCATCCACGATGAAGGTGTCTCTCCTGGATGCACCCTCGCTGTTATGATTACAGCTTTCTTTTTCTTAAACAAAGAAAATATTTTTCCTATAGTCTTCATAAATATTTTGAAGTACTTAGTCAAAGTATTTCAGTACCTTTTGTTCAAATTCGTTTGTATTTTGGGGGGAGGTGACTGTCAGGTAATAGACATTATTACCAGCTAGTGTTCTACAAAGAAGTCTCAGTTTTGAGTATGTAGATTTTACTGGATGCGCCTGTAATCTTGATAAATACTCTTGTAAATCTGAATATGTGTAAGGATAACAATGTGATATGTACACAGCGTCGTCTGTGTGCGGGAATTCTATATTGAATGTTAATGTATAACTTGGAAATTGTTCTTCTTCTTCACATCTGGAAAAGATTATTAATATAAAAACACGTCACTATTTTCAAATTGAATGAAATATTTTGAATGATAGATTTTTTAAAATATTTCTCTGAAATATGAAGTAATAAATGAGATATGAGACTTTAGCGAGTATTCATTTAAATGAAACTAATATTTTCGTATTATTATCTTGTCTCGTCTGCCCGTGTTCAAGATTGCTTCAAAGTAAGTTAAAAGTCGGGAGTATGTAGTTTTTTAGAAATATTAAAGTATTAGTTTCATTTAAATGAATTAATAAAATTTTGCAAACTAACATAGAGTCATTTTTGTAATATGCAATATTGTCACCACAGCGTCGCCAGCCGATCGAATGTAATTGCGCGTCTTTCGTAGAATATAATAAAGGTCGCATGCCCTCATTATACAAACTTTCAGGTTTAGATAGATTCACAATGGAAAACCTGAAATTAATATGATCATCACGCAAATACATTATTAATTAAAATATTTTGTACTAAATCATACCTGTACATAGTCTGCTTTCTAGTGTTGGTTACTCTGAAATAAAACCATTGCATATGTCTATTCGTGTAGAGGTCAGTACGTAGGTGCAGTTCGTAGTATGCGGACGTTATTTTAACAGCCTTCGCTAAGTTACCGCTCTCGAAACGTGACTCGAAACGTAATTCGTCATCGCCACCGGCTGTCGTGCAAGCAGAGAGGAATAAACGGGACCCTCCTACAGTAGAACGACTGAACTGGAAATCGATACACATTAATTTATTATTTGTACGTTTATACTTACGTAACTTTTCATAAAAATGTAATAATTAGGCACTGTTGAAGCTCCTTTCCCTGCAACGATGGACCCGGCACCCACAAGGTGAATCCATTGAATGCTAAGAGATTTCGTCTTTGAAGATATTTCAAATCAAACTTACGTAGTTAACAGCACTCATGGGATAATATTGATATATAACAGTGCCTGCCTCCTCACCAACCGGTTGTGGTTTGAGTTCTTTACCACTGGACACGTAATATGGTTCCGGTGACGCTGGACTCCAAGTTATATGCTGAATTCTTTCTTCTACAACCTATAAAATTCTCTAAATAATACCACGTTCTGACCAATTAATAAGAACATTATTGCACTCACTTGACATTCAGTTGGCCACCTAGGAGCTTGTTGCGGACAGTCCAATTCTTTTGGTAGAGCAAATAATTCCCGCGGCTCTTTTAATTTGGCGGTAGTTTTAAAAGTTTTAATATCCGTATTAATTTCCAACTGATTTGTCTTTATATTGTTTTGTAGAAAGTTTGTTATGAAAGTTCCTGTAATACGATCGTAAGCAACTTTTGTTAAATAATCACAAAAAAATCTATAAAAAGTTATAAGTAATTTAGATTTAAATGGTCAGTCATAGACATTTCTCTACCTTTATTACAAATAGGAAACAAAGAAGCTTGTAATGATTTAACTTGATCTATGTTAGCTAGATATAAATTATCTTCTAAAACCGGGTCCCTAGTACGTAATCTCAAAGTAATAGTCGTGTTATCGACTTGCTGCTGTTCTTCTCGTTCCAGCATTAGAAAATTTTCTTGCACGCACTCCAGCTGTTTCCACCATAACATATTAAATAATTAAATAAAATTCTCAATATAATTGATACGTCCTATCGCGACGCCACCTTAAATAATCTGTCACCATGGCTGCTAAATTATTTTGATTGATATCGTCAGTTTTTTGGAGGCATGTAGGCTGGCGGTGGTTTGCGCGCACGAAAGCCAACTGAGGTTATTATATGATGGCCCAAAGTTATAGCGTTTGGGAGAAAGCCCTATCGTGCTTCGATCGGTTACCTTTTATCAAGTGATTAATGACGTCAGTACTATTGTATTACACTGGTCGGATTAAAACTCACCTTGTCAACTTCCTCTATTATACCTACGTTTAGAACTTTCTACACGATAATATAATAGAAACTATTTTTTAAACGGCTTAAATAACCGCTTATAATTTATTTTTTTCTTTATATTTTATGGAGCTTGATACATATTTTTGTGTTTTATTAGAGATTCTTAAATTTAAGAGTATTATTCATTTCATACCTACTAATATAAATAAAATTTTCATTGAGACTTTAATTTAATTAATATCTTACCGCTATCCTCATTGTTACTTAGTTTTCTTGCGTCTTCGTTTATTTCGTTATTTATGACTGTCATTGTCTTCGTGAATATATTTTTTTATTCTATTCGTTTAAATATCCAAAGTTTTTCTTTCTAAATCCTTTGCAAATGAAGAGAGTATGCATGAATTCTGTTTCAACTTAATTGTCCTATATGTTGAATAAAAATTCCGAATTAATATGAATAAATACGATAAGTTCAAAATAATACTTAATTGTTATCTTTTTACAATTATTACGTAATTTTAGTAAGGAATCTTGTTTATAACTTTGCGAAAAATTTAAAATCGACTAGTGAAAATATAACTTCACAGATTATATGGTGTAGCTTCGTGAAAGTCTGAAAGGTGACTGCACTTCCAAGTAACGTGTGAACTTCCATGAAATATTAAAACTTTCGACTTATCGCTACCCACTAATAGATGAATTCGTTGAAAAAATGTTTATTATCTTCCTACTAATCAGTAACCTAACCCATTAGCTTTAGTCCTATTTATAACTCTAAGAAAAATCCTATTTTAGGCTGATAAAATGATTAATAAGGATATATTTTATATAAATATATATAATTCGGCGATATTTTAAATGTTTTTCCAAATATTAGGACCATTTTTAATGTTTAATTCACATAGAATTCTTAACATAAATCAAGCAAACTTTAAACCAATTAAATATTTTATAATACTGTTACTTCGAAATATTTTTCTTGATTTTGTTGTTGTAAATATTATATATAATATTACGACGCTTTATCATGGTTCTTTCATGAAAGTCGAGATTTTTATTAAGCAATTTAGTCGCTAAGGCAACATGGTAGCTAATCGATAACTCATTTCATATACGGAAAACATCAAGTGAGTATTGTTTAATATTTATAATAATTCCAATTATTAAGACTTCTTTAAAGTATAACATACATGAACTTCAATTTTAAGCTTGTTTAATAACTTCAGATTCTTTGGTAATTAGATTTTAATTCAATAATAAACGGTTCCTTCTATTTTCGTCGTGCTCTTATTGAGCCTTATCGTATGTCCAATTTTATTATATTTATAAAAATAAATTAAATAAAAAAAATTAATAATTGAGAACTATAAGTCACATGTAAAAACTATTTCACTTTTTTGTATTGTATATATTATGTAAATTGTGTATTTATAGGGCATTATTTTAATAACTACGTAAATATTAACTACCCTCAACTTCATCTGGTCAAATTGTTTATTAATCATTCACTTAACATGGATCTAGTTAATATGGTCTTTAATATAAGCTTCATGGTTGTTTACCATAAAATACGATATTCAATCCATTCAGAGAGATTTATTTCAAAACTACCTTTAATATACAGGGTGACTGGTGAATTACTATCGATATTTGAGGACGTGATATTTGACGATCATATATGACAAAATAAAAATTAATATAACATAAATATTAATAAACTTCTAAGTAAAGTTAACCAAAAGTTATGTAATTAATTACGCATCGTATGAACACCCTACAGATTAGGTATACACTCTCACTCACACAGACGCGTGTCGCGACGTAGTGTTGTATCAGCACGCCGCCGCACGCCTCCACACTTGAACACTTGGAACGTATCCACACTTAATTTATTTATACGGAAATTTTGTCAAAAATTAAGTACCTATTTTTTTTACATAATTCGAATGAGAATCATGTACAGAGTATTCTCCTTAAATATTGATAGTAATTCACCAGTCACCCTGTATATATATTATGGTTCATTATTCATTGTTTAAGTCGTGTCTTGGGTGCGTAGACCTCTCTCAAGTGGTAGGGCGACGTGGGTGGTAGCAGCTGGCACGAGGTGGTGCCGATCGATCCCATGTCATACTCTTCACTCATCAATGAAAACACAGCTTATGTACAATTCTCTATATACAGGGTGACTGGTGAATTACTATCAATATTTAAGGAGAATACTCGGTACATGATTCTCATTCGAATTATGTAAAAAAAATAGGTACTTAATTTTTGAACAAATTTCCGTAAAAATAAATAAAGTGTGTACACGTTCCAAGTGTGAACGCGTGCGGCGGCGTGCTGATACAACACTACGCCGCCAAACGCGTATGTGTGAGTGTGTGTGTATACCTAATCTGTAGGGTGTTCATACGATGCGTAATTAATTACATAACTTTCGGTTAACTTTACTTAGAAGTTTATTAATATTTATGTTATATTAATTTTTATTTCGCCATATATGATCGTCAAATATCACGTCCTCAAATATCGATAGTAATTCACCAGTCACCCTGTACATTAGTACATATATATGTCGTTCAATTGAGATTACTTATAATGTAATACAAAATAGTTTGATTTTTAACTGACTTAAAGATGAGATGCGATTTAGATACATTTTTTTTAATTAATAACTTCGTTGATTTAAATGTTATGCATGTTAACTTACATTTGTTGTTTGTGATTTGAAGGAAACAGTATAAAATCTTTAATTCGGAAGAACATCATTTAATACTTATTATTATTGGTTTGGTTTACTATATGATTTCAATATCTCGATATACAAGAGTTTTTAAAAGTAATTTTCTTTTTCAGTAACTTCTATAGATAAAAATTCTGTATTGTCATTTATTACATAATAACTTACTAATAGAATTACGTGAAACAAAAGATTCCAAAAAATATTTCAATCCCTTTCCATTTTAATGAAACCGATTTTTATTGTTTAAAAATCTATGTATTTCTATCATTAGATCAACAAACTTTTGATGCTTTTTCTTTAATTTTTTTTATCACTGATGAAGAATTTCGAGAAAAAGAAAATGTGTTATGATATTTAGTACTCATTTCTATTTTTTTACTGAGTTAAATCTCCGAGCATAAAAGTAAATTTTCAAAATATTTCTAATAACTTTTTAATGAGAATAACCCAATAAACCAATGGCTAATAATACTAAGTCTTGCAAAATAATTTCATAATAAACAAATTATAACAGAATGTAAGAGAAATTAAATAAAAAAAGAATTCTGTCTGCTATTTGGTTACAGTTATTTTGTTTTGCATAAACTTTATGAAGGCACGATGCTATTATGCAGTCACATTAAAGAATTACTTTGTTCGACTTAAACGAGTTAAAAGAATTTCAGATAACACTTTTTGTTTTATAGCGACATTTAGTTTGTGTGTATATTTAAATTTATGTTTGTCTGACATACGGTGAAGGAAAACATCGTGAGAAAACCTGGACTTATAGTTTCACAATTATATTGAAATCACCAACCTGTCTTGAGCAAGCGTGGTGATTAATGCTCAAACCTTCTCTATATGAGAAAGAGGCCTTTGCTCAGCAGTGGGCTCTGATAGGCTGATGACGATGACGTTTGTTTATGATAATGTTTTTTTTAGAACAACAAAATGGGTCGTAAGGTTGTAGTCGCTGTATGTACTCTGAATCAATGGGCGTTAGATTTCGATGGAAATCTTAATAGAATATTACAGTCCATTCAAGAGGCTAAGGAGATGGGAGCTTTGTATCGTACAGGACCCGAGTTGGAAGTGTGGTAAGTAGGAAGAACCTTCTATATTACTTTTTACCAAAAAAAGCCTAACTGCAAAATAGGGACCATGTCATACAACATAGAACATTTGAAGCCTAATGAAGTTGAAATTAGTGAAAGTTTATATGACAAAAAAATTCCTCAACATAATAAAGCTTGAACTGATTTTTTTACACTAATCTTGAAATGTGTTTACTCTGGTTATAGTCGTTTAAAAATAAAGCCATTCTATTCCAATTGGTTACAAATTATCACCTATACTTGAAAATAATGAGTATTTTTTTCTAATTTCAGCGGTTATAGTTGTGAGGATCATTTCCACGAATCTGATACATTTTTACATAGCTGGCAAATTCTAGTAGAACTGCTAAAATCTCCCACATGCAAAGATATATTGGTTGATGTTGGTATGCCGGTCAGGCATCGGAATGTTTCATATAATTGTAGAGTAGCATTCTTGAACAAAAAGATACTGCTGATTAGGCCAAAAATGTTGCTATGCGAAGATGGTAATTATAGAGAGTCTAGGTGGTTTTCTTGTTGGACTAAAGTAAGTTGCTATTGTCAATAGAGAAGGTTTCATTATACCGACTATTTTGCTATTATTAAGGGTTTTTGACTGAATTTTTCCGCTAGCACAGCTTCAGATGGATAATTTGCTTTGTCAGGCCCTAAAAACCAAACTTTACCTCAAAGTTTTGTATATAAAGCGTTATTATACTTTTTCTAGGAAAGACAAGTAGAAGATTATTACTTACCAAGAATGATAACTGCTATAACTGATCAAACAACTGTTCCAATCGGAGACGCTGTTATCTCAACGAAAGACACGTGCATTGGATTTGAGATTTGTGAAGAGTTGTGGAATCCTCAAAGGTAAGAAAAATCGATTAAAATGTAACTGTAGCATTTCGCATTAACTTCTCTTAAGAGTGTTATAATATTATTTTCTTATTAATTATAATGTTTTTATTCTACATTATATATGTACTTACTTTTCTTATACAGGGTGACTGGTGAATTACTATCAATATTTAAGGAGGATACTCGGTACATGATTCTCATTCGAAGTATGTAAAAAAAAATAGGTACTTAATTTTTGACCAAATTTCCGTATAAATAAATAAAGTGTGGACACATTCCAAGTGTTCCAAGTGTGGTCGCCTGCGGCGGCGTGCTGATACAACACCACGCCGCCCCACGCGTGTGTGTGTGTGTGTATATACCTAATATGTAGGGTGTTCACACGATGCGTAATTAATTACATAACCTTTGGTTAACTTTTCTTAGAAGTTTATTAATATTTATGTTATATTAATTTTTATTTTGTCATATATGATCGTCAAATATCACGTCCTCAAATATCGATAGTAATTCACCAGTCACCCTGTATATTTTTTTAAATATTAGGATTAACATATCATATATGTAATAGATTATGTATCTTTGTATCCAATTCGCTTTTTTAATAGTGACCAACATTTGTTGAAAAATTTTACGGACATATACACAAAAACAAAAATCCATGTCCCTACATTTTGAAGAAAAGCCATTTTAAGACAAATTTCTCTCAATTCCAGTCGTCATATCCCTATGAGCCTAGACGGTGTAGAAATTATATCAAACGGATCCGGAAGTTACATGGAACTGAGAAAAGCCTACGTAACCGTCGACCTAGTTAAGAGCGCAACCTTCAAGAGCGGTGGCGCGTACCTGTTCAGTAACCTTAGAGGTTGCGATGGCCAAAGAATTTACTTCAACGGTTGTTCATGTGTCGCGGTCAATGGACATATCGTGAGTCGAGGGCTGCAATTCGCTTTACCCGATGTTGTAAGTCTATTGGTTATTTATATTTATGCATATATATTTAACTAGCTTGGCGCCCGCAGCTTCGCCCGCGTGGAGTTCGGTTATATCGCGTTTCCAAGAGCACCTTTCAAAAGTCTGGGATAAAAACTATCCTTTGTTCTTTCTCAAGGTCAACTCTATATCTAATTTCATTAAAATTAGTTCAATGGTTTAGGCGTGAAAGCGGAACAGACAGACAGACAAACAGAGTTACTTTCGCATTTATAATATTAGTAGAGATGATTAAGATCCATAATCTAAAACGTATCCCATACTGTTGGAACTTATTAATGTAAATTTAAATATGACTAAGATATAAACCCAAAATCTGTTGGATAGATTTGGATAACATTTTGTCATCCCATAATTATTTTCAAGCATGTAAGTAAAATAAGTAAGAAAACTAGTTATAGTCTTTGATTAAAAACTCGTATGGAATATGTAGGATACAAAAATCATCGCAACTCAACACTTGTTCCTAAAAGAGTCACTGAGACATAGAAGTTATCATTTTATCTTAAGTCAAATCAGCAGATTAATCGTTATTTGTGATTACAAACTAAATCATCCCTACTAATATTATAAATGCGAAAGTAACTCTGTCTGTCTGTTACGCTTTCACGCCTAAAGCACTGAAATTAATGAAATTTGATACAGAGATAGAGTTGACTTTGAGAAAGAAAATAGGATAGTTTTTATCCCAAACTTTTGAAAGGTTCTCTTGAAAACGCGATATAATTAAACTCCACGCGGGCGAAGCTGCGGGCGGAAAGCTAGTTATTTATAAACTGATTAGTTGTCCTACAATGTAAAAACTAGTCTCCTGACTCAAATAAGCAGATTAATCGCTATTATTAAACATTTTTCCTATAATATAAATATTTTATACACAGGAAGTCATAACAGCTACTATAGATTTGGAGGACATCCGGTCATATCGAGCCAGTATAAGATCGAGGTCACACATAGCAGCCTCAAATCCACCTTTTCCAAGAATTCCAGTTGACTTCGCATTATCAGACGATGATGACATATACCTAACTATCAATCCGCCGATAGAATGGAAGTACCTCACGCCGGAGGAAGAAATCGAATTAGGTGAGAAAACTATTTTAAAACATGTTCTTTCCTGCAGCTTCGTCTGTTTGGACCTTACCTTAGGTTCAGAGTGCAATATATAGTGTTGCAAATAAAGATTTATTTTGCTAACCAATTTCTTGCATTACCTATAGGCTATGTCACGTGACATACAAATGTTATGACATCATTCCAAACGAATTTATTTTTAAAGTTCTATCAAAATCGGTATTCTTACAGAAATATCACATTTATTTGAATAAAAAGTGTTATGGATTAAGATATATAGTGTCCCAGTGTCCAAATTATGTATAGGTTTAAAGAAGTTTATTTCCAAAAAGAAACAAAGTTCGCTTACAAAGGAAATTTAAAAAATTATAATCACAATTAAGATTACAAATAATAAACAGTAGTGATATTAAATAAGATCAGTGAAATCATCTTATATGTATATGGGTTCTTAATCGTTTTTTAAATATATTTAAAGATTTTGAATTGACAACACTTAGAGGCAAAGAGTTATACAGCTGTATAGTTATGTATGTATTTAGTATGACCACGAAAACTAGACTATTTTACAATATTTATGTCCCAGGTCCAGCGTGTTGGTTGTGGGACTATCTCCGGAGGTCGGGTCAGGGTGGTTTCTTCCTGCCACTGAGCGGCGGAGTCGACTCTACTAGCACAGCCTGTATAGTGTTTTCTATGTGCACACTCATATGTGAAACTATACATAAAGGAGGTTACATTATAATTAAATTTAATTTATACAGGGTGACTGGTGAATTACTATCAATATTTAAGGAGCATACTCGGTACATGATTCTCATTCGAATTATGTAAAAAAAATAGGCACTTAATTTTTGACAAAATTTCCGTATAAATAAGTAAAGTGTTGACACGTTCCAAGTGTTCAAGTGTGGACGCGTGCGGCGACGTGTTGATACAACACCACGTCACGACATGCGTATGTGTGAGTGTCAGTGTATACCTAATCTGTAGGGTGTTCACACGATGCGTAATTAATTACATAACTTTTGGTTAACTTTACTTAGAAGTTTATTAATATTTATGTTATATTAATTTTTCTTTTGTCATATATGATCGTCAAATATCACGTCCTCAAATATCGATAGTAATTCACCAGTCACCCTGTATATTACTAGATAACCCGGCGAACTTCGTATCGCCCTATAATCAAGAAATATCTGTTACGTTTTTTTAATAATTAAATTTATGTAATACATTAGCCTCAGAAACACGTGGTGGTTATGCTATTATTAAATAGTCGCTCATACATGACGTTTGTATTTTTAACATAGCGCCATCTATTGAATACTTAACTCAGTCAACAGATTATTGTAACAATGATAAATAATTTTCTTTAATAGACAAATAATTTGCAATAAAATAATATTGTGACTATAAATAGAGATGTAAGCTATCCTATCTTTCAAGTTGGATCAAAATGCACACGGAATGCAAATCAAATTTAAAATCGGTTTAGTAGTTTAGGAGTCCATCGCGGACAAACACGTGACACGAAATTTTTATATATATAAAGATTATAATTTAATTGAGTAATTCTTTGGTCCATACTTTTGAAATTTGTACTATCTCATTATCATTTTTGACTAACTTATAAGTGAATATAAAAACTATTATGTACTTCTAAATTTATTATAGCAAGAAAATTTAACATAATATAATAACATAGTCCCTATCATATATATTACTTATTCATACATTTTTTGTTTCCAGAGAGTCAAGTGTTGTATGATCTTCGTAAAATCCTCTGTCAGAGTGATTACACTCCTTCCGATCCTATGGAGCTCTGTAACCGCTTGCTAGTCACGTGTTATATGGCCTCCGAAAACTCTAGCAGTGAGACCAAACAAAGAGCTTTACAGGTATAGAAAATTACCTACAAATAGGCTTAAAATGCCTATAGAAGAGAGAATTTCAGCAAAATCCTTATAAATAGAACATTACATACAAAATGCCCGTAAAAATAGGGATATTTACCAAAAACCCTAACAATTCTAGTGTATTTAGGCCCAAAATGCCCATAAAAATAGACATTGCAGCAAATTCCTTATAAATTCCGGTGTATTTTTTTTGGAAGGGTTATTTAGTTAGTTTTTATGAATTTTATTTTATAATAATGCAAAAAAAATGTAAAAAGAAATATCTTTTCTATGCAGAATAACTGATATTACCAATATTTAATGGAACAACTTCTTATATGTTATTCCAAACACATAATTACAGTATTGTTGTAGATACTGCTTTTAGTTAAATATATCCCCAAAAAAAGATTTGTAAGTCTTGAAGTCAGAACTCATTAATACTGTATTCTTCTGTATTCTATTGTGTATTCTTCTGTATTCTTTTGTGTATTCTTCTTGATTCTATTCTGTATTCTAGCTTGCAAGTGAAATAGGCAGCTACCACTTCCCTATAACGATCGACGCTGCCGTTAGTGCTGTTATAGGAATATTTACAACCGCTACTGGTTTGGTACCGAAATTTAGAAGCAAAGGTGGCTGTCCAAGACAGAATCTTGCTTTGCAGAATATTCAGGTAATATATAGGGATAAATTAGTAAAATTTGTATCCGTTATATTTAATTAAATGTACATATTATTATGTTTTATTGAGAAAACGAATTTTATTTTTGTTCTAAATAAAGAAGTATATCATATCTTAATTGAAACACTATTTAAAATTCTTTTTTTTTTAATAAAAATAACATGATATAAATATTAACATAAGAAAAGATATCATTTGATAATTAACTATTCTACAAAAATATCATTTTATAAGAACATCTATTTCAGCAGTAAAATTATTCAACACGTTTATACTTAAAATATCCAAAATTCTTTAAAAACATATTGTTTTAACACTTTTAACAACACAATATTAACCATAAAACTCCAATATCCATACAAATAATTAAACAAATATTTTATCTATTTCAGGCTCGTCTACGCATGGTGCTATCATATTTATTCGCTCAACTGATGCTATGGGTGCGAGGCAGGCCGGGTGGTTTACTAGTGTTAGGATCGTCCAACGTAGATGAAGCATTAAGAGGTTATATGACTAAATACGACTGTTCTAGCGCCGATATCAACCCAATAGGCGGAATATCAAAGACCGATTTGAAATCATTCCTGGGATACGCTAAAAATCGGTGAGTATTTGGTAATATGATATAGAGATAAATAATGTTGGAATTATATTTTTATTCTCTATGTTATATTTATAATCTACCAAAAGGATAAATGTTTTCACTAATAATGACAGTAAATTTAGAAGGAATTTGCTTCAAGGATTCAAGAATGATCATATTATAAATTCTAATGAAACAATAATATATTGACCAAATTCTATTTCTTATACAAAATAATGTATTTTAAAACACCAAAACTTTCAAAAGTACAGTCGATAGAGGTATAATCCGTTTATTTACAGAAATTATCTTGTTACGTTGGATTAAACATAACATGAATTTCGATCATATTCATCAAATTAAACTATCTCATACATCATTAATTCTTATTTATTTAATATATATATATAATTTTTTTTCTTTTTATAAGTTTCTTCCTGCCATCTATAAACGAGATACTCCAAGCTCCGCCCACCGCGGAATTAGAACCTTTGACGGACGGACAAATAACACAGACGGATGAACAAGACATGGGCATGACTTACTCAGAATTATCAGAATTTGGGAAACTACGGAAAACATACTACTGCGGACCATACAGTATGTTTAATAAACTGGTACATACTTGGGGTAATAAATGTACCCCAGAGGAGGTAAGTTAATATATAGTCCGTTAGACTTAAGCTGAGTTTTGCGTTTGTGTGAGTGAAAGTAAAAGTAGAGTTAGACAAAAAACTTTTAGAATTAAATCTTATTATATTTTAAATAGATACATAACATAAGTGCTAGAGCTATTCTAGATTAAAATTAAATAACCCAAACTTGTAAAAGACTAGAGGGAAATATTAAATAATAAAAAAAAGCTGTACAAATTCTTCTTCACTTGATATTGCATTTTCAACATTTGACGTTGCTATCAGTACAAAGGGTGAAGTGCGGAAGGTGTGGGGCGGAGTAAAAGCAGAATAAACCGGTTTAAAACTAGAAAAGAACGTTGCATTCAAAAATTTGACATCACACCTACACTATCCGTGTACACTCATACAAATGCAAAGCTCAGCATAAATCAAACGCACTATAACTACTTGATTATTATACATAGTACATACATACATACTCAATACATTTTTATTTCTCTATAGTTAATTAATCTACTTTTCATATAAAACAGTTTGAAGTCTATTTACTTTTAAATTATACCAAAAGATGGCGCTATTTAAATAAGTTATAAGTCTTCTTAATACTTAATGATTTGATCCTTAAAAATATTTTATGCTTTCCGAGAATATCATATTGATATTAAAAAAATACGTTTGTATCAACAACTACTAATAAATTAAGAATTAATTGTAAAAAAATTTCCAGCGGACAAAATTGTGAATCTAAACCATTCCCAGATCCCCTTGAACACACACAAAAAAATTCATTAAATTCGGTCCAGTCGTTTAAGAGAAGTTCAGTGACATACACACTCACAGAAGAATTATATATTTAAAGATATATATGTTTTACAGGTGGCTGAGAAAGTGAAACATTTCTTCCGCTGCTACGCCATCAATCGTCACAAGATGACCGTACTGACTCCGTCCTACCACGCGGAGAGCTACAGCCCCGACGACAACCGGTTCGACCACCGACCGTTCTTATACAGGGTGCACTGGAACTGGCAGTTCAGGGTCATTGATGAAGCGGTGAGGAACACCCACTATACTGTACTTCACTGTACTGTACTGTACTATACTATACCATACCATGTATTGGTGAAGCTATTTAAGTATTTAAGTTACTTAGATTGTGTTATTACTATAATAATCATATATAGGATGTTCAATATTTTGATTTAACATATTTAGTTAACTCCATACTAGAATTATCAGTCTTTTCATATTTAAAAATAAAAAACAGCTGATTAATGTACTATACTGTACTGGTGAAGCTATTAAGGTTGGTTTTGTTGCTTTTATTATGTTATTTACTGTAATACAGGATGTTCAATATTTGATCTTATTTGGTTAACATTACTCTATAGTAATATTATCAATCTCTTCATATATAAAATTATTGAATTAGATAATAAATAAAATGTTAATAATTTTCATATAATAATGTTATACAGGTCGTTCAAATGACTAAGGACAAACGCATCAAGCAAGGCGACAATACACCGGAGCAGAACACTAACTTGGTGCATTTCAATAGGAACAGAGAAAGAAAAGGAGTTCTTATATAAAAACAATAAACAATGTTTTTATCAAAAGCTGAAAAGAAAATCTAGACATCTATTGTCTTTGATTTGAAAATACGTATTTAATTTTGTAGAATTATTTTTAATATAATGCCAATGTTGCCTTTATCGAAAGATAATAAGGGGCCATCCATAAAGTACGTCACACGGAAAGGGGGGGGAGGGGGTCGACAAAGTGTGACATGCTGTGACAAGGGGTGGGAGGGGTCCTAAGTTTCGTGACATCACATTTCAAAATCTAGAGGTACTATTCGCGTAATTTGAAATATTAATTAAAATCTTTAAAATATTAATTAAATTCTTTAAAATATTAATTAAATTCTTTAAAATATTAATTAAATTCTTTAAAATATTAATTAAAATCTTTAAAACTGAGCGCGTCATCACATTTAAAGCAAGTACCGTATGATAGTTACTGCTCTAGTGTTGAGGGATACTTGTGTAAGCGATCATGCGGCTTCTGTGGTCTATATTTTGCATCATATAAAGCCACTAACCTACACAAACAACTTCATAAGATTAAGCAAGATGAAGTTCCCATTGCAAAGATACGCCCTCAAAGAATAGCAGCTAGACTTGCCAGAGAAATTCTTTGTTTGGATATTAATGATGATGCCTTATGGTTGGATGAAAAAGATGTTGATACCACAAATGTTCCTGACGTGAAAAACGAAGTGAACTGTGGAGTGACTGCCATGCTAGTTATAAATAATTTAAAGGACTGGTTTTAAAGTCCACTGGACATTTGTTTATTTTTTTGTTATTGTTTCAAATATTTGATACTATGTTGATTTCATAAAAAAGTACTTAATTTAAATGGAAATAAAACTAATTTCAGAACTACTGTTTTAAATTAATAATTTTTCCATGTTAAATTGCAAGACATGTGACATCACACTAGGGAGGGGGGGGGGGGTCTCAGAAATGTGACCACCTGTGACAAGGACGGGGGAGGGCTCGAAAACTCATGAAATTAGTGTGACGTATTTTATGGATGGCCCCTTATCTTAAATTAGACCAGTTATTTTGTTTATATATATAGGGTGCTTGAAATCACACGACCTAAAACTCGTTCAGCGCCATCTACATATTAATATTGTATTGAATTAAAATCATGCACAAAAACAGAAATAGTTTTATATTTATAAAAACGTAAAATATTGTTACGTAACTATTGTTAAGTACATTGTTTTAAAAATAAACGCTTACAACATAATATAATAAATTTTATTTACAACAACAAATGTTATTTATCTTAAATAGTTAATAGTTATACATATATGACATTATTCCACTTCATTCTAAAGGTGGATATAGTGTAATAAAAACTACTTCCTATAAATGTGTGTGTGTGGGGGGGCGCGTGTGCGCGTGTGCGTGTGCGTGAGCTTGTGCGTGTGTGTGTGTGTGTGTGTGTGTGCGTGAGCGTGTGCGCGTGTGCGTGAGCGCTTGCCTATGTGCGTGCGTGTGTGTCTCAAACGAATTGATCAATGACGATGCGATATTTTTATTTGGACGTCAGTTTCCTTGCTAATGTTCCTAGCTGTTTCATTATTATCCGTCGATTACTCCAATCAATACTTTTCTAAAATTATTTAAGGCATTTTTGGCTTATATCATTTTAGATTAATGTCAATTAGTGGCCAAAGGAGTATTAAAATAAAGAAAATTGCTACTTTACACTACTTTTCTCTTCAACTTTTAAAATTTCAAGCATTTTCTGTCCAACATAACAACAGTAAGCAAAAGAACATTCTATAGTCATTAATTGATATAAACAATCAATTTAAATGTACGAAGGACGACTTCTCAAAACAAGATTGTAATTGATTAAAATTATATCCAATTAAGAAGTTATCAGGTAAACTATTTAAATAATCTGAACTAACAATATGTTTAATACGTTATTATTATGAGTATGCGGAGCGATGCAGTAGAATTTTCCAGTGTTCATATTTTAAGAATTTTATTCAGTATAGTGTCATCCGTAAATATATATACATATAAGAAATTGAATGCAATAAATTATCGGGTCATGTAAATGTTTAGTTATTATTGATGAAACTAACGCTACAGACACTAAATTGGTCAGAATTGTATCTTAATTTAAGAGTTAAGGATAACATTTTTTGTTTAAATAATCATCAGAGCCCACTGCTGAGCAAAGGCGTCTTCTCACATCGAGAAAGTTTGAGCATTAATCACAACGCTTGTTCAAGACGGGTTGGTGATTTTAAGCTTAAAATTTTAAATTATAAGTTCAGGTTTAATCACAATGTTTCGTTCATCTGTCAGTGGTGTCCAAATACTCTTAGGAAGTACATATGACTCGGAAAAATCACATTGGTACTTGCCAGGTTTCGAACGCCCCAGAAGCGGGCCTTTAACCTCTAGGCCACCACGACCATATAAATAATGCGTTGATTAAATTTAAATTTACCATAGAGCAAAAATCTAATTAAGATTTTAAAAGAAAAAAATACAAAACCATATATAATTATTCAAAACAATAACTGATAATAATTAATTTATTAATAAACACAATTTAATTCTGAATTTCATTATGCAAAAATATTTGACATTTTGACATTAATGACAACGTATACAAAGTTATGTTAAAAGACATTTTTTTTTGTTCATGGAAAAACTATGAAGCACGAAGATTCTTAAATAAATAAATGATAAACAGACTTTAATTAGGCAATGCAGTCTTGATAAAAGGAATATAGACGTGATAAAATATTTAGAAGATAAAAAAATAACACGATCTAATAGTATTCATCATTCAGGTCACAAAACCCAAACAGAAAAAAATCTTTTTATACACTTTATTAATAATAATTATCCTTTTACAATCATACGTCCTTGAATAACAAAGCAAGGTTAAATCAATAATAAAATAATAATTTATGACGAAAATTATTCTAGTTACTTCAAAAAATGTAAAATTTGTTTAATTCTTAAAATGTTCAAGGCTGTTGGCCAAAATATTACTGTCCCCACCTCATTTACCTGAAAAATAAAATAAATTAGTATTTCTATCTTCCGCTTTAACAACTTCTATCATTTATGTATTTATCTATTTACGGTAGAAAAATGAAATTTTAAGAAGCCTATGTGTATAATATTGTATTAGCGGTGTCAAAAAAGTAAAAAAAAAAATGGTTCCTTAAAAGGTTTGAACTAATAACAATTTCGTTCTTACTAAGATACCTTTTCTAGAAAGTCAGCCAAAAACAATAAAGATATTGATTTAAATGATCAATGAGGTAATTTTAAAGTTATGTTTTAGATTTATAGACTATGAAATTGACATTTAGATTTTTTAGTAAAAATTTAAGTAGTGTCAGTGACAAACACGATGAGTAATTTCACCAAGATTTAAAATTATTTAAGTATAATGTTTTTAGAACCAAAATATGTAATGTATTTTTGGTCTGTTGTGATCCAAAAATAAATATATTTCTATGAAAATGATTATGTATCACCATTTTTTTTACTGTGAAGTGTTTATTCATATATTTTTTTTTATTGTTATAAATGGCCGGTACCATACCGGACGTTCTGAAATTATTGCAATTTCTTCCGAGGTATTATAAAGTAATGCATACATTACAGGGACAAAAAATATGATAACTAATGTTATTATTATTTAACATAATAATTTACTCAATAATATTTAAAACTCAACATTTAATACAGAATCATAAACACTCTAGAACGTTTTTTATTCAGTGAAAAATTAAAGTTAACAAAGTGATAATCTTATTACAATTTAGAGAATTAATTTCTTACCTAGTTTAAATGAATGCAAAATACCGCTTAGTACATTTGAACCTTCAGCTGTAAAACAAAATATGTAGTTACATAAAAAGATATTTTATTAAAAATAATATCAAGGGTAGCTGTTATTCTCGTGTAGAACTTTTTGATAAATTAATAGCGCGCCATCTTTAAAGTCAATATTTGAATCAATATTTCATTTACGATAGACAAACTAAACATAAAATTTACATATTATTATAAAGAAAATTAACAAAAATATATTAAATGACTTACTTCCATTTTATTATTATTATTATTTTTAATATTTCTTTAGTTACTTACTCTCTAATGTCTTGGCTGTATCCACGGCTTCCTTGGCTTTGTCGAGCGAATCGTTGACTAAAAAAAAAGTATTTAATGCACCAATTGTACTAAATTTATTATGACAAAAAAATATATTATTTACCTATATTTTTCACCGTATCTACAGCACTATTAGACGGCATATTTGAAGCTATGGAGTCAGCGATATCTGGCAAAATTTAATTTCATCAATGCGTTCAAAATATTTATGTATAACGGTATATGAGATCTAAGATTTTCTCGAGTATTCATTTAAATGAAACTAATATTTTAGGATTTATTACGCGGTTTATTTTTGATAATACAACTAAACTACACTACATACTCCCGACGTTTCGGTTACTTTACAGCAACCGTGATCACGGGCAGACATACATCTCGCCTGCGAGTAATAAATCCGAATATTAATTTCATTTATTATGTTTTTATTGAAAGTTTATTAAACACTAACCCTCTGCGGTATCAATGCCCTTTGATACAGCGTTTAGTTTTCCCGCTGAAAATATAAAATAAAGTTTTATACATTAACTTGTATTTATTCCTACTTATATTATAAATGCGAAAGTAAATCTATCTGTCTGTCTGTCTGTTACGCTTTCAAGCCTAAACCACTGTACTGATTCTAATGAAATTTGGTTCAGACATAGAGTTGACCTTGAGAAAGAACATAGGATAGTTTTTATCCCACACTTTTGAAAGGTTCTATTGGAAACGCGATATAACCGAACTCCACGTGAGCGAAGCTGTGGGCGGAGAGCTATATATGTACTATAAAAAAATTAAAATTAAATCTTACTTTCTAAAGCAGTCGCTACTTTTAAACCGAAGTCAGCTGCACCCGTAGTGGTATTTACTGTAAATATAAATAGGATATAACATATAAATAGATAAAATACACTTTATTGAATATAAGATTGGAATTACTTATTTCATAAAAAAATTACATTATTTTGCAATACTTTAATTATGATGACAAAGTGTCGAATATATTAAAGATGAACAAAAACAAGCATTCATATAAATTAATATAAATATATATATATAAGTATCTGTATTTAGAAAATAAAATACTTTAATACCTAAATCTATTTAAAAATGTATATTTACCGATATTAACAAATTTTGTGAAGTTTGCAAAAGAGCTCGGAACTGTGGAGAGTACAAATAAATTATTATATTTAAAATGTTATTTGATGTACATATTATGTATTTAATTCAAAAAGTTATACTTACTTATTTATATATAAATTAAAATAATTATTAGCTACAACGAAAACATCGTCAAACTTACCCAGACTACCGAAAAATACTTTAAAGAATGCTAATTCTGAAAAAAAAAATATAGTTTTAAAAACAATAAAGGAATGGATAAAAAATAACCGACATTAAAAATAGATGTAAACTACTTACGCAGCTGTTGTACACATTTTTCTATAATTGATGGAACTATTACTGTTAAATCAGAAATAAATAATTCCTCTTCGGATTTACTGTCTTTTATAATAGCTGAAAAAAAACAGGATTTTACAATGAATCTGTACGAAAACGGATTTGTTACGTTTTTTTTCGAGATTATGATAATTAAAAATATATTTTGTTCTACTTATATAATGCAACAGGCTAAAAATCAGTGTTTAGATGATAAATTTATTCGTAATAAAAGGAAATTATATATAAATCATCTCTTAAAATAAAAAATCCTTTAACGGAACTCTGCTTTCCCATATTGTATATGCGTATCTGTAATTATGGAGTGTAAATGATAAAATAACAGCGAAAGATTTGTTCTATCGCGCAAATAGATTCTGTAAATCATCAATTTATGACCCAAATTAGAGATATTATTCAAAGGACGTACGCCAGAATATTTGACAGAATTGGCTTACGATGTATTCATGCTTATTTGAATCCTCTATTGCTTGCAAGATGATAACTAATAGTTCTTCATTAAAAAGGCCCTTTTCAAGCTTAATTTAAGTGCAATCTTACTTCAATGATTCTATTGCTCCCCGAATCGACACTAGTCCATATTGAGCTCCCTAACATATGTGACACTAAATATAAACAGTATTACTAATACATATGTAGGTACTTACTAAATACGCTTTCAAACAACAGCGCCAGGAACTCAACATCCGATTTGATATTAGTTACTGGAAAAAAATGTATTTTATTGTTGTATTGCTGTTTTTTATCATAACATTATTGTTCGTGATTATTTTAATATGTATACTCATATTCATAATTTATGTATACTTACTGTCTAATGTTTTTGCTGCGTCCAGGAGAAGATTTGACGTCTTAGTAGTAAAAGTTTTTGTGGTATCTAAAATTATATATATTTTATTTAATGATCCATTTATAGAAATTATTAAGGATGAAAACAATATAAGTCTTAATATAAGTGACTATAAGAGTTTTACTTCTTTGTAGCGACGAAGACAAATCAGTTAACAATGGTATAATCATTATTATAGTGATTGATAATAATCATTATTCTATAATAATCATACCTAATTGCCCCAAAAACATAACATGGTTATTCCTAACAAATTGCACATTAATTTATTTTCCTTTCTGTCATTGAGATTAAGCGTTTTAAAAATCTAAGAAACTATGTAGCAATAACAGCAATTAAAAAATCCAAAATCTATCAATTGAAATGTGTTAGTTGTAGGATTTTCATCCTACCCTCTACAGTCTACATAATGTAACCTAACCTTTATACATCGAGATAATTGTCATATTAGAAAAACTGTAATTAGAAAAGTATACTCACTTTTTGTAGTCACTGATTGCATTGTACTTTTGGTCTTATTCGCAAAGTCACCCATGTTGGACAACATATTTGATATCGGGTCTAAATTTAAAATAAAAATAAATTGATGAAAATGCAATTAAAATGCTAAAATTCAAATCATTCTTAAAGCTATATATAAAAACTTCTGCTGTACAATGTTACATTATATGCATATATTTTTTATTTTTAAAATAATTATATTAAAGTGTTATAATTAAATTTCCAATTCTTACCATCGGCGGGATGAGACGTGCTCTGAAAATAAATACAAAAAATGCATTTTAAATTTACATTAATAAAATATACTATCGATTTTATTTTTACAGAATATATTATTATTAAGGATAATAATTAATAATAATAATGAATTCATTAAAAAACATAAAATTATGGATTCAACTTACGAGTTTTAGTAAAACGAGGAAAATGCATCCAAATAATATTTTGTTCATTTTGGGCTTTATTAAATTCGTTTTCTGTAAGTGTTGTTACAATAAATAAATTTATTATGAATTACCTGTTACTTATATAGATAACAAAATATTTTAAACATCTGTGTCAACATACGCACGAAGGTTTAAACTATTATGTTTTTGTTTAACTTTAACCCATTTACATCTCAATTAATTTCTAAATTTCGTTTTATGTATTTAGATGGTTTTCTTGATGTTGTTCTGTTATTTATGTATATCAAGGGATGTCCAAAATAATTTTGATCGCTATTAGTCCTGAGTAATATTGAGTAAATTCTGCAATCATTAATTGTAAATTAATTACGATAGTTAGCTACAACCTATAAAAATAGGTTTTAGAATTTTTGTATGCAATAATTTCTTTTTGTTATCAATATCTAATTGTTAAATTTTAATTTATTTTTTTATATTTTTTTATCGCTATTATTTTCCTCGCTCTTTTGAAATAAGTACATACGCAGTATATAAGCACTACGCACCTTTGTGCGCAGGATAATTTATCTGTCGATAAAGATTTTTGCCACAAACCCTTTTAATCAAGGAAACAAGTTAATAGAAGTTAATAGAAGTTAATAGATAGATAAGGATTTATGAAAGAATCTTGTATTCAAGTAGGTAGTAGGTACTAAGTAAGTAGTAATTAGTAGGTACTAAGTAGGGAACATCAAGAAGATTTTGGGTTTAATACAGTTTAGCAAAGATTCTGTAGAAGGAAAATTTAAAACCCTTTAACTGGGATCGGAGAGAAGAAGAAATTAATATTTTGTGCATTAGATCATTCATATACCGGCGCTAGTGGATGTTGAGTTGCTTTCACTCTCGATAGAATACAGAAATTTGTCATATTAATTACAATAAACTGCTATAACTAATCAGTACATCAGTAGAATGTAAAAAGCAATCGTCGAAGTAGACGAGTAAGGAAAGAAGAAGATATTGTATCAGAATAATTATAGTTTTATGCGAAAGATGTTTTGCAGACTTCAAAGTGTAAATACTTTCAATTATTATTGCTTGAGAATGAGCTCCTCATTAATAACCTCGACAGCTGAATTAGCTTCAGATTTAGTAGCATGCGTGATGTATATAAATTTATTGTATTTTTTATTATAAACTAATTATTTCTTGTAATTTTAGAAAAAAATTGCTGATATTTTCTTCTTTATCGATAAAATAATGCATAGCTATAACGATACATTAACCGAAGTAAAGATTGTACATTATGTTCGAAAATGTAAAAATAATCCATTAATAATACCGATATTACAAAAATTAAACAAAATTTGTGAGTTTATGTAACTCGTATGTAATCATTATCATCATTTAGCCACTCTTGGTCCACTGCTGGACATAGGTCTCCCAAAATTCGCGCCACAATACCTGGTCCTAGGTCTTCCACATCCAGTCCCTTCCAGCAATCTTCTTGAGGTCGTCAGTCAACCTGACAGCGGGGCGTTATATGTAATATGATGAAATAAACTGCGATTAAATATTTGCATTGTGTAAATACACGTGACGAAGATGATATTGCTGCTATAGTGAGTTATAATATGTACTATTTGAACTCACGTTATAATTTTTTCCTTTTATTCAGAAGTTCTAACAAAGTTACTTTCTTAGCTTACGAAGTTATTAAGAAACCTTATTACTCCCTTTAACGAGCGAGAATTAGTAACAGAGTAACAGTGAAGAAATTCTATGAACTATTACATCAGAGGTATAGACTAAGAAAAAACAGTAATCCCTACTACTCGTAATATTATAAATGCGAAAGTAACTCTGTCTATCTGTCTGTATGTTACGCTTTCTCGCCTAAACCACTGAACTGATTATAATGAAATTTGGTACAGATATAGAGTTAATCTTGAGAAAGAACATAGGATAGTTTTCATCCCAGACTTTTGAAAGATTCTCTTGGAAACGCGATATAACCGAACTCCACGCGGGCGAAGCTGCGGGCGGAAAGCTAGTATTTCAATAAACATTTTATCATTTATCTATAATATTATTATATAACACTTATATAAAGTATGATATTTATATTTACTATACACTATATTTTGTACTTCACAATAAAGTCTATAGTGGTTACGTAATGAAACGATTGATTTCTCGATGCGGGAATAACAAATTCATATTCAATTTACTGATTAATTCAAATAAGTTATATTCTTATACTATAACTTCGTTTTACTATTATTATTGTTTAATAACAATGATTTACCAAGCTTCCAAAGATACGTTATCTTTTTACACAAACACGTTAAATTGCAAAATAACGTATCTACTATATTTTGATGTTTACAATGTTCTTAAAATATATTCACCCATAATACGATATATCTTAAACATAATATGTGAATATAATACCAACATTTTATACACAATATGCAATATTATTCGAATTCACAGGTAATTTATCATTTTATTATCAAAATTGTGGTGGAATAAAAACCAAACTAAATACCATTTATATGAACATCTTAACTTATTCTTATGATATTATCGTATTAACCGAAACATGGTTAATTCCTAGTATTTCAGATAGTGAATTTATAGACAGTAGGTATATTGTATTTCGATGCGACCGGGACCGTACCGCCACAGGTAGGGAGGAGGGCGGCGGCGTGTTAGTGGCCGTGCGCCGCGAGCTGCGGCCCGTGCGCCGCGCGCTGCCGGGGCCCGTGCCTCCTATTGTCGATTGCGTCTCTGTTGAGGTACCGAGCGCGTCCCGAGGTAAGAAATGCATTGTGAACGCAGTATACATACCACCTAATCAATGTTCGAATACTTACGTCGTATATCTCGACTTAGTTTGCGACATAGTGTTGTGTGATAATGTAACTGAGCATTTTCTAATAGGAGATTTTAATCTACCTAGCCTTGAGTGGGGAGTAAATAATGGTCTTTGTTTACCTTCTATAAGAAATGATACTGTATATGCTGGTAAATATCTTGTGCAAATCCTCTCTTTACTGAATGCCACTCAACATAACATTTACAAAAATAATTTAAACCGTACTTTGGATTTGTTCATATCGAACACTGATTGTACTTGTCTGACGCCTACATCGCCTCTGTCTCCACTGGTGCAGCACCATCCATATTTCTATATTCTCAGCAAAATAACTACGGCACTTATATCTATTCCAAGACAACCACGAATCATATTGTGTTTTGCAAAAGCTGACTACATAAATATTAATGAAGCTATTAATAAAGCAAATTGGTCTGACATTTTAATTGGTTCTATTAACGAAATTATAAATATATTTTATGAAAAACTATTCTCAATTATAAAGTTGTTTACACCGGTCAGCGTAATAAAAAACAGTAATTCTCCATGTTGGTTTACCCCAAGTCTTCGACGGATATTTAAGGCTAAAGATAAAGCGTGGGTAAAGTGGAAAAAGTATAAAAATACTGCTGATTATGAACTCTTCTCCATGTATCGAAGCAGATTTGATACGGAAAGTAAGAGGTGCTTTGACAATTACATATCATTTACGGAACAAAGTTTAATTAAAAATATAAAATCCTTTTGGAATTACATGTCTAGTCTTAAAATCAAACCGGGAATACCGACAACAATGACCTATATGGGTAATTCATCAAGCGACCCTGAAATGATATGTAAAATGTTCGCGCATTTCTTTCAATCTGTATATGAGCCATCTACACTTAATATAGAAACATGGGAGTCATCAGTAGGTGATACCAACTCTAGTAACAACAATATATGCTCTTTATATTTTTCTGAAAACGATGTCTACAGGGTGTTAAGGGCACTAGACTCAAATAAAGGTGCTGGACCTGACTCCTTACCGCCTTTGTTCATAAAGTTTACCGCGGATACACTATGCATTCCACTTACAATTATCTATAACAAGTGTATGCAAGAAGGTATTTTTCCTGATTTATGGAAGATGGCGCATATAACACCCGTTTTCAAGAGTGGAGACAGAGACAATATTGAAAATTATCGACCGATATCGATTTTGTCCACGCTAGCGAAAGTCTTCGAACGATTAGTACACGCCCAATTGTACCCTCTTGTGCATAATGATATCTTACAGGAGCAGCATGGATTTGTACAACAGAAATCTACTACTACTAATTTATTGTTATATGCTACTTACTTGTTTGAGAATATGGACAACAGGGTGCAGGTGGATGCTGTGTACACGGATTTTCGCAAAGCATTTGACAAAGTGGACCATGAAATCCTTTTAAAGAAATTGGCCTTCAACGGCGTAAGAGGTAATTTATTGAGGTGGTTTGCTTCGTACATTATCAACAGGTCTCAGAGAGTCGTAGTTAGAGGCTTTGAGTCTGATACTTTTATTACATCCTCCGGCGTGCCACAGGGATCTATACTTGGGCCATTGCTTTTTACAATCTTTATAAATGACATAAGCCAATGCTTCAAACATTGCAAGTTCCTGTTGTACGCGGATGATCTTAAATTATACTTAAGTGTGCGGGATTTGTCGGACTGCCATGATTTACAAAGCGATCTTAACAGGCTTAGCGAATATTGTGTTCTGAATAAATTACGTCTCAACTTGACCAAATGTAACACTATAACAATAACTAAAAATAAAAATATAGTTAAGCAAGAATACTGTCTCAATGGGACTCAATTAAATAGAGTATATCATGTACGTGACCTTGGTATCATTATAGATTCGCACCTTCATCTCGATAAGCATGTTGACAATATTGTTAATAACGCATTTAAAATGTACGGATTTGTGATGAGATCAACTAGGGATTTTAAAAAGCCGTCTACGCTCATATATCTGTATTCCAGTTTAATCAGACCACAACTTGAATATGCATTACAAATCTGGAACCCCATTTACAATAAATATGTTGACCAGATAGAAAATGTGCAACGTCGGTATTTGCGTTCATTACATTACAAATTCACACATTCCTATCTGTCATATTCTAATTTGCTTGATAGATATAAATTGGGGAGTCTCGCATCGAGAAGAAAACTGTTGAGTGCAATATCCTTATACAATATCTGCAACTCTAATCTAAACAGTCCTCAATTATTAAGCCACATATATTTCTTAGTACCCAATCGAGTTTCATTACGTAACACACGAACACCTAAATTATTCAAACTGAAAAAATGTCAAACTAATGCTGGCAAGCGAGCACCATTGTACCAAATGACCCAAACGTACAATGCTGAATTTTATAATGTTGACATTTTTGGGTCAACAATAGGTGCATATAAAAAAAAAATTAAAGCCATTACTGAAAAAGCAAACAATAATATTATTTAACAGTATGTAATAATAAAATCAAATTATATATTTATATGTGAGTATGTGTGTAATTATGTATGTGTATTTATATTTCTTATATATATATATATATATATTTAATATTGTTATTATTATTATTTTTTTTTAAATTATTCATTGTAATATCTCTTTTATTTCTTTTTTTTTCAATGTAAATAGTGGATAACGGTGTGGTTTGTGCATTTATTAAGGTTATAAAATTATATAATATATATTTTCATACATGTACAAATGTTTGTTGTCCCAAATAAATTAAAAAAAAAAAAAAAAAAAAAAAAAAACATACATGCTTTTATCGTATTGTCATTTCTGATAATATGTCATTTTGGATATGTGTGTAAATAAGGAAAATCATTATATAGATAATTGTTTACAATTCTGTTACATTTAATGATGATATTACGATATCATTTTGCGCCAATAATAGATAATTATTATTCTTGTTTTATAATAACCTACACTAATTATTCATTGTCTGCAACAAGTTAATTGATTTAATCGTCTTATTCATTGGAGAAATGTGATGAAGTCGGTAAAATCATAATATCCTTTTTAAAAACAAACCGTTGATTTCCATAACGTATTTACTCAATACATATTCTTGCAAACGCCTATTTTAATATAAAATTTTATGTTGAGACTAGGTATTATGACATTGTATTAAAGTTTCTTACGAAAAATCACAACATGATTAAAAACCATCCAGTGATTTTTCATGAGAGGGTCTTAGCTGCCCTATATTTATGTTTAAGTGAAAAACTCCCTGTCGAAGCTAACATTACATTAAACACTTATTTATAAAATGTTTTTTATTTCCATCTAATTGCAGCCTTTTATAAAATGTTCAACAGTGATTTCGGAAATATTTATATATCTTCATTATGTAAAGAATTAAATGGATGAAATTATTGTTTATAGATTTTTCACTTATTTTAATAAATAGTTAATTTATTAATTACTAGGGTGTTTGTATCAAACCGGTTTAAAACTCTGTTTTTCTGACTGTTACGTTTCACGCCGAAATCTCTGAACCGATTTTGGTTAATTTTGGTATAGAGATAGATGGAATCGTGGAGAAAGGGCTATTTTTTATTCTGATCCCGATGCCAATCCAAAAACAACACGAGTGGAATCATCGATATATACTAAATGACATGCCTTAGAGGTGAGAATTGTGGCACTCCGAAAGAAAGAGAGGAAACTAAGTTTCGGTCTATCTTTATCTCTCTCAAAATAGTACCGTACTTAAGACGTTATGAGCCCCTTCCGGATAATTTATATGCCATGCTTGTCATGAAAACTGACCGCCAATCATCTATGAGGAAAGAGATAGTGCTAGACCGACAGCTTAGGCCATCTCTCTCACTGTTTTTAAACCAAAAAATTACTGCAGATTAGTCCATTAATATGTATATGTCGATGAGTGGACTGTGGAACCATATAGTGTAATTCGGCTTCAGTGCCGATAGTGGTAGAGAATAACTCTGAAGGTCACGCAGACAGAGTCGCAAGCAAAAGCTAGTCATTGATAAATACATAATACTACAGCTACCCGAACTGATCAATGTGACCTTAGTCTCCATTATTGGTAGTCGTCGTACTTTGTGTATATTGTTTTAATATAATTTTTGCTATACATATTTGGTAACAAAATCATATATGTATTCTATACGTTCCTAAATACGGTAGGTACGCCTGTCGGTTTTTCTATCAATAATTATAATTATTATGATCATTCTAAGTACATAATTGTAGCTGTTTTTCAGCCCTTTTAATATTTGAAAGATTATTTAATCACGTGGAAGTGAAATATTACGAGCTTCTCTTTTTATTATGAATCCATTTTATTTCTTAACAAAAACAATAAATAAAAGATAAATATAAATTGAATTAGATATGCCCTTAAACCTACACCTGGGTCGCAAGTCCCAGTCACTGTTGAAGCTCCTCTCACTACAACGATGGACCCGACACACGCACCGTGAATACATTGAATGCTGAGAGGTTTCGTCTCTTTGTTTCTACTCTTAAAAACACCCTCCGTTTTACTTCTTACTGTCAGAGCTCGTAAAAATATGTACTTTACTTAATTTTTCGTACTACTATACTTTCTTAGTTTTTCAATTTATTTTTATTTAATAGTATTTGTTTTTCTTTTGATGATCTCCAAATTCTTCTAATTATTGAGATAGCAACTTGGACTGTTAAGTACTTTACTTTGACAAATTATAGCAGAATTTTAATCCACATATTAACTATTACAAAAGTTATTTTTAAATGTTCATATACATATATGTAATGTATGTTTAAGTATACAATTATAATTATATGCTTTGTTTATATGAGTACTCTTCGTGTCCTTAAGAAATAAATTTTAACACTCATTTCTTACCAATTTTTTTATAGCCCCAATTAAAAAAATTCAATAAAAGTACATACGTATAGAAAAGAATATAAGTAAAAATCGAAAATCTTCCAAAAAGAAAATATTTATAAACTTAGTAATTGTTTGTTATTTAAATAATGCACCATGTCAATATGGAAATTTTCATGCTAAAATTTTGAATTTCATTGCAAAAATACGGACTTCCAAAGCTATTGGAATAATAATTATCAAAAGTTTTGTTAATTCTTCTTCAACACAAGATCTAAAGAAATTAAAATATAATTTTTTACGGTAATAGTTACCTATTATGTACAAATATTTATGAATAAAAAACTAGTCTTGTTACGACCAGTCCCCTTGAAGTAATCTAATAGCTATCAGAAACATAATGCGCGTAAACACTGAATGACTGACTCACTCGCGTACTTTAATTCAATTTGTTTTGACATTTTTAAAAGTAGAAGATTATAATAGAAAATTTGATATAAACTTTTATCTTCTTAGAACATCTTACATATAAAATTCTCGTGTCATAATTTTCGATCCCGTATTCCTCCGAAACGGCTTGACCGATTCTCGTGACATTTTATGAGCATATTGAGTAGGTCTGAGAATCGGCCAACGTCTATTTTTCATACCTCTAAGCGATACCCTTAATTTTTCTTCTTTTTCGGACGATTTTTTTGTTTTTATTTTTTTATAATGTACCCAAAAAATTTTTATATGATAAAACAACGTTTGCTGGATCAGCTAGTAATCTTTATAATCCATTTGGCTCCAATAAGTGCAAATTAAACGTCCTTGCCTCCCCTACTACAAGTTGTTACACGAGTTTATCAAGAATTACAACTCAAATCTCAAAACAACTAGTAATCAGTACACACCGATCGTTGACGAGGTCGGTTGTCTGTAACATATATATAAATTAAAATAATATTGATTGTTACATATAAAAATGATATTAATATTTTGTTTATTAGCACTTGTAGTGATTTCTTTGATATCGTGGTTAATATTATTATGTGATTCTAAAAAATATGACGTTCCGGGACCGAGACCTTATCCTATTGTTGGGAATGGACATTTATTTATATCTAAATCTAGCGGTGAGTTCATTTAAATTGAATTTTCAAATATAATTATAATAATAATCATTTAATAAACTACCTAAAAGTAGTTAGTGGTTTAAACTAAACTACTTAACTAACTGGTAGTAGATTACTTTAATTTTTAGTAAATAAGTTTTAGGAACTTCTGATAATAATTATTAAATCACGAACGTACTAATGATATGCGTAAGGTCAATATTAAGTTAAAATGTCAAATTATATCAACAAATGTAATTGTACTATGTTTCAAAACTATCAGTTTCTACCCAAAAAATGTAAGTCTCGTTGCCAATAAAATAAAAATTATCATTATGCGTTTTCTTATCAATCTCTACAAATAAGTTGACTCAAATCAGTTTGCCAATTGAAGAGCAAACAGCGATATCATATTTTTATCAATTATTTGTAAAGATATATGGAGATAAAATATTATACACATCTCGTCTGCCCGTGATCACGGTTGCTGTAAAGTAACCGAAACGTCGCGAGTATGTAGTTTATAGTCACTAATAAAAAAATCGCGTAGTATATCCGAAAAATATTAGTTTCATTTAAATGACTCGCGAAAATTTAGATCTCATTAATATTATACACATTTTTATTTTTATGTTTATTATTATTTTTAATACTTATATTTACTAAATAACGGCTTATGATCGTTTTAAGAACTTTCAAAAGTCTATATACATTAGAGCTGTGTAGCTAATCAATAATTTATAATTACAAAAAAAACTTGTTTCTAATATAATTATGTATAAATCGGATGGAATTTGGACTCACGAAAGACGATTCCTGGAAGCCTATTTTAAATAAATTTTATTTTAAATACTTAGTTCATAGCTACCATAATAATATATTTATTACAAAAATATTGTTCAATCTACATATAAAAAGTAATATAAGTTAATTTAATATAACACGTAGAATTACAAATACAAGTAATTAATGAAGTAATTTCTATATCTAAGTATATCATTGTTTTATGTTATTAGTAAAGTGTAAAAATATCAATAAATTACGATAATTCATTAGCAATTGTAACTTATTATAGGTTACATAGTTTTTGATTATTTAATTAGTCAATAAATTTAAGGTGTTTAAATTAAAATGTATGTATGTTTATCTATTTTAACATTTTCCCGACTGTAGATTTACAGCAACCGTGATCACGGACAGGCGAGACAAGACACAGTCAGCGATATAATTATTGTAGTATTCATTTTTATCGAAAAAAAAACCGCATAATAATCGGAAAAAAGAAAGTTTCATTTTAAATCTGTACTCGCGAAAATCTTGGATATCAATTCTCTAACTTGCTCTGTAATATGAATACAAAACTTAATTGACTCATCCTTCGTTAGTTTTAGATACTTAGAACATATGTGACATACATAATTCTCCACTGAAACTTTATCATATAAATACTATATTACCTAAAAAACGCCTCCCACTCATTATTACAATTTACAACTAAAAAAAACATACTACATAATGTTTCCGCTTCAAAAAATAACCATTTTTCCTCAGATATCAACTAATAAACAGAATACAATACAACTATTTATTATAATAAATATTAATTCCAGAATTCCTTCCACAACTAAGAAACTTAATGTTAGAATATGGTAACGCGTATCGAATTTTTCTTCTACACGAGCCATACGTAGTGTTGTCACATCCAAAATATGCGGAGGTAAGTTTAAATTTATTTAATATTTTTTATCACTGGCAATTTTTACTGTTTAAAACAATTTAAATAATGCAAACAATGTAATACTTATAGTCTCATCATACGTGAAGGGAATTTTATGTGAGCTTAAAATTTCAAAGCGTTGAATCCTAGGTTTATAAATTGATATTCATATTACAAGCTTATTTAGTTGATGATAGAGTATAATTTAGAACAATTCCTATTCGTTAAAGTCATACCTTAAAACATATAAAAATGATTTTATTGAACATTAGTTCAAGATCTTATAACACTTTATTATTTGAAGCTGGTTCAACAAAAAATGGTTACGAATTAAGTAACCAATTGTAGTTACCGCCAATTAATTCCCATTTAAATCTAATATACAAAAAAAGAATAAATATTTGAATTAAAATTAAACGAATGTCAAATAATATAAGTTTTTAATAATTATCCTTAAATAGTTACTTTTAATTGCTATAAAATATATTACAATGGGAAATACTGAGTTTGAAAGGTTATCGTACTTGTATAATAAGTACAGTCATAAATTTTACTTATTTAATATATATGCTTTGTCTATATCGCTATAATGAAATTCAATAATCAATAAGGCAGTAAAATATTAAAATTAATATTTTTTTTAATCATGGTAATATTCTGAATGACAGACATGTTTTTTTTAATAACAGAAGTACAGGTACGTTTTGAAAAAGATCTAAAACAATTCATCCATCAAATAAATGATAAATTCAAATAAAAATTTTACTTAATAATCAATAAACTTTACTTTATTACTTTATTTAAAATATAATTGAAACCGAATAAAAACTGGATAGTTTCAAATATAAATATAATAAAATACATAAATATTATTCATTTATTAATAGTTAAATGGCATTTAAGTCAACCTTATTCTTGATTTAACCGATTCTAGAGAAGGTAAAGGGAAGGGTTGTGTTTTTCTTTGAACAAGATATTAAATATCTAGACTCAAATATTTTTCCTCATATTTTTATTTCAGCCGCTACTATCTCATTCGGAGTTGATAGTCAAAGGAAAGTCTTATTCGTACCTCCTCTCCTGGTTAGGGAATGGACTTCTGACATCGACAGGTAAATGACATTGATATATATCATAATTATGATTAATGACAAGATAATAATTGACATTGGCAGAATAGTCACAGATTACTGCGTGAATAAAGCCATAGCCTAATAAAAAAATATAAATTTTATATACACGAAATTAAATAAAAACTAGCTGTCCATAAAGTAAATTATGATATAAAAATAAGGTTATTTTATTGAAAGATGAAGTAAAAGAACTATAATATATATATACTTGTTATTAATATGAATAATTTTTGTAAGCTTTATAAACCATTTCAAACTAGTGACGTGTGACTTATTTTAGGACAAAGATGGAGAAATACAAGAAAATTTTTGACGCCGGCCTTCCATTTTAACATTCTCCAGAACTTTCTGCCGGTGTTCTTAAAGAATGAGAAGATATTGATAGAAAAGTTGAGAGATTACGCTGATGGGCGAGCCTTCAATGTGTTACCGATTATGGCATTGACAGCTCTTGACAATGTTACCGGTAAAATTGTTGTTTTGAAGTTTTTAACACTTTATTATCTGTGTCACTCGAAAAACGCATATTTTTCGGTTTTTCGTGAATAAATCTTTGTATTTCGTATCGGACATTTATTAGTGAAATTAAAATATCTTGTGTTTGGTTTGATTTCGCGCCATACTAGAGTTACTTGTTTTTTTAAGTAGTTTATTTTATTTCTTTTCAACGATCAGGTTAACGAAGTTAGATAATTCAATTTATTTCTACTTTTGTATTAGGTATTAAGTCACAATTATTTGAGTCTAATTAAAACTACATTTCTTATATCTCAGAGTCAATCATGGGAGTAGCAGTCAACGCACAAACAAACAGTGAATCAAAATACGTTAAATCTATTGAAACGTGAGTATTATTTGTAGTAAAGATCATATCCCTACCAATATTATAAATGCGAAAGTAACTCTGTCTGTCTGTCTGTTACGCTTTCACGCCTAAACCACTGAACTGATTTTAATGAAATTCGATATAGAGATAGAGTTAACCTTGAGAAAGAACATAAGATAGTTTTTATCCCAGACTTTTGAAAGGTTCTCTTGGTAACGCGATATAACCGAACTCCACGTGGGCGAAGCTGCGGGCGGAAAGCTAGTTTACTATAAAAAATCCTTTTAATACATATATAGGTAATGATAAACATTTTATTTCAGTTTAGCTAAGATTACATCTTCGAGAATGCGAAATCCTCTCTTGGGTGAAGACATAATTTTTAATATGCTGTCAGCTAAAAAACAACAAGACGAAGCCGTGAAGTACGTGCACTATGAAACAAACAAAGTTATAAAAACACGCAGACAAGAATTGGAATTATCTAAAATTACTAAATTAGAAAAAAATAATGATATGGGTAAAGTACACAAAGGAAATAAAGTAAATATTAAATTATTATACACTTATCTAATTTTTGTTTTATTTCAGGAATTAAAAATAAACACGCTTTTTTGGATCTCTTATTATTGGCTGAAGTGGACGGAAGACCGATAAACGACGAGCACGTACGGGAAGAGGTTGACACGTTCATGTTTGAGGTGAGATGAAATGTCAAATATTTGACAGTTAGCTGTTACATCAATGTCAAGACATGTCAAAATCCTGAAGCTTTCTGTCGTGTATTCATAATTTTTTTAAATCACTGACGTCTTTACAAGATTTTAATAGGATGTAAACCCATTATTTTTATGTTTAGATTATTTTTTTTTTATTTATAATTTAATCAATTCATTCAAAATCTTATCTGACATACGGTGAAGAAAAACATCGTGAGGAAACCTGGACTTTAATTTCACAATTATAAGTTTGAAATCACCAACCCGTCTTGAGCAAGCGTGGTGATTAATGCTCAAACCTTCTCCATGTGAGAAAGAGGCCTTTGCTCAGAAGTGCTCTGATAGGCTGATGATTATGATTATTACGCAAAATCTTATAGATAATAAGTAATTTGTAGGGCAATGCTATGTCTATACTTAAAAAATATATATTTATATGTATGTATTCTTGTACTAGGGTCACGACACAACTGCATCGGGTCTCGCATTTTCTCTATACTGTATGTCCAAATATCCAAGCGTCCAAGAGAAAATTCTAGAAGAACAGAAAGCTATACTGGGTGATGATTTGACTCGGGATCCTACTTATTCGTAAGTCTTCTCCAATTATTTAAAACATTAAGCTAATAGTTATTACTTATAAGCATTAAATATTAAATAAAACTATATTTTTTTCAGTGAAGTCCAACAAATGAAGTATTTAGACTCTGTGATAAGAGAGAGCCTACGTATTTACCCCTCCGTGCCTCTTATTGAGAGAAAGATTACAGAAGACTCACGTAAGAATGTTGCCATGTTATAATTTGTTAACTTTCGAGCATTAACTGCTTTCATAAAAATATCTTGTTAGTAGCTTGAACAGTTTTTATGTTCAACGGTTTTATTTCTTACATTTATGTATTTAGTCTAATCGTTACAAATTTTTCATACTACTTTTTTAATCTTTCTCCCTGACTTTTTTTAAATGTTTCCTTAAAAAAATACGCACATATCCAAATTATTCATCCAGATTATGTCACCAATACAACCTTTTTTAACCCTGACAGATTATAACCAGATCAGTTATTCCCGCCGAAATTGTATCTTTATTATTAAGCGATTTATTACAAGTTTTATAGTAGTACTCCAAAGTCCTTGAAAAACAAATCGCGGTCCGAAGCTAATATTGCAAAAATATAACGAGAATTTTTATGAATATTGAAACCTAACTTGTGGTTTCTTTTGACCCACATAAGATATCAGATATCGGAACTATAACATATATTTTATTAATCATTAAATTAAAATCCTTTTAAGATTCGACCTTGACATGCTTTTACTCGAATTTTTTTGTAAAAAAAAGTTTTGGACGTTCATAATGTGTATAGTTAAACAACCTTTAGTGGTAGTTTTATTGCACACTTCAATACTGACAGTCACTATGTTTGTGACTTAGAAATTAAACTAGACATTTCGTATTAAGTTCACAGTTCAATTAATAATATATTGAATTAAATTAAATTCCAATATATAGAAATATTTCTCACTATATTTTTTTATACTATTTAAAAGTCAAAAAAATCGATAATAAACATAATAACAAACGGAACAAAGCTATTTACGACATTATAATATAATAGTAAAAAAAACTACACATAATCATTTTGACATGTAGGTTTGAAGGAAAACCGGTTTTTTGACCTTGTATGAACAAAACAGGGCTAAATGTCAAACCTATTAAAAATAAACAACAAATCTCGATAAAAAAATGAATGAATGATATTACGTTTTAAATTTCAAATAATCCGTTTAGTTCATTCATTCACTTGTCATTATTATTATTATTACTCAACAAATTAAATTACTTAATCGATGAAATCCATTAATATGTAATTTTATGAAATATTAAATAACACATTCATTAAGTAATTATTGCTTTGTTAAATTGTTGTTAATTGATGTTTGACATTGAAATTAAAATGACAGACATATTATAAGTATGACATAGTCTTGGGCATAACCTTATAATGAAAACTTTGTATAGAGACGATTTAAATAGACTAGATTGCTTTCAGCCAGATGGTAATCTACATAGAAAAACTCTTCCCTAACTAAAACTCATATTTTCGGATTACTACGCATTATTTATTATAGTAACTCCATAGTTCCGTCGTTTCGGTTACTTTGCAGCGAGAGACGAGATTCACATCCAACCAAAACATTGGGAGTATGTACTTAGTTAAAAAAATACGCGTAGTAATCCAAAAATATTTGTTTAATTTAAATTAATACTCGCGAAAGTTTTAGATCTCATTATCCACTAGCCTAATATCTAATTGATCCAAAACAGTCTCAAACCGATAGTTTAGACTGACATACATACTCAAGTTTTTCTTAATAACTACCCTTAGACTAATCATCAAACAGAATTTCCATATTACATATACAGGGTGACTGGTGAATTACTATCAATATTTAAGGAGCATACTCGGTACATGATTCTCATTCGAAATATGTAAAAAAAAAATGGGTACTTAATTTTTGACCAAATTTCCGTATAAATAAATAAAGTGTGGATACAATCCAAGTGTTCCAAGTGTGGACGCGTGCGGCGGCGTGCTGATACAACACCACGCCGCCGACGTGTGTGTGTGTGTGTGTGTGTGTGTGTGTGTGTGTGTCTATATACCTAATCTGTAGGGTGTTCACACGATGCGTAATTAATTACACAACTTTTGGTTAACTTTACTTAGAAGTTTATTAATATTTATGTTATATTAATTTTTATTTTGTCATATATGATCGTCAAATATCACGTCCTCAAGTATCGATAGTAATTCACCAGTCACCCTGTATATCTCATCACTTATTTTCATCCTGTGCTATCTTAAGATCATCTTTAGGCCATGAGATAAACAATTAAAGATAAGAATAAAACATATTATATCATATCAATTATATTACATTCCAAGATATATCCAAATTATAATTGCTAATGCACGCCCTCGAAAAAAACATGTTATTGATTTAAATTTTATATTCGCTAATCTATGATCTCTTAATTAATTATTGGTCTTAACAAAACATGAAATTTCCTTCCATATCAAAGATTTATAACATCGATTATCTTAAACTTGGAGAAACTATAAAATTCATTAAGTAAAGCAACAAGTAATTTAGAAAAACTACATTAGACATATGTGAAAAGAAGTATTGTCAAAGAAACAAAACATTTCATATGAAAGAGTTAGAATTTATTAAAAAGAATTTATGTTACATCTGAATAATCACAAGCTAGAAGATAATAAAAACCAAATTATCCCTACTAATATTATAAATGCGAAAGTAACTCTGTCTGTCTGTCTGTCTGTCTGTCTGCTACGCTTTCACGCCTAAACCACTGAACTGATTTTAATGAAATTCGGTACAGAGATAGAGTTGACCTTGAGAAAGAACATAGGATAGTTTTTATCCCAGACTTTTGAAAGGTTCTCTTGGAAACGCGATATAACCGAACTCCACGCGGCGAAGCTGCGGGCGGAAAGCTAGTTATTTGTATAAAAACATTACCATTATTAGGTGATTGATTAATATTCGATATACATAATAAATTACTATATTACCAGTTCTGTCTTGAATGTGTGCGAATTGCGTTCTATTTTACATACACTCACACATGCACAAACTTTATATATGTTAAAAATATTACGTCTTTATTTTAAAGCAATTTTATTTTTACACCGTCATTCTAACTATACGAAACTTAACACACAGTACATAACTTATTTTTTGTATCCATTCTCATTAGTAATTTTTACAATAACAAAATAATTATTTTCTTTGTACATAAAATTTACTCGTTCATTTTGGCGCGAAAATAACATACTATGCAGGTGGCTTAAACAATACTGAGAAATACGCGAAATGCAAATATGTATGTAGCTACCACAAACATGTATGTAAACTTGGGCAAACGCAATATTGCACAAGTTGGCAATTGAAATTCGGAACTTCAGTTCAGTTCGGAACGTCAGAAAATTGCACAGGTTTCTTCCAATACACGTTTCAGTATACTTACGCAAGCCGTGACTTGCACAAAATTAATTATTTAATGCACAGTAACGCGAGCGACCGGCATTAGTACTGTTATTTTCGAGGTTAATCAAGTGTTTCACTTTTAAAAAATTAGCTCGTTATGAAGAAAAAGACATATCTTGACACTCTCACTACACAACCTTCTATTTCTGTCAGTTAAATAAATTCCAATAAGGAATATACAGGGTGACTGGTGAATTACTATCAATATTTAAGGAGGATACTCGGTACATGATTCTCATTCGAATTATGTAAAAAAAATAGGTACTTAATTTTTGACAAAATTTCCGTATAAATAAATAAAGTGTTGACACGTTCCAAGTGTTCCAAGTGTGGACGCGTACGGCGGCGTGCTGATACAAAACCACGCCCCCGCTGCGTATGTGTGAGTGTGTGTGTATACCTAATCTGTAGGGTGTTCACACGATGCGTAATTAATTACATAACTTTTGGTTAACTTTACTTAGAAGTTTATTAATATTTATGTTATATTAATTTTTATTTTGTCATATATGATCGTCAACTACCACGTCCTCAAATATCGATAGTAATTCACCAGTCACCCTGTATAATCATACAAATTATTCAATTGTCGTATATTTTTATTATGACATTCATATTTCCTCAGCGTGTGGTGCATTTTCAAATCTGAACCACCAAAAATTATTTTATTATTTATGAAGAAATTCCTGTAATGATAAATAAAAATAATAATAAAAATGCATTCCCAAAGAAGGTTGATGTCAGGCAGACGGCCGGTCGTAAAAGAAATAAGCCAAAACTATTTACAACATGTAATTAAGAACCTGGCTAAAGCTGGGATATTGCCAGGTAGAAGAAGAAGATAAATAGATGTTGTAAAACCTTCTTTTTTCGCAGAGGTTGGTGAACTTAGGATACCAAGGAACACATCCGTGATAATAAACATTCTTGAACTTCAAAGACATCCCGATCTATATGAAGATCCGATGGAATTTCGTCCAGAAAGATTTGAGACTGTTAACGCTAAGAACGCATTCAGTTGGATAACGTTTAGTGCTGGACCAAGGAATTGTATAGGTTGGTATAGTATAATAGATAATATTTATTTTATTCTAACCCAAAAAAAATAATAATATAAAAACTCCTTACATACTATTTTTTTTTTAACCTGTATATGTTAGTTTCGATGTCTATACTTTAAAAATTATAAATGTCAAAGTCATCAGCAGGCGCATGAAGTTACTTTTTAAAAATAAAAACAAAGGCTAAACTTAAAAGATAGTGCTATATAAAATATTTAATAATAATCTACGTGTTTAGGTCAAAAGTTCGCCATGTTGGAATTGAAAGCGACATTGGCGAGCATCGTTAAGAATTACCGAATACTGCCAGCGAATTCATCCGAGCCCATACTCTGCGCGGAACTGGTATTACGTTCGGAAAACGGCGTACAAATAAAATTAATGCCGAGGAAATCTGAATTATAATTATAATTTTAAATCAAATAAAATATATAAATAATACATGAAGAATCCTCGGGTCAAGATCATTAACAAATGTATAGTGTATAAGTTATGTTAATAAGTTTCAAAATTGTAGATATATTTTTTTTTATTTGTAAATTATGAAAATTGTCATGTTATATTTGTATATATTATTTTACTGTATTTTTATGTTAGATATGTTATTGTAAAGTAAAAATTATTAATAAATGAAGAATTTAATAGAAATCTAGAGATTATTCGGCCATTGTTCACTCTATTTTTGGTATTCGCTATCCCGCCATGTAATAGTTTAAAATTCTTGAAATTACATATTATTTTGAATAGTTGTGTTTTAAATGACATATTACCTCACTTTGGAAATGTAAATTGAACTGTCGTAATTTTTGTTGAATTAAAACAAGTTTTTCAGCATTTCTTCGTAACAAATGATTAGGTTATTGGTAAATTATACCTCTCACTATACAAGCTGTGACACTTCTAGAGGCTTTGATAATGTATTTCGTTCGACGATCATCATTTGTAAGGAACTCGACGAATTTTAACAAAAAAAAACATCTCATTTACCACAGAAATTATACCCACATTCTGTAGTCACCTGCTCATAGCTGGTACAGAAACCATTACAGTTTTATTATTCCTGATATTTACGATTAGATTCATTAAAACTTGTTTTGAAGCAAGTTGTATAAGCTGCAGTTCACGGCCAGCCAGAGGTATGAAGAAAAGTACGTCACTTATGTGTATATTACGAGTATAATTAAAATAACTTAACTAAAACTTATAGCCTATACCTAAAACTACATGTTTATTTTGATGCTAGAATAGAACTACATCACATTAATTGTGTTGGTCAAGAATCTTCTGGTTCTACCGGCCAGGTATTTTTTGCGTGGAGTCCGCAGTGTCACGCCTTATATAAGTATTTTATCTATACAGGGTGACTGGTGAATTACCATCGATATTTGAGGACGTGGTAGTTGACGATCATATATGACAAAATAAAAATTAATATAACGTAAATATTAATAAACTTCTAAGTAAAGTTAACCAAAAGTTATGTAATTAATTACGCATCGTGTGAACACCCTACAGATTAGGTATACACACACACTCACACATACACGGCGGGGGCGTGGTTTTGTATCAGCACGCCGCCGCACGCGTCCACACTTGGAACACTTGGAACGTGTCAACACTTTATTTATTTATACGGAAATTTTGTCAAAAATTAAGTACTTATTTTTTTTACATAATTCGAATGAGAATCATGTACCGAGTATTCTCCTTAAATATTGATAGTAATTCACCAGTCACCCTGTATAATAGTGATTGATGAGTTAATGTCGGTTAAATTTTAAACAGGATACGTAACAGGCGTGATGCAAAAAGTAGAAACTGGAAATTCTTTGTTTCCATCTTCTTTGAATCGACGCATTATATTTTTGCGCGTCTTCAGACAGCGTTGTGATATTTGGTATCCGGCCAAATCATGACGTCACAACTCAATAATTTAATTGTATATTTGTTCAGTGAAATTTAATCTTATGTAGATCTTAAGAGATGAAAACTTCGAAAACTATGTACTTATATTTAGAAATTTACTTGTTTTATTTACCATTTAGGGAATTAATGTAGAAATAAATTTTTATTATATTTATGAAAAGGAAAAGGCCTTTCCTAAAATGAAATTACAAATAGGACCAGAAATTTTTAGCATATTTTAACAAATACAGTTTATACTTTATACTGATTCCATATTATAAGATATAACTCACTATTTTGTTATTTGAGAAATATATAAAATAGTTTTGAAAAATATTTGAAAGTATGCTTTACAAGAAAAATGTATGCCTTACCCTTTTTGCTGCTTAGTCCTTGTACGTATAAAATTACCTAAAATTATTGGGTGTTATAGTGTTAGTTTCGCCTGTATGTAAGGTAATATTAACAATAAAAAGGTTTTGAAATAACATTCAAATACAGATTCCGAACATATTTCAAATCTTTTAATATCAATAGAATAGAGCTTCATAGAATTCTGTCAACATTTTATTTCAAAGGTACTTAAGTACGTAACTGCTACTTATTTCCTTACTTATAGATAGAAATTTATATACATAACAAAGAGTATTAAAATTTAGTAGTGTTATTATAGAATGTGCAATTAGCGTAGTAACATAAAATAAGTATGGAACCAAATATATTTTTTTAAATTTAGTGTACACTTGATATTAATCAAATTTGTGTACTAAAGAAGCTGCTGGCTGCTGCTGGCTGGTCTGCTTATAACTGAAAAGTTCATCCATACAATAATCGCACAAAAAACTGGTCAAAACAAAAAGACTTGGAGGAAATCCTGCCCGATGGCAAAAAATTATATGTCGAAGATAAAGTATATCGATTTTCGTAACATAACTTCGGACTTGCGTCCTACATAAGACATTGGTCAATGGTCATTTCTTAGTTGATATACTTAGTTGATATATATTGGTTTATATTTTTTTTAGTTTTAACTTGAATTTAGCTGTTAGCCCTAATGGCTTTGACAGCGTCACCGGGAGAGTGTTTTGTCATTTGTTAGTCTTAAGAAAACCTAAAATTGACTTTGACGTTTGAGAGTGCAATATCAAATAGGCAAAGGCAATAAAATATACAAACAAAAATATTGCAGATATATACTAGTAATTATCTTTGCAATATTTGAATAAATTCAAACTTAATTCCTTCTTAGACGACTTTGTGCAACGTTCTCAAGTTATCTTATATGCGTTATATAGAGTTATACAGTGAAATAAATGTGATTTAATTTAAAACAACACATAGCTGAAATAAATATTTGCTTTAAAATCATCTAATAGATTCAGCTTAAAATGTCATCAGATTCCTTAAATATCGCCCGACGAAAGCTAAATGAGGTGTTAGGTGATAAAAACACGAAATATTTCAATCATATGAAGCAGTGGTTTCGCATGAAACTCACTAAAGAAGAATTCGATGCGGAAGCTCGAGTGTTGTTAAGTCCAGACCAAGTACACTTTCACAATGAATTTCTTCTCGCTTTATTGAATAAAGTCGAAGGTTTGGCTGAAACTTCGATATCAATTGCTCAGGAGAGAGCTGTCTCACACAACAGAAACACCAGGCGACATAAACGGAATTCGCGAACGTCAGAGAAGTCTAACTTCGAATCTGCTGATTTATTGGAATATTTACCACCCAGTTCACCTCCGGGGGCTGGCAGTGATGGTGTGAAATATGCAACTCAGGTAAGACGGTAAATCATTGTCTAAATAATGAGATAAAGATTGTCATACAATATAGTTTGCCAAAAATATCATACTTCATATTTAATGCTATATCCAAAACATTATACATAATTAAATCAAACTTTGTCTAGAATTGCACTAATGTCATTATTTACAAGTTTATTTTTAGAAATATTATTCATTATTCATATACATAAACAAACAACTACTGTAATAGACAGACTGTGAACAATTTAAATAGTGTCAAAACTATTAATTTTTTAAGCTTTTCTTATGAATATATGAATTTTTCAGGAAATATTTTTACCCGATCATGCCTTAGTAGTCGGGCGATTCATGCTTGCCGCATGGGAACTAGGTTTAGAAGGAGCTGATGATGAGGCAGCAGATCTCATTGTAGCCGCTGTACAGAACTTCCTTAAGAACATAATCAGTGCTGTGGTCACACAACGGAAAGGTTATAAGCGGAGACATAAAAATTTCATCTATGATATTGGAGGCGACATGCCGAACATGTGGTTGAGAAATACAAATAACTTGTACGACCCACAAACAGATGGAAGGGTTAATTTGGATGATAGTCTAGATGCATTGGGTCCAAGATGCCCACCTACTATTGATGAGGTTGAACAAAATGCGGCATATGAAATCGCTTGCAGGTAAAATATAATATCATAGGAAACATTATACTGATTTTTCCCTATACTAAATAACTTAAAATATTTTAACTCTGCTTTTATACATGAGATAATTCCATGGTAATTTCAAATTCATTTTCAAATGTGGTGTTTTCATACTATGTCTTAATTCCAGCGTCCCGAACACAGAAGTGAACGATGACAAACTGACCATTGAGGATTTTTACGATACATTACTAACTAACAAGAATATTATCGCCTGCCATTCAATATATGCCATCAATATGGAAAGATTAGCCGTTATGTTGAACCATCCAAGCTATTAGATTATAAATAAAGAGAAAAATACTTCAAAAAGCAAAGAAGTCTTTGATTTAATTCCTTAATTAAGAAAATATAAACGAAATTGTTTAGCAAAATCATGTTGAAAAGTATTATATAGAATGGAAGTACAGTAGAAATATTTTTTGAATCAAATAATTGCATGTTAATTATAAGCTATTTAAAGCTTCTTCTTCTACCTGGCAATTTCCCAGCTTTAGTCAGGGTCTACCTTACATGTTGTGAATAGTTTTGGCTAATTGTTATTGCGACCGGCCGCCTACCTGACATCAACCCTCTTTGGGAATGCATTAATCAGTGATGTCTAAATACTCTTAGAAAGTACATATGATTCGGAAAAATCACATTGGTACTTGCCAGGGCCAGGATCGAACCCGCGCAATCGTGTATGAGAGGCGGGCCTTTTAAACACTAGGCCACCACTGACTATTTAAAGCTTATATACTTAAATGTAAAGATCACCGGAATTTAATAAGGACTATTGTCATCTATGATGGCTTAAAATTAATTCATATAAAATATCAACTAAATGTTATAATATATAGATTAAATTCACTAAGATAATAAACTGTACCCCAAATACAGTCTCTACTTCCCTAAAACAAGTAATGTACTTTATATAAAAGAAATCAGTATTAAATAATTCATTTATTAAAACATGATATAAATAACATCTTTTTTTAATCATAATAACAAAAAAAATCTTTTCTACAATTCATTTAAAATAAACAGAAAAAATTAAAACATAAAGTCAAGAAAATTATTTAGTAATAGAAGAAAGATAGAGAAATATAAAAGATTAGGTACAGAAAATTGAACAGAGATTAATAAATTACACTACAAATTATTACATATATACATAAAATTTAAATAGTAAATCTTCATAAAAAAATAGTACTTCATTTATAGTGATTAAATTCAAATATAATTAATATAATACAATTATTGTCATACTAATTATCTTTAAGAAATATACATTCTAATTTGAGCTCTAAGTTCTTGGCATTAAGGGTGATGTTCCTGGCTCTGATGGGGACTATATAACTACACTCGGAACAATTCTGCTTGGTCTAGGGCTAGCTGACGATTCTCTTTCTCTTTCCCGTTCAGGCATTTCATGTATTTCTATCTCTTGCTGTTGATTTGTACCACCGGTTATAAAACTACGTTTCTTCCACGCTATATAACCCAATGTGCCTAGAGCTACGGCTATCAGAATACCTCCTAATGTCACGCCGGTCGCAGAAGCCGTTGACATAGTATGCATACCTGTAAATACGAAATGTTAAGAGACATTTTAAGCCTTAATATTATATATTAAAGGCATATAATGAAACAAAGTCGCGTGACTGTTGCTAGTTTACATCAGCCTAAAAACTGGCATATATTGAACTTTATTAACGAATAGGAATTTCGTAGTTTCGTCTTCAAAAGTAATATAGCATTGGGCCATTTCAGGTAATGTAATCCGACTAATATTATAATTGCGAAAGTTTGTGAGTGTGTGTATGTTTGTTACTTCTTCACGCTCAAACGGCTGAAGCGATTTTGGTAAAATTTTGTATACAAGCAGCTGACGTCCGGGAATAACATATAGGCTACTTTACGGGGCGTAGATAGTGTGAAAATAATATCAAAAACTATGTTTAGATAAGATAATTATGTGGTTTTATACAAACCTTCAACTTCTAGCTTAATGACATCAACATATTCCTTGCCGTCGTCCAAGCTGGCGCCGCATGTCCACAAACCAATATCCTCATATTTCACTTTATTGATTGTCACCACACAATCCCCTCTATCCAAACTGCTGTTTGACGGATAATAGTATTTATCCATAATCGGACTGGAAAAGTAATTGCTATCAGAATTTAATAGGCACTTACATGTGGACTATCCCTACTAATATTATAAATGCGATAGTAACTATGTCTGTCTCTCTGTTACGCTTTCACGCCTTAACCACTGAACTGATTTTGATGAAATTTGGTACAGATATAGAGTTGATCTTGAGAAAGAACATAAGACAGTTTTTATCCATGACTTATGAAAGGTTCTCTTGAAAACGCGATATAACCGAACTCCACGCGGACAAAGCTGCGGGCAGAAAGATAGTGAGCTATATATATTAACTGTAGTTAGTACCTAATTCATGAAAAATTTAATAACTGCAACAAAATATACTTAAAATCCTAACAATGTTACTTTATTATTTTAAGTATCACGAATTGTCATGGAAGAATAATATTCTCTCGTAAAATTTATGATAACATAGTAACGAAACTAGGGACACGACAACAATACAATACAATAGTTAAAATATTACTAACCTATTATTAACGGTTCAAAACACTTTAGTACCGATTATGCAGTAAATATTTCATATAAATATATCTAAAGTAGGAATTAAAAGAAATATTTTTAATATAAAATATATCTTACCGCTCGCTAGTTACCGATGAATCTATATTAAACGATCTTCCATTGGGTGGTTCAAAACGACAGTAACTCAAAGGGACTAATCCTTTAGTCGTTGCACAAGTAAGTGTTATCGGTTTATTCAGTTTAGCAGTCACATTAGGTTCGACCGCGGCCACTTGATTCACAATCCGTACTTGTATTTTCTTTATGGTTTCCAATCTTATAGATTTCCTTCCAATGTGACAGCCCCATTCACCGTCATCGCTTTTCGTAGCTTTGATCTTCTGAACGCATTTACCATCATTCACTGATAGATCTGTAAATCTTTTCAATCAAAAACATCCGTTATATTGATTACAAGTATTAAAAGTATCTTGAAACTAAGTGAATAAGGTAAATATAAGAAATATAATCGGTTTACAATTGTCTTATTTTTATCCGAAAAGATATAAAATATTTAAACCACAATTAATCATATTAATGGAACGTTATAAATATATAGGTATATGTATATTATATAATATGTAAGAATTTGGAAGGTGATTAAATTAGATAAAACTTTTTCTATCAACTTTAGTTCTGATAAAATAATGAAATAAACATACGAAAATCTCTTCCCAGTAGGGTGAACGAATCCGCAGTACGTCATAGGAAATTCTGATTCACATTGTATATTTATATTTTCATTTTCAAACGCCAATATCGTCTGTTTGCCGTTGATCCTAAATATCCTAAAAGCTGTAACACACACACTTTAATACACGAACATCATAAAGATAACAAAACAAGTATTTAACTTACAATTGACTAAATTTAAACTATATATTATTAAAGTTAGAACAGTCATATATAGCCTCGCGGAGAGCATTTTGAACTGTCAAAGCGACCGCTTATAACACGAGACTACCCTCTGAAGTTTGGTCAAGAAATACATAAGAATTATGTTAAAGGTCAATTACTTAACGAGGGTTACTCTGATAACATAAGATTAGGACGGGATTGTTTATTTATATAATAAATACGAGATACATTTGTAGAATAAGGTCTAATATTTTGTTTATCACAGATACATAATAAACGTAATTTTAAATATTTATAATAGCATGTGTCTTTATAAATATTTCGTTGACTAGGTTTAAACTAAATTACTAATAATCATGTTTAAACTAAATTACTTTTATTTTAAAAGAAATTCATTCTTATAAGTATGTACTGTTGATTGAAATAATCTTATTTTTTTACTTCACACTTTCGAAAACGACTGTAGGTATGTGAGTAAATATAGTAAAAATAGGCCTCATTCGTTACACAAAGATAGAATAATGAAATAAATAACCGTTTATAATTTATGCTAATATTATTAAGAAATTTTTGTTGTTTTGACCCTTTTGTTTGAGATTTTGTGTTTTTTCTATTATCATTATATATTTAAAATTTAAATAATGCCATACTTAAAATTTAATTTAATGACGAGAAAGAAAATGAACTAGAAAGTTCCAAAATGTTTTCCGAAAGCTACAAGTTAAAAGTCTTCTCAAGTCGATGAATTTTTCATTCTGTATATATATTTGTTAAAAATATATATTTTTTATCTACTTACATCATAATTTTAATGAAAATACCTAATAGAATCAGTAAGGCATAAAGAAAAAATAATCCCATGTGATTTTTTAATATTAATAGATATCTAAAATATTGTTTTCAAACAACGAGATAGTCGTAAAAATATAATAAATGAAATTATATAATAAATTTGTTAGGTAGTTGAGCCTAGAGGTGGTCAGTTACAGCTCGAACATGGGTTGGCTCGACCGGGAAAGTACTACCCTCTCATAGAAAATCGATGTGAAGTAGTCTTTAATGGCTGCGTGTCGTCCGATGAGTGAGAGAACCGGTTGCTCTCCCCCTATTCCCACCCTTTCCTACAATTTCCTTATCCCCATCCCTCCCTATTCCTAAAAAAAACAAGTTTGGCAACGCATCCGCAACAAAGATGTTACGTATGTCCATGGGCGACGGTAACCACCTTCCATCAAGTGGGTCGTCTGCTCGTTTGCCACCTTTCACATAAAAAAAATCATTACACGAATGTTAGCTACAAGTATGCAAAATTTATTTGACTGAAAGCTTCTCATGAAGATGTTCAGTGTATATTCATGACAATAAAATTTGCAGTCTTTATTACAGTATTATACTTTTTTTAATAATGAGTAATACTTATGGAAAAGTATAGAATAATACGGTATTTTTTGAAAACATGAGGATTATTACGTGAGAATTTTCTGTACAAATTTGTATTAAAATTAAGAACAAAAATTAATGTATAAAATTCGAAATATTTAACAAATAAGTCAGTTCAGTCTATAAGTCCACAGTCAATTTAGATTTTGATGTGTTCAAGGTCAATGTGAATAAATAAATGATAAAATTAATAATTATTAATAGATATAAATAATACTACTATAGTTTAACATGGAGGCTAAGTTTGTTCTTACTATTTTATGAGTAAAAGTCAATCACTATTCAGCCAGCAATAAAAGGAACTACATATATAAATATTTTTTAAATAAAACAACTTCAAAATTATATGCATTTTATTTCTCATTCACTCATTTCTCACACTGACAAATATTTTCTATAACATACTACTTCCTTCTATTCCGTCCCTTTGTTCTTTTTTCTGTTTTATCTGTGCTCAATTCTTGTTGTAGCTTCTTTAGCATCTGTGGTGTTATTAAGCCCTGGAATAAAAAAAAATTCAAAAAATGTGCTTTCTTATTCATTATTTTTATTTATAAATATGGTAATCCCTACTAATACTAACTAGTTACTGTGTCTGTCTGTCTGTTACTTTTTCACGTCAACACCGCTGAACTGATTTTAATGAAATTTGGTACAAACATAAAGTTGATCTTGAGAAAGAACATAGGATAGTTTTTATCCCAGACTTTTGTAAGGTTCTCTTGGAAACGCGATATAACCGAACTCCACGCGGGCGGAAATCTAGTATTATTTATATGACTTACCTTTGAAACAAGCATTTCTGATAACTTTCCCTTTGAGTCGTCATGTCTCGAGTGTAAATGTAATTTTTTCCCTTTGCCATAATCTTTCATATCTGTCTCACCTTCAAGGACCGGCTCTGAATTCCTTAATAATCTGAAAAAAAATATATTTAAATATATAAACAACTAGTTATTGCCCGCAACTTCGTTCGCGTTAAGTTCGGAATTAGTAATACATGTATAGCTGACTGGGCGAACTCTATTCCGCCTTAGAGGTCTTAAATAATCAGATATTGGAATTTATTAAGATTTTTCTTTCTTTTTCGATCGAACAGAATTAAATAACTTATGTCCGATTGCTGGTTCTAAGCTATCTCCCCAAAAGTTTTCAATGATATTATTAAAGCCGTTCCTGAGTTATAAATGGTGTAACTAACACAACTCTCTTTTATATATAATAGATATAAATATATAAACATAGTTAATTCTGGAACATTAATTTATGTTACCATATACTATATATAGCGTGATATTCTAAATTTGAAATTGACATGCAAATATTAATAAATTAATTTTACTTATGATTACTATAATATATCATAATAACCTCGTTATCTGGAAGATTCCCTGCTGTATGATAGCGTCAAGTTCAACCTCCATCTCACGGACCAGCCTCACGTCTGGGAACATGTCTGGGAAACGATAACTGGAATAATGATTGTATTGTTAATAAAATAGGAAAATACTTTTATTATAATAATAATTTTTTTCCTTTACGGACAGCAAAATTAATACTTTTTTTCTGAAAGAGTTCGAAATTCAAATATATGAACGATGTTAGATTTTTAATGAAAATAATCTGATGGTGTTCGAAATTCCAATATATGAAAGAACAATGTTAGATTTTCAATGAAAATAATCTGATGGTGTTCGAAATTCAAATATATGAAAGAACAATGTTAGATTTTCAATGAAAATAATCTGATGGTGTTCGAAATTCAAATATATGAAAGAACAATGTTAGATTTTCAATGAAAACAATCTGATGGTGTTCGAAATTCAAATATATGAAAGAACAATGTTAGATTTTCAATGAAAATAATCTGATGGTGTTCGAAATTCAAATATATGAAAGAACAATGTTAGATTTTCAATGAAAATAATCTGATGGTGTTCGAAATTCAAATATATGAAAGAACAATGTTAGATTTTCAATGAAAACAATCTGATGGTGTTCGAAATTCAAATATATGAAAGAACAATGTTAGATTTTCAATGAAAATAATCTGATGGTGTTCGAAATTCAAATATATGAACGAACGATGATAGATTTTTAATAAGAATAATCTGATGGTGTTCGAAATTCAAATATACGAAAGAACGATGTTAGACTTTTAATGAAAATAACCTGATGTTGTTCAAAATTCAGATATAAAAACGAATGATGACAGATTTTCAATGAAAATAATCTGATGGTGTTCGAAATTCAAATATATGAAAGAACAATGTTAGATTTTCAATGAAAATAATCTGATGGTGTTCGAAATTCAAATATATGAAAGAACAATGTTAGATTTTAATGAAAATAATCTGATGGTGTTCGAAATTCAAATATATGAACGAACGATGACAGATTTTTAATGAAAATAATCTGATGGTGTTCGAAATTCAAATATATGAACGAACGATGATAGATTTTTAATAAGAATAATCTGATGGTGTTCGAAATTCAAATATACGAAAGAACGATGTTAGACTTTTAATGAAAATAACCTGATGTTGTTCAAAATTCAGATATAAAAACGAATGATGACAGATTTTCAATGAAAATATTCTGATGGTGTTCGAAATTCAAATATATAAGAGAACGATGTTAGATTTTAATGAAAATAATCTGATGGTGTTCGAAATTCAAATGTATGACAGAATTAATATATAAGATTTTAAAAGACAAATTATTTTGTGTTTTATATCGACTATAACTGGTAATATCTTTCTATGACGTGTTGCATAGCATCTAAAGACACCTTCACACTGACCTGAGCCATAAGTATAATTCTAGTACATCAAATACTGCTTCCAGGTGTACAAGGTCCATTATAGTCCTGGGCGCTGGTAGTGGCCAGTCCACAACATTAGTCATCCAGTTGCGAGTGATGGGCTCATTGCGACTGTACTGACGGACCATCTGGAATATGTGATAATAGTGATGTGAAATATCGATAGATTTAACTTGATATACATATGTACTTATTCTATTCAGGTTCGTTGTTGTCAGTTTATCAGTATTACTATATAAAGTTGTAGTTATTTATCAATAAATCAAACTATTTATACTAAATAAGATCTAAGATTTTCGCGAGTATTCATTTAAAAGAATCTAATGTTCTTCGGATTATACTTCGAGTATTTTATTATTGTAAAAACTGTATATTCTCGACATTTCGGTTACTTTTCAGCAACCGTGATCGTGATAAATATTAGTTTTATAGCAAACCTAAAACGATCATCTAAAATGTACCTTTTATATATAATACTCAAATTTTACTAGAATAAGGCATGTATTGGATATGAACTGATATTGGATTATAATGGTAGAATATCAAGAACATATGTATATACCTTGAGGAAGGTGGCGCATACGAACGGCAGTTTATTATTGATGGGCGCGCAGCAGAACACGTAGCGAGCCCTCAGCGGCAGCGGCACGTGCTGAATCATCTCCGCCAAGAACTTGAAGCCTTCCGTGTTACACATGAAGTATAGGGTGGCGTCCACCGTGCAGAGGTGCACGAAGATATCCTGGGGGAGATGATAGTATGATATACAGGGTGTATAGAATATTCATCTTAACGACAATATTTCGTATACAGTGTTAGCTCTCTTATTATTATTGATCATGTTACATTAAAATTATTTAACTTAATTACGACAAAATAAAAAACAAACAAATTTCTTAAATATTTGATAATTGAGAACACTGGAAAACGGACAAAAATTTGGTTTTTATAAGAGACATTATTGAACATGAGTTTATTATACCAATCTTGTTGGTTTTAGAGGTGGTAGAGCCTAGCTGTGGTCAGTTACTACAGCTCGAACATGGGCTAGCTCGACCGAGGAAGTACCTCCCTCTCACAGAAGATCGGCGTGAATTAGCCTTTAATGGCTGCGTTTCGTCCGATGAGTGAAAAAAACCGATTGCCCTTTCCCTTTTCCCACCCTTTTCCTTTTCCCTCCTTTTCCCCCTATTTCCCAATCAAAGGAGGCAATACATTCGCAAAGCTATGTTACGGATGTCTATGGGCGACGGTACTACCTCAATCCGTCCGGCCGTCTGCTCCGTTGCCCCCTTTAACATAACATATATGTATATATAATGTATGCATACCATGAGACTGCTCAGGCTAGCGTGTGGTAGGTGGTAGGCATATAACTCCATCTGTTCAGCCGTGGGATGCAGACCAGCTTGGGTCACGGGGTCGGGAGGCTGGGATAATAGCATTTTGAGAGTCGCGAGGTCTTCAGACTTGAAGGTAGTTACATAACCCGTCTCCCAAGCACTGCCGTATCTACCAGCTCGACCTTGAAATATTTAATATCAGTATATTATCTTCTTCTACCTGGCAATTTCCCAGCTATGGCCAGGGTCTGCCTTACATGTTGTGAATAGTTTCGGCTAATTGTTTTTACGACCGGCTACTGCCTGACATCAACCCTCTTTGGGAATGCACTAATCAGTGATATCTAAATACTTTTAGAAAGTACATATGACTCGGAAAAATCACATTGATACTTGTCGGGGCCAGGATCGAACCCACGCACTTATGTATGAGAGGCGGGCCTTTTAACCACTGGGCCACCACAGACTTTACAATATCAGTATATTATATCATATAACAAATATTAGTGTATGTATATACATTTATTTAAGTTTAAAGTTTTAATGTTGGTTGTATACATGAGTTTAATAATTTATTGTGCTAAATGATCTGAATAAAGGATATATTAAAGGCTTACATCTTATAAATCAACTGCTTTTAATATTTATATGGTCTTTTCATCAGCTGTTTAATGAAATTTTTTAGTGCATATGAACGTAATTAAAATGGATAAATCATGTAGCTATATAAATTAGTTGTTATTTTTATATTTAAAGTGACTTAATGTTAATATACTATAAGACATATACCTGCTATTTGCAGCGCTTGTGATATACTTATAACATCCATCTCCTTGTCTCCGTCAACATTTATCACTGGCTTGATGAGAGAATAAAATATTATACGACGTATACTCCTGGAAAATACAGAAACACATACTTAGAATACTTGAAAATATAATCTAGTTATTTGTAAGGAATATATTGCTTAATATTTATGATAGTATTGTTAGTGGTGGCCTAGTGGTTAAAAGGCCCGCCTCTCATGCCTGAGGGCGTGGGTTCGATCCTGGCAAGTACCAATGTGATTTTTCCGAGTCATATGTACTTTCTAAGAGTATTTAGACATCACTGATTAATACATTCCCAAAGAGGGTTGATGTCAGGCGGCCGGTCGTAAAAACAATTAGCAAAAACTATACACAACATATAAGGCAGACCCTGGCTAAAGCTGGGAAATTGCCAGGTAGAAGAAGAAGCAGATTTTTGATAGTTTTGGTTTCATATTTCTTTTTTACTTACAAATTAATACCGAGTCCTATAGCGTCAGTAGCGACCATAACTTTACAAGAACTTTCCGGATCATTGAACTTATTTGCTTGAGCAAGTTTAGTCCCGGGTGGCAAACTACCATATATTACAGCCACTTCACGACCCCTGGAATATAAAATTATATAAAACGCCTGAATAAAAAAAAATAGCAACAAATCATGCATTTTCCTAATCCGTACTAATATTATAAATGCGAAAGTAACTCTGTCTGTCTGTTACGCTTTCACGCCTAAACCACTGAACTGATTTTAATGAAATTTAGTACAGATATAGAGTTTACATTGAGAAAGAACACAGGATAGTTTTTATCCCAGACTTTTGAAAGGTTCTCTTGGAAACGCGATATAACCGAACTCCACGCGAGCGAAGCTGCGGGCGGAAAGCTAGTATAAAATAATGTTTGATATATGTTAAATGTAAAAGATACCTGCCTCAAAGGACTGACCTCTGTTCAATAGCTCGACTCACACTGTATATATCATTCTTATTGAAACAAACTATACAGTCACCGGCCTTAACATTGTCTAATGTGCCCAAAGCACTACTCTCAACCTTTAACTCGGTCAAACGTTTATATGTTCTCACCTGAAATAAAACAAATCTGATATAGGGAAGTGCAGAATCGAAATTAAAGATAATTATATGGATTTTATATATCAATGATAATATTTTAGTAATCTCAGCAACCGTGATCACGGGCAGACATGATCACGGTTGCTGTAAAGTAACGGAAACATGTAGTATATAGTTTATATCAAAAATAAAATCGCGTAGTACATCCGAAAAATATTAGTTTCATTTAAATAACGCGCTCAAATCTCAGTTCTCATTATTCAGTACTTCTTGCTAACAGATTACTTTGGATTTTATATATTAATGACAATACTTATCTTGATATCAAATTACTTTTAATATATATCAACTTAAATATATATATGCAACATATATATATCAACCAACCTCCAGTTCTTCTCCGGTTGTGTTACACATTTCTTCAACCAAACTTATAGCGCCCGCTTCACCACATAAATGTATTTCATCAGCTTTGAGACCTGTTAGTCACATGAAGAATGTTATTAATTATGTAAAAATAATATATAGGAGTTTTGGAATATTTATGGTCATATATTTTAAAAGTACACACAATAGAATATCTCAATGTTACCACACAATAGAATCTCAAATTAATTGTCCTGTCAAATAATACAGGCTGGTTTTTTTTATGTTTTTATTTAAGAAGATTTTTTCAAACACACTGTATAATTTTTGTTTCTTCTAGTTTTGCCTATATAGATGCAAATTCAGGTTGGTGAAATTTTTTGAAAGCTATTCAGTAGATTTTTGTAATATAACATCCACATACAAATATTTATAATATTTGTGGGATATACAATATTTATTTACCTAAAACAGCCCTAGTCCACGCCCATCCTCTACCTTTGTCACCCAACATTTGAATTTCATCAATGATTGCTACATCATCTGAAAAATATAAAAGAAATATATTAAAAAAGTTTTCAGCCAGTTTTAATATAAAAATTAGGAAACAACCTATAGAGAAACTTCTTTGGTGAAAAAAAAAGAGAAATCCCTACTAATGTTATTAATGCGAAAGTAACTCTTGTCTGTCTGTCTGTTACGTTTTCACGCCTAAACCACAGAACTGATTTTAATGAAATTTGGTACAGACATAGAGTTGACTTTGAGAAAAAACATAGGATAATTATTATCCTAGACTTTTGAAAGGTTGAACTCGACGCGGGCAAAGCTGCGGGCGGAAAGCTAGTTTCAAATAAATATCTGTTTGCTTTTATAAATATACTCACAAGTATCATTCAACGAAGTCATTTCCACTGTACACGCTACATGTTTGGAAGGTGTTAATACAGGTTCTTCCAATAAGAACGGCTCTTGATCTAATTCCTTATTATCTTCTACATTATCTACTAATGACTTATACTGAGACGCATGCCGTCTCTCTTCACCGGTTATTAAATCACATGGGGTACCCTATAAAAACATAGTATATTACCCACAAAGTATTGTTATACATAAAATTTAACAAAAATCGGCCTAATAAATGAAATAAAAATTAGTCATAAATTTTAAAGACTACTATTTATTAAAGTATTTAATGTAAAACATGATTGTCTAGAGCCACAAGAAAATTGTATTATAGAAATAAGTATAGATATTTCAAAGTTAATTAACTAAATACCCAGAAACTAAACAAAATACTATTCCGAGAAGTAACTATAGTTCTTAAGTATAATTCAATGATTAATTCAATATAAGTCTTATACATAAGTTTATACATATTATATATTTAAAATATCTATTATATTAACTCACCTTACTATTTGATTTATGATAGATTTCTGTTGCTAACAACTTCAAAGGTCCACAGTATACCCCAGATTTTGCTGCAAGGAATTTTTCCATAGCATGGTAGGTCTTCCCAGAATTTGTGGGGCCGGCATGGAATATAATTTTTCTATTTATATTCCTCGCTTCGGGATACCTATGTGTAATATATTGAGTCATGAAAGATTCCAATATTGATATCATAAAATAATTAATATAATACTATACTAATGTAACAATAATTGTGTATTAAAGTATTAATATAGAAAAATTAAATAACTACATATTAAATATTCTTTAATATTTACCAATTGGCTGGTGTCCTTAAATCTGATATTTTTTTAAGATCATCTAAACAATCTAAATGTGGGAATGCGAGCCTAGCATGTCTAAGGAAATATGGAAACAGGTCATTCACATTACCTGCACCTAAAACAAGAATAAAGTTACAGACCATACACTTCATAAACAAGATATGATAAAATATTTCGCAATGTAAATAAAAAATCCTCACCTACTAAAATATCACTTATTGTTATATGTAAATCTGGAGGTAAATCATGTTCTAAACAATGTCTTCTAAAAGATAAAAAGGCCTGATGCAATATTTGATCGTCGAGACCATTTTCCGATGCTAAAACTCTAACCTCTGGCTTTTGGTAGAATTTGTTTAATATTTTTAATAAATCTTGTTTCTTCAAACGGCCCGTGAATTCTTCTCCTACGTTTATATCATCTGGGTTTGGTTTTACCGGCACAGGTACGAATAAAGACGTAGGTCCCTTATCATGTTTCTTAGTTCTCTTAAAAACATAACCTATACGACCGAGTCTTTCAGTTTGCGGATTTAAAACACCAACCACCAGATTAGATACACATGGCTGCAATCTTTCTATGCTATAAACTGTCCATATTCGTGAGAAACCTTTGTACATTTTGATAAAAACTAAAATATTTAACAAAAAATTTTATAATCTAGTTCTGTCACATTGCTCAAGAAAGTAACAGACAGTGTCATGAGAAAAATAGAAACAGACTACTGAGTACTGATTACTGATTAGTGACTAGTAATATCTGCGATTATTATTCAAACAGCAATTTTTGATCATTTTCAAAAAATAAACAGTAATAAATGACTGTATTTGTAAATTGATATAAACTGGTAAAAATACCGAGTACAAAATGAAAAGTAAATGGGATCAAATAAGCAGATATAATCCAGTTTGTTCCCAATAGGAGAGAGTTAGAATTTTGTAAATCATAGAGAAATTAAACAATGAAATTCTAATTAATGTTCTTTATTTCAACGTTAATAATAAAATTGATTGTATTTTTTATTAATATTTATTGTTTATCAACATTTTACATATTTAACTAAAATCGGAATTCGTAGCCATTTTAGGCGACAATATCTTTATTATTTTCGTACTCTATTTATATATTATTTATAGTCCTTAAAATTATAAATATATATGTTATTTATTAATTCTTTATATGACTATCAAATCACAATCAACAAAAATCCAACATAATCTGTTTGTTTTTTCCTTCATTGACGTGCTTGACGTGAGTGGAGCACGGACACGACGACCAGCAAATAAATTCGGTTTAGCCCAATTAGTGCATTGATTACGTTTCACATGATAGAAATTGTAATATACACTGATACAAAACATTTCATCACAGGCATCGTGACTTAATATAGCTCAATAAAACAATGGGAAAAGCTAAAAAGGGAAAGAAGGGTCAGACGACGGAGGATGGGTAATTCTTATTTTTTTAAACATATGTTGAGGTTAATATTCTTAGATATTGGTACAGATTTATATGTTGTTAAAATTTATAGTGATAGTGACGTGGAGACGACTACCATCGAGAACGTAAAACCGGCTCAAACCAAGGGGAAGAAGTGAGTATTTTTAAGGTTATCACGAGAGCGATATTATTTTTACCTTTCTATTTATTATATCAAAGAAATATATTTATATTCAACTTATGGGGCTGTCTTATTTTATACTTATTACTAATAATACGTCTGCAATTTTTTAAGGAAAACAAATGATTCAGAAGAAAGTGAGGATGAAAAACCAAAAGTTAAATCTAAACAACGGAAATCTATTGATTCTGATGTAAAGGAAGTCACAAAAAACTTGAAGAATGTCTCAGTTTCAAACAAGTCTCAAAAGAAGAAAGTAGTCAGTAGCGATGGTGAGATATTCATTTGTTTTTATAGAAGTTTGCACTCTAGAGTTTTTTAATTTAAGTACAGGTTTCACTTATAAATGTTATAATCATAATATCCTATGATGTACTATTACTTGTAGTGTTAAAAGTAGTGATGGTGTTTTATATGACAAATAATTACCACCTTTATATTTATTTCATAGTTTTTCATATGCCTCTTTCATACTAGATTCTAACTAGTTTAAATTAGAGATGAAATGGATTGTTTTGGCTGAACACCATATATATTCAGTAAGCTGCAAAGCCCGAGTGCCAGATATTCAGCCTCTTCAAAAATTTACTTTATCTTAAATACATCTTGAATCAATTGTAATGGTAATCTTTACATTTGGTGATCAGTTAATTTAAACCAGTAGTAGCAGTTGTCGCGGTTTTCTAGAAATTATCATTCAGTAAATTGCAATAGAATTTACAGCAAGAGGCTATTTTCAGGAATGGGTCTTGTATCCAAAGCCAATCAATTGTGGAATACTTCATATTCATTCACCATATTTTGCCACTTGTCAATTTTGAGTCTTTAATAAAAATAAAACATATGATTTGCTGTATGTTAAAAAGGATATTTTTAATATTTTACTATCGGTAATCTGGTCGGATACTGAACTACAATCCAATGTAGTAAAAAGAAGGCTGAAAATGCCTGATAGTTACATGATATCTGTTTCATTTCTAGTTAAAATATTCAAGTGTTTTTAAAGTTATGTTTCTTACTAGTATAAAATATTGATGTGCTCATTAAAAAGTATTATTATCTGAAAAATCATTTAATTATGGAAAGTGCACAGCGAAATTATTCTGTCATTTGTTACTGGCTATAAATTTTGATTATGAATGTGATATTTTAAAGTAATGAAAAAACGAAGTCTAGCCAATAATCATTTCATAATATCTTATAAGAATGTTTATTGTTAGTCTTTCACTAATACAAAATTTATATCAATAGATGAATCCGATGATGATGAACCAGTGGAAAAACCAAAGAAGAATAAGAAAAAGGAAGAAAAAAGTGCATTTTCATTGTTAGCTGTTGAATCTGGTGATTCCGCGCCCGAAGCCCCACCTTCTTCCGATGATGAAAAACCAATACAGAAAACACAGAAAAAGGCACCGGAAAAGAAAGAACCGGCAGGGAAAAAAGGAAAAAAGGCTAAAAGAAGGAAAGATGATAGCGACGAAGATATAGACAAAGTACTGGCTGAACTAGAAATGGAATATGCGGGAATCAAAAAAGAGGAACCACCAGCGCCGGTAGCACAAGCTGAAAAAGCACCGGAACCAGTAGAAGAAAAACCCAAAACAAAGAAGAAAGGCAAAAAAGAGGAACCTAAACCTGAACAAGCTGAAAATGAGGCTGTAGATAAAGGCAGTGATGATGAAGGTGAGATAACGATAAAGACGGCCGCACAGAAGAAGAAAGAAAAGAAAGAGAGGGAAAAACAAAAGAAGTTAGAAGCAAAGAAGAAAGAAAAAGAACAGGAACCTAAAAAAGAAGCATCGGAACCGAAAACACCCATGCAACCAGTGAAAGAAAAGACTGAAACTAAACCTATTGTAGAGAAAGATGAAGGAAAAGTTGTTTCTGAGGACAAAGAAGCTGACGGTGATGCTCCAGCTACTGATGGAAAGAAAAAGAAGAAAGGTGAAAAGGATGATAAAGGAAAAAAAGGTCCAACGAAAAAGACCATTGCTGCCATGCAAGAAGCTTTAAAGAAAGTTAAAGAAGAGGAGGAAAGATTACAAAAAGAGGAAGAAGAAAGAATACGCCAAGAAGAAGAGAGGGAAAGACAAAGACTGGAAGCGATCAGATTAGAAAAGGAACGTAAAGATAGAAAGAAACAGAAGGAAAAGGAAAGGAAAGAACGACTTAAGGCTGAAGGGAAACTGCTTACACCGAAACAAAAAGCAGAGAAGGCCAGGGCTCAAGCGTTGTTAGATTCGTTAAAGGCTCAAGGAATAGAGATTGGATCAGCCGAGAAGAAACCTCCCAGACTGGGAACCAGGATTAAGCCGACGAAATTGAAGACACAGATGTCTCAAGAAGAACCAGCTACTCCGGTAGAAGAAAAGAAAATCGACTTGAAGACGTCAGATGTTAAAGTAAATTTGATTTATTTCTTACTAGTTTTTTTATTAGCTTCGCCCGCGTGAAGTTCGGTTATATCGCGTTTCCAAGAGAACCTTTCAAAAGTCTGGGATAAAAACTATCCTATGTTCTTTCTCAAGGTTAACTCTATCTCTGTACCAAATTTCATTAAAATCAGTTCAGTGGTTTAGTCGTGAAAGCGTAACCGACAGACAGACAGACAGAGTTACTTTTGCATTTATAATATTAGTAAGGATCGTATTCTTTATATTTTGTATTTTTTCCCAAAACCAAGATCCCACGTAACTTTTCCAACCTAATACTATAAAGATTACAAATAAAATGAAATTTTGTCTCTAATGGTCCTACTAAGAAACTATAATAGAATTTCAATATTAACAGGAAGACGCGCCAAAAGTTGAAGAGAAAAAAGAATTAGAAGACGATTCAGTGAAAGACGCGTGGGACGCCGAGTCTTCAGAAGAGGAGCCTGAACCGGAGAAAACAGAAATTAAGATAGAAGAAAAACATGAACCTGTTGAAGAAACGAAAGAGGTTTTATACTATACTAGCTTTCCGCCCGCAGCTTTGCCCGCATGAAGTTCGGTTATACCGCGTTTCCAAGAGAACCTTTAAAAGTCTGGGATAAAAACTATCCTATGTTCTTTCTCAAGGTCATTTCTGTCTGTACCAAATTTCATTAAAATCAGTTCAGCGGTTTAGACGTGAAAGCGTAACAGACAAACAGACAAAGTTACTTTCGCATTTATAATATTAGTAGGGATATATAATGTCTAACTTGCTTAACATATACAACCTTTTTTATTATTATTCAAGCCTTATATTATGTTAAAAAATATTTAATTACAGAAAGAAGAAGACGAAAGCTCAGAAGAAGAAGATGATAGCTCCGAAGAAGACTCTAGTTCAGAAGAAGATTCTGATGCTGAACAGATGACTGACGCGCAGAAGAAAAGGGAATTGGTTCTTAAGAGATTAGAGGTATTTAATAGACACTAGTTTTTACACGTTACTTTGTCTGCGTTATTTCAGAATTACAAATATACAGGGTGACTAGTGAATTACTATCAATATTTAAGGAGAATACTCGGTACATGATTCTCATTCGAATTATGTAAAAAAAATAGGTACTTAATTTTTGACCAAATTTCCGTATAAATAAATAAAGTGTGGACACGTTCCAAGTGTTCCAAGTGTGGACGTGTGCGGCGGCACGCTGATACAACACCACGCCGTGGCACGCGTGTGTGTGTGTGTGTATACCTAATCTGTAGGGTGTTCACACGATGCGTAATTAATTACACAACTTTTGGTTAACTTTACTTAGAAGTTTATTAATATTTATGTTATATTAATTTTTATTTTGTCATATATGATCGTCAAATATTACGTCCTCAAGTATTGATAGTAATTCACCAGTCACCCTGTATAGCTGACTGGATGAACTCTATTTCTCCTTAAAGAGAGTATTTAAGAATATTTTGAATTTGATCACCTTTTTTTTTGCAATCGGATGAAAGTATCCTATCTTCTTTTCCTGGTTCTGAGCTATCTCTCCACCAAATTTTCAGCCAAATCCGTACAACTGTTCTCGAGTTATAAATAGTGTAACTAACAAGACGTTTCTTTATGTATAAACAAGATCTTAATATGTCGCGGTGGCCCATTAAAAGCCCGCCTCTCGCACTAGGGGCAGGTTTAAAACCTGGCAAATTCTGGTGTGATAATATCTTACTTAAGTATATGTATTTTCTAAGAGTATTTAGACGCCACTGACAGACGGTGAAGGAAAACATCGTGAGGAAACCTGGACTTAATAATTTCAAATTACAAGTTTAAAATCGCGAATCCACTTTGATCTAGCGTGGTGATTAATGCCTTAATAATAACCTTTTCCAAGTGAGAAAGACGCCTTTGCTCAGCAGTAGACACGGATAGGCTAATGATGATTAGATTTTACATTTTAAGGATTAAAATCTTGCAGAAATTAGGCTTTACAGATGTCTATGAAATACAAAATTCTATATCAATTTCCAGAAAAGAAAAGAGGATAATGAGAAGAACAAAGCGGATAATCCGTTGCGTGCGGCTGTAGTATGTGTTTTGGGTCACGTGGACACTGGAAAGACCAAGATATTAGATAAACTACGAAGAACTAACGTACAAGATGGTGAAGCGGGCGGCATCACTCAACAGATAGGAGCCACTAATGTGCCCATAGAAAACATTAAGGAACAAACTAAACATGTCAAAGGGGTATGTAAATATACTATACTTGTCAAATTTGGTTAGGTAGAAAGAGGAGCTTGGACTGTAATTAAGCGTTTAACGCGTTAGATATGCCCTTAAACCCACACCTGGGTCGCAAGTCCCAGTCACTGTTGAAGCTCCTCTCACTACAACGATGGACCCGACACCCGCATCGTGAATCCATGGAATGCTGAGAGGTTTCGTCTCAAACATGGAATAGTATTAATTATATAAATAGAATAGTATAGTTCACACGTCTAAATAACGTAGTTTATGTGGGAAATGTCATTATTGTTGTATATTGTTTGAAGGCGCCGCCAATTGGTGGACATTTTTATTTTTAACACGTTCATTTCATTCGGAACCCAATTTGACGTCTACGTGGATAAAATAGCCGTCGAAAGCCTTTTAGACATTCTAGAAACATTTTAGAACATTTTTATACAATTGTCGTTTTAGTAAAATCAAAGTCAGTCAAAGTTAATTCAGTTGTAGTATAAAATATTTATCAACTTTGTATACTTTTAATATCATATATTAGATACCCTACACATTCAGATATGTGCAACAAATATTTCGTGGACTATCTTTATGAACTATTAATTTAAAACGACAACTTTTGATTGTATAAAACTAAGAATGTCACAAAATGCATATGATTATCCTGGGGATATCGTTAAAAAAATATTCAAATCTAGTTTACTGACGAACTTTGACTATAATCTGTAACTAATAGGTGTTGTGTGTTAACAGGTGAATGAGATATCCTTCAAGTTGCCCGGTTTGCTCATTATTGACACTCCTGGTCACGAATCCTTCAGCAATCTTAGAAATAGAGGATCGTCCCTTTGTGATATTGCCATTCTTGTAAGTATGAAACACTAGCTGCGCCCCGCGGATTTCTGCGATGTAATATAACCTATGTGTTATTCCTGGACGTCAGCTTCCTGTATACAAAATTTTATCAAAATCGCTTCAGCCGCTTGAGCGTGAAGAAGTAACAAACGTACACACACTCACAAACTTTCACAGTTATAATATTAGTAGGATAGGATGTAGTTTCTTGTATACCCAAGCAATCTTTTAGAATAAAACAAAAATGGTATGCAAAAAAGAATTCGAAGTCTACGATGATAAAGTCTATTATACGTTATCTTTTTTAACTGTTGTGAGGATTCTTGGTAACTTGATTTGTGGTTACTATTTCTTCTATATTTTTCTTGATATTTTTTAATGAAAATCTTTCTATTATTTTTAAACAGGTTGTGGATATAATGCACGGATTGGAACCACAGACAATAGAGTCGATAAATTTGTTGAAACAGAAGAAAACTCCGTTCATAGTGGCCTTGAATAAGATAGATCGACTCTACGACTGGCAGAGCGCTCAAAGGAAGGATGTTAGGGACATACTGAAAATGCAACAACCTAACACACAACTAGAATTCGAGAAACGAAGCAAAGATGTTATATTACAGTTTGCTGAACAGGTTAGTTTTCTACCATTCGCTTGGACCATGCTATGACGTCATAAACACATAGACATTTTTTTTATATAAGATAATAGTATTGACGAGACGTATTTATATGGGCTATAAAGAATAAGCAATGAATGTATTGTTTTCTTGACTTAAGCTAGAAGGCGACGCTAGTCAAAAATGTTTCTGTTTCAATAGATGGCATTTAAACAAAAAATAAGTCATAAATACTGTGTCATAAATACTCATATACAGCTTAATTAAGCTAACTCGCTTAAGTATTATGTAAATGTAATGATTATACTGACCAATAAAATGCTCCAATAATGAGCTATAGATTTCTAAGTCAAATAGTAACACAATTAAGATTAACCACCATCTTTATTCCCAAGGGTCTGAACGCTGCTTTATTCTATTCAAACCCTGACCCTCGCTCCTACGTTTCCCTGGTGCCCACGTCTGCTGTCACGGGCGAGGGTATGGGCAACCTTCTGGCCATGATCGTGCAAGCATGCGAAGGACCGCTTCATAAGAGACTTGTGTTCTCACAACAGTTACTCGCTACTGTACTTGAGGTATGGACTTTAGTTTCATTATAATTAATAATATAGTCCATTAGACTTAAGCTGAGCTTTGCATTTGCGTGAGTGAAATTAAACGTAAAGTTAGACAAAAAACTTATAGAATTAAATTTTATTATATTTTAAATAGATACATAACATAAGGGCTACAAAATAAGCAAAATTAATAAAAAACGAGATAGAAATATGTATTATCAATATTATAAAAAAAAAATTATTGATTAATAAACATTTTGAAAAAACTACAAATTCTTCGTCACTCCACATTGCGTTTTCAATATTTGATTTTGCTACCGGTACAAAAAGTGAAGTGAAGAAGGTGCGGGGCGGAGTAAAAGCAGAATAAACCGGTTCAAAACTAGAAAAGAACGTGGTATTCAAAAATTTGACATCACACCTACACTATCCGTGTACACTCACACAAATGCAGAGCTCAGCTTAAAACAAACGCACTATACTACTGATGTATTATTGTTATAACTTTCAATTGATTGACGAGAAGAATTATTCAATAAAACATATTCCTTTAGTGTTTGTATGGAATATATTTATATATAGGATAATCATATATTTATTCCCAAAGAGGGTTGATGTCAGGCAGGCGGCCGGTCGTAAAAACAATTAGCCAAAACTATTCACAACATGTAAGGCCCTGGCTAAAGCTGGGAAATTACCAGGTAGAAGAAGATATATTTCTCAAAAAGCATAATTCTCTAATGTGGAAGTCTACTAGGATAGATAGATTATAAATTTAATAATATTAAAAATTTAATCTGTCTTGACCATAAAGCTAAATTATTCTATACTAGCTGCGCCCCGAGGTGTGTAAAGTAGCCTTTGTGTTATTCCTGGACGTCCGCTCTCTGTATACAACATTTTATCAAAATCGGTTCAGCCATTTGAGCGTGAAGAAGTAACAAACATACACACACACTCATAAACTTTCGCAATTATAATATCAGTAGGATTTCTGAACTAAGATATTAATTTAAATAATTATTTTTTTATGTTCCAGGTCAAAGCCATCCCTGGTTTAGGAACCACCATAGACGCCATCTTGATCAATGGTACATTAAAGGAAGGGGATACCATGGTTTTGGCGGGAACAGACGGACCTATTGTCACACAAATACGATCACTACTGATGCCGCAACCTATGAAGGAGTTGAGGGTTAAGGTGAGGGGTTTATAAGGGAATTTAGGGTTAAACATAAATAATAGGAGGGTAGGGTTAAAATTTGTATGGTTATTGCCCGAGGCAACAGTGAGTTTATAAAGGAATTCAGGGTTAAATATAGATAACAGGAGGGTAATCTTAAAATTGGTATGGTATGTTTGAGGTAAAAGTAAAGTTGATAGCAATTGGTTCAAAATCAGTATCTTTCTTTAGTATCGTAGACTCTAGTGAAGAAAGTTATGGATAAATATTCAAGCTAAATTTTGTATTAAAATAAAAATTATTTATCATATACAAACTATTTATTAAAATGACAATATTATTTTACTAATTTACTTCTGCTATATAGAACGCGTATATTGAACACAAAGAAGTGGTTGGAGCTCAAGGAGTGAAGATAGCTGCCAAGGAGTTGGAAAAAGCCATCGCTGGACTTAACTTACTCGTTGCACAAAAACCTGATGAAGTTGATGTCTTGAAGTGAGTTACCTATAAATCCTAAATTACTTTAGCATTGTATTACTTTTATTGATCCACTAGGTTTCCGCCCGCAGCTTCGCCCGCGTGGAGTTCGGTTATATCGCGTTTCCAAGAGAACCTTTCAAAAGTCTATGATAAAAACTATCCTATTTTCTTTCTCAAGGTCAACTAACCCTATGTCTGTACCAAATTTCATTAAAATCAGTTCAGTGGTTTAGTCGTGAAAGCGTAACAGACTGACACAGACAGAGTTACTTTCGCATTTATAATATTAGTAGAGATCAGAAACATTTAATGAGATATAGGTATAAAAATACAAATTAAAGCATACATGATTTATTTGCATTGTTTAAAAATTATTATTCTTGCTCACAACGTTTTTAACCAAAATGATGGAGACATTTATTTTTTCAATGGAATATCTAGTATTTATGTATAATAAAATTTTAAACTTACTTATTGGGTTGCTTTCTCAATAATCAAGTATACAGGGTGACTGGTGAATTACTATCGATACTTGAGGACGTGATATTTGACGATCACATATGACAAAATAAAAATTAATATAACATAAATATTAATAAACTTCTGAGTAAAGTTAACCAAAAGTTATGTAATTAATTACGCATCGTGTGAACACCCTACAGATTAGGTATACACACACACACACACGCGTGCGGCGGCGTGGTGTTGTATCAGCACGCCGCCGCACGCGTCCACACTTGGAACACTTGGATCGTGTCCACACTTTATTTATTTATATGGAAATTTGGTCAAAAATTAAGTACCTATTTTTTTACATAATTCGAATGAGAATCATGTACCGAGTATTCTCCTTAAATATTGATAATAATTCACCAGTCACCCTGTATATGTTAATGTTTTAACTATATCAGAAGTGAAAATGTATTATTCTTACTTACAATGTACAACCAAAATGATGGTGACTTTTCAATCAATGGAATATCTAGTATTTATGAATAGTAAAATTTTAATACTTATTTGTTTTCTTATTTCCATGTATATATAGATATAATTCCTCAAAAAATTATTAGTTATTAAATAACATACATGTTTCCAGGGAGGAAGTGGCTCGTGAGTTGAAATCAGCTCTATCATCCATCAAGTTGACGGAGCGAGGAGTGTATGTGCAGGCCTCCACGCTGGGCTCACTTGAAGCATTACTGGAGTTCCTCAGAACTAGCAAGATACCCGTACGTTCAATATAATATTATATATCAATAAAATAACATATATATATATATATATATATTTACTTATAAGATAATTTATTTGGTATTGAAACGGGCATTTCTCATAAATATAGTGTAAAATCTAACTACATATATTCAAAAGTTTCTGAGAATGTATTGGTATTAGTTGTTCTTTCATTTAAAAACTACTGTATAGGTTTTGGTGAAACTTGCCAATGAGTTCAGTTAGCTTAAACGAGAGTAACGTATACGTGATAAAGTATTCAGGAAATGCATGAACTTCTTTATGCGGCACAAAAAGAAAATTTTGCGTTAAGTTCGTTTTATATCACGTGATTATAGATGGCGCTGCCTGTTAGTAACTATATCTATTTTATTGAAATATCATTAATTCTCTATTAACCCAATAAAGAATTTGACGCGAACGAAGTCGCGATGATAACTAGCGAGGAAATAATAATTTCTTTTTGTATTGATTCATCTTATATGAATAACATTTAATTATATTGGTTATGAATGTGTTTAATGTATGATTTTCAAAGTATGTACGTAAAAAATATCAAATTAAATTGATTGTTTCGTATATATTGTTTCAGTATTCGGCTATTAGAATAGGCCCGGTGGTGAAGCGTGACGTCATGAAGGCTTCCGCTATGTTGGAGCACGATTCACAATACGCTACTATACTGGCGTTTGATGTCAAGGTGGGTCATATACAGGGTGACTGGTGAATTACTATCAATATTTAAGGAGAATACTCGGTACATGATTCTCATTCGAATTATGTAAAAAAAATAGGTACTTAATTTTTGACAAAATTTCCGTATAAATAAATAAAGCGTGGACACGTTCCAAGTGTTCCATGTGTGGACGCGTGCGGCGGCGTGCTGATACAACACCACGCCGCCAAACGCGTGTGTGTGTGTGTGTGTACCTAATCTGTAGGGTGTTCACAGGTTGCGTAATTAATTACATAACTTTTGGTTAACTTTACTTAGAAGTTTATTAATATTTATGTTTTATTAATTTTTATTTTGTCATATATGATCGTCAAATATCACGTCCTCAAATGTCGATAGTAATTCACCAGTCACCCTGTATATTAAGGAACTTCATTCCAATTTTTAAAAATTAAATAACAGTATGACATTTGAGGATTTGACAATGCTATTTTAATTAAAATTAACAAATATAAAAGGTAAAAATAAGAGATAAAATGGTGAATTGCTAACACCAGTTAAACAACAATTAACTACTTACAGAGTAATAGCCTTAAACTAATTGCTAACACAATATTAACACTTAAAATCCGTAAGCGATGTCACTTCGACGACGGACCACCGTCTCTTTCGCGCACTGCTTCTATTTTTTTTTTCTTCCAAGAAGTTCCTAACTATGTAATATAAATTTAGATGCTATTTCTAGAAGAAATCATATTTTATTTTTTTATTTATTTAATATTCTTTATTTATATAACATATTACAAATTTCTTTTACGGTGTTACAAAATCCCTGTCGGGTTTATCCGTACACCGGCATTCATCGAGTACACTCGAAACTTTTAATACATAAATATACTACCTATTACATTATTAACTACATAAGATTTTGAATAACTGATGTTAGTTTAATTATAACTCATATGTGAGGGTATACGTTAAAAGATTTTTAAATTATGTTAATAATACAATAGGTACTTACGATGCACTACTCGGCCGGTCGGTCATTAAAGCCGGTTTTGCGATAATGCATTTGAAACAAATAACTTGTAGATAGTGCAAATACAGGTGATCCGTTTCCCTTTATGAGATATTATTTAATTAGTAATATTAAGTATTATTGTTAATATTTAAAAAAAAAGTATTATTACTTATACTTATTTCATATTTAAAATCATTAGTAAGATTGTTCAAAAATGTTGGAACAAGATATTCTAGGATCTCGCGTAAATGTGATCAATACATGTCTTACTAATTTCTTTACTGCACTCTTCTACACGGGTATATTCCGAGATCCCACACACAAGCCCGTGATTATACATAACAGTGATATATTTATGCTTTATAGGACAGTTATATTTTAAGTCAAAGTTTATATCTCCTTATACATATATACATATATCCTGACTCTGTTCTACTTTACTAAGAAATATGTTTAGTTCATTTACAAATAAGTGCTTACTATTACTAGGTGGTATATACATAGCACACAAAGTTGCCTTATATCCCCATGAAGTGTTAGTTTAACCAAAAAGAAGCTCGAAATGTTCTGGTTTGTAATTTTTAGTGGTAAATTTATTAATTTTTCGTACGTACATTATAATGCCTGCCGTACGCAACTGTGTGTGCATATTATATCCCTGCAGGTTGTACAAATAACTTAGCGATTCTGATATGTATATTAGCTTCAGTGGTTATAATTACATCATCGGGAATTTTTGAACTTTGCTGAATACAGTATTCTCGTATTGAGAAATTTTTGATTATTGACCTAATGTTTATATGAATGTATAACAGATTTATGTTAATAGGTATACTGTCTATAAATATTTGTAAGTTAGTACAATCTGATAATTCTAAAATATTATCTCTGATGTTATCTATCTTTAGAAGAAATTTTATCTATAGAACAATAAGTATAACCTATGTACCTACGTATAATTAAGAATTATTTTAGCTTATTAACATCTTCTTTTGATCGAATAATTATTGCTTTTTCTTTATCACCTTCTTTGCGTGCACGTAAAATTCCTTTTTTGATCCAGATGAATTTGTAGGTGGTACTTAGTTCTTTTTTGGCAAACCATAGTAAATGTTTATTATACGGTGTTAGGGTTTCTCTGAGATATATGGATTTTTCACCTTCAATTTTGTCAGTAGTTTCGGGAACAATATCGACCGCTTTAATTTTATGATAACTTGACTTTGCAGATGTTAGCCACGAGTTTTGAAGTTGTTCATTTTTTAGTTTGATCAGGATAGGGCTCGGATTTTCTTTCTTAGCTGGTAGACGAATTGCTTCTTTAATATCTTCAGATTGTTGATTAAGTTTTTTTGCCACCTGTTTAGCTAGCAGATAAGTATTTTCATCAACCCTTTGAGGAACATTACAAATTTCAACGTAGTTAGATAATTCCCGCTGCTCTTTTCCTTGTAAACGCTGTTCCAGTGCACCTACCCTCGTCTCTAGATTATTATTTTTGTTTATGAGTTGGATGTTCTTTTTCTTTAAATCTTTTATGGTTTCTTCGCAAACTTCTAACATTGTAATGACTTCATCCATTTTTTCACAATGAAATTGCAAGGATTGACTAAGTTCTTTCATTTCGCGTTTAATGGTTTTCTCCATTTGCCTTGTTATGTCTGCCAACAGTTGCTGCATGTCAATTTTTAGATCCGGAGCCTCATTTCGTTTGTCTTCCTCCTCTTCATCATCGTCAGGAATAACAATTGAGTGACGTTTAGGAGAATTTTCTTGACACTCTCGACATGTCCATTCTAGATTTTCCACTGCACGTACTGCGGCCAGCTGTTTATTCGAAAGCTCTGAACATATGGTGTTTAAATGCACTACCTTCTCACATCGGTTACATTCTAAACCAGGTTTATTTTTGGTAATATATTTATTGCACTTGTCACATTTAGCCATTCTGGGGGTATTCACAGATCACTTTTTATTACAACGGCACGTGTTATACGTTCGAGCGCATGACGATGAATGTACGTGAAATATGAACTTGTATATAGTTTTGCTAGCTTATTATAGTAACATTAATGCTTTATAATATTTTAAATGTATTTATACTAGTATATATGTATGAATTGAATTCATCTAAAATACTGCTTGACAAAGAAAATTTTTTAACATGGTAAATAACATTGTGAAGAAAATATATCTATAGTTAGGTATGTCTCCAAAGAAAATTTAATTGGTGACGTCACGAAATATTTATATATCTAAAATGAACATAAATTTATTCTTGTTGTTCATATATTATATAGTTATTCATCTTCTGTCCAGATTGAGCGAGATGCCCAAGAACTAGCGGACAACTTGGGTGTGAAGATATTCGCGGCAGATATTATTTACCACTTGTTTGACAAGTTCACGGCCTACAGGGAAGAATTGAAACAGAAGAAGAGGGAGGAGTTCAAACACATTGCTGTGTTCCCTTGCAAACTAAAGGTACATATGATTCATTATTATAAGGACCTACCTTCTTCTACCTGGCAATTTCCCAGCTGTCAGGGTCTGCCTTACATGTTGTGAATAGTTTTAACTATATGTTTTTACCGCCGCCTGCCTGACATCAACCCTCTTTGGGAATGCATTAATCAGTGACGTCTAAATACTCTTAGAAAGTACATATGACTCGGAAAAATCACATTGGTACTTGCCGGGATCGAACCCGCGCCGTCATGTATGAGAGGCGGGACTTTTAACCACTAGGCCAGCACTGACTTGCAGTGCATATTTATTATTAAATACATAATATTATATACACATTTATGTATATAATTTGTATTAACTCCAATTTATTTGTTATTTTTATATGGTAACACTACGGGATTGCCATATAAATGTGTGACAGCTGTTAATTTATGACTATATTGTATTCTACAGATCCTGCCCCAGTTTGTGTTCAATTCCCGGGACCCCATAGTGGCTGGTGTGATGGTTGAGGCTGGTATTGTTAAAGAGGGTACACCGATATGTGTGCCCAGCAAAGAGGTGAGCAAGCAAGGAGGTTATATATACACAGTAATACACCGCTTTACGCGAGGTTACGTCCCGAAAAAAATCGCGTTAACTGAAATTCGCTTATATCGAGGTTTATGATTAAATATAATCAAAATTTAAAACACAAGTATAAAAATCATTTTAATCAATCACTTTATTTCTAAGAACACTATACAATACATAGGTACTCCTATTTTTTACGAAAAAATACATGTATTGTCTTTTGGATAGCGTTTTGTTTACGTTCTTGTAAAATACGTTCATAACACCAAACACTGTTTTTAATCGTTTGACACACGTTCAAGACACGGTCATCATTATTGTCTATGCTCTGCAATATGTCTAAACCTGAATAAATTTGTGTTATAGTAAAACCGCGCGTAACGAGGTCGCGCTAAGTGGAGTATTACTATATATATATTTATATCAATCTATTTTATTTGTATGAATTATATTTGTTGGGAAAAAAGTACCATTAAATAATTGTATCATTCACTACATTATATGCTTCTACTAATATATATTTTATGATAATAATAATATATTTATAATTATGTATCGTTTTTCCATAGTTCGTAGAGCTGGGTATAGTGACGTCCATAGAAGTGAACCACAAGCAGGTAGAGAGCGCTCGCAAGGGTCAAGAAGTGTGCATCAAGATAGAACCCATACCGGGAGAGTCGCCCAAGATGTTCGGGAGACACTTTGACGAGACTGATATGATGGTCAGCAAGGTACGGACACACACACACACATACATATATATATACTAGCTGCGCCCCGCGATGTTACCCGCGGATTTCCGGGATGTAAAGTAACCTATGTGTTTTTCCTGGACGTCAGCTTCCTGTATACAAAATTTTATCAAAGCCGTTTGAGCGTGAAGAAGTAACAAACATACACACACACTCACAAACTTTCGCAATTATAATTTTAGTAGGATGTATAAGGTTTAGTTGGGAGTCCTCTATAGTATCAGGTCAGTGACGTCATTCAAATCCAACATGGCGGATGACTCTATCATACACCTAGAATGTCCGTATCAAAAGAGACGACTTAATAATAATTTGAATATGTTGAAATATATTCTAGCTTTCCGCCCGAAGCTTCGACAGCGTGGTTGCGTTATATCGCGTTTCCAAGAGAACTTTACAAAATTCTGGGATAAAAACTATCCTATGTTCTTTCTCAAGGTTAACTCCATCTCTGTGCCAAATTTCATTAAAATCAGTTCAGTGGTTTAGGCGTGAAAGCGTAACAGACAGACAGACAGAGTTACTTTCGCATTTATAATATTATAGTAGGGATATAAATATATATATCATGATGCTCGGTAAGGATCCAGGTCTCCAGATATATAACCAATATCATATAATTAATTAAAGCAATTTAATTATTATTATAACATATACTTGGAAAATATGTCTTTTGGATTATTTTGGAATTAAGACCATAATTTCTTTGTATCTATTCAAATAACTTATGTAAGTAATTTAAAGGTTTTCATTATAGTAATATTTACATTTGGTCTCGATTATTCTGAATCCTCGGATGTGTTATATATAAAAAAAATATTCTAAAAGTGAACTCCAATATAAACATGAAAAGAATGTTTGGCATAACATCTGATTCTTAAAGAAATTAAAATAAAAGCAAACAAAGTTGTTGTTAACTTTAACATTGATAAATCCTGAGTATTATGATCTATGTAGTATTAAATTAAAACTATGTTCCTCGATTAAAATGTTATTTAAAATATCCCATAGCAATTCATATATCATAGTTTTAAATGTACATTCTCCAAATTTAAAAACTTAAATAACTAAAACTAAACTATTTAAAATCATATCAAAATTATTTGTAGGTATATTTTTCTTGTGAAATTAATTAAAAAGATTATTTCAAAAATATATTTAGAGATCCCCATTCATACAAAAAATAAACCTCGCAATCTAATTTACAACCATATTGAATTAAACACGATAATTATTATCTTAAACTTGTTCTTATCCGCGACTCCGTTTGTAGAGAAATAATTTTTTTCAAAAATACTCTGATGTTTGAAATTACGGACAGCGCCATCTATCGCCTATAAAAACAATTACGCTTTCAGGAAGATCCAGATAAATTAAGTCCATATTTTGTTTTTATATATTAACTACATATATTATCGTAAAATTTAATTGAAATCCTTTCATAGCTTTACTCTTGAAAAAGCAACAAACATCTACATTCACATACAAAGGTTCTCAATTAGAATATTACAAGAAATAATAATATAGATATGAGATCTAAGACTTTCGCGAGTATTCATTTAAATGAAACTAATATTTTTCGGATTACTATGCGTATTTTATTATTTTAAAACCTACATACTGCTTAAGTTTCGGTTACTTTTCAGCAACCGTGATCACGGGCAGATGAGATGTCATAGAAATGTTATTTAAAATATTTACAACAATATTTGTAAAAAATATTAGGAATTATATATAGCTGATGATTAATTACATCATCAGCCTATCAGAGCCCACTGCTGAGCAAAGGCCTCTTCTCACATGGAGAAGGTTTGAGCATTTACTACGCTTGCTCAACACGGGTTGGTGATTTCAAATTTATAATTCGAAATAAGTCCAGGTTTCCTCACGTTTTCCTTCATATGTCAGTGATGTCTATATACTCTTATAAAGTACATATGACTCGGAAAGATCACATTGGTACTTGCCAGGATCGAACCCGCGCCCTCGTGTATGAGAGGCGGGCCTTTTAACCACTAGGCCACCACTGACTGCAATAGTTCTTCATGTGGTTTGTTCTTCATAACATTTAAACGTTTAATTTATAAAACATGTCGTTCTGTTTGTTTTAGAAAATAAAGGAAGTTTTGTTATAGTGTATACATAACTATTGATATATGTATAAGAGATGTGTGAATTAAAGCGCCATTTATCCGTATGGGGTGAATAGGTATAGATTGGCTGTATATGAACTTTGGTGGCTTTTTGATGTGATATTGTAAAAAAAAAAATTCTGTGTCTATTTTTTTTGTTTGAAAATTGAAACAGTATGTACTTTGATAGGGACAAAATTATTTTATATAATATTGTAAATAATTGTATTTTTTTTTGCTACAGAAGTAATAATATTTTCAAGTCAGATACGCGATAACATTAAAGTTTTATAGCAAAGTTATATAAATCGTAATAAATTCTGCCAAATCGTAATATATTCGGTTGCACCTCCCTCAATGCTGAATGGCGCTCCCGGCTTCATTGATTTTAACGAGGGGTCACTAGGTCGATCGTACGTCATACATTGACTGCTACATAACTACACTCTGCTTGTATAAAACACTCAAAAAAGACACTTTATTTGTCCAAAGTTACCTTTAAAATGTCTAAAAAGGATCTTAATACTATATCCTATTCCATTTTATACAATAAAATTTATATTTATTTATATTATTCGATTATTTATATCATAACAACATTACATTACGTCATTCTATCTACAATGCATCCTGCAGAAAAGAATTTTAAATTGAGTTCCATTTTCAAAATTTATAAAATTATATTTCCAATACCCAAAAAGCTCTTTGATTCCATTTTTAAAAGCACAAAATTCCGAGTACAAAGCGTCACTGTGAGCTCTTTCATCGAATTCCAAGTTTAAAATTCAATTAATTCGCAACATCAATATAGACTTTTTTTTTTATTCCTTTTTTGAAATTCAATTTTACTGCCGGCGCGAATTTATGTCCTTTGACATATGAATTTTTATATTGAAATTTAATTATGTTTAGATTGTTCCATTTTTGAATTATATAATATGTTTTTAATCCTATAGGCTCATTACGTAACTTATTTTTTTTTATATTTGTATGAAATATATTTCCAGCCAGTCATTTCAACTTCCTTACAGAAGTCAGTATAAGGTTTCTGTTAAGTACCAAATATAGATAAATAGAAATTTATATTTTTTTAAAATGAAAATTCGTACATATATATGTATATACAGGAAAGTCTGCTATTTATGTAACTCAAGGAACAATTAAGCCAGCTTATGTGTTATATTGTGAATATTAATATCATAATAATATTATATATCGAAAAGCTGATTTATTATGAGGTTGTACAAATAATAATTGTGATTAAATTTCCTCTACATATAATAATTATTATAAGCCGTGTACCGTTTCATTCATGTATATAGTGTTACTATCCATTCATACATCGACCTAGCCCATGAAAATCATCTTCTGGAACGATGCCCATTTCCTTTTTCTATATATAACACAACACACTAATATATATATGTATATATATATTATTTTTAGTATATATATCCATCATCCATAGTTTTATATATATAGATTTTTGAGCATTTAAATGAAACTAATATTATTTCGTATTATATTTTTGTAAAAGTCATATATTTATAATTCTTTTCGTTGTTATAATGTTTTCTTATATTTTCGTCTAGATGTTTCCATGTGTGAGTGATTTCTCCTTTTTGCCATCTACGTCATTTCGAGGACGTTGTATTTGATGGCATTTTAATCCTTATATCTCAGTAATAGAGATGTAATTCGCTTGTTCTTGTATCAAACCCACACATACAAGTCGACCGGGTCAAAACCCATTGTAGAAGCTCCATTGATGTTTTCGCATGGCTCTTCCATTGATGAAATACACCGTTCACTAACTTTAATACGAGTTTGGATACGATTAAACTTACAGTTTGTAGTTTTTTTTAGGGTAGATTTATGATTGATAAAATTTATTATATTATGGTCTTTCGAAATAATAGATTTATTATCTTGTTGGTTTTAAATGGAACTAATATTTTTCGGATGTACTATTCGGTTTATTTTTGATAAAAACTACATACTCCTGAAGTTTCGGTTACTTTACAGCAACCGTGATCACGGGCAGTGAATGAGTCTTAGATCTCAGCGTTTCCAAGAGAACCTTTCAAAAGTCTGGGATAAAAACTATGCTATGTTCTTTCTCAAGGTCAACTCTATGTCTGTACCAAATTTCATTAAAATCAGTTGATAGGTTTAGGCGTGAAAGCGTAACAAACAGACAGACAGTGAGACAGAGTTACTTTCGCATTTATAATATTAGTAGGGATTTGAAGACACTAGAGTTATTTCTACTTTTTTATATTGGTTTCCTTTAAATCAATATACAAGAACAGACAGTATAAACTAGAACCTATCCTATGAGTGATTGTGTAAGCTTGGTGACGTCATACCTTCTCCCACGAGGTCGCGACCTAGTTCACCCCCCCCCCCACCCTTGGCTGGTCTACTTGAGCTATGACGTCATACAACCCCCGGCTTAAACGCTATGTAGGTCACCCTCAATGAAACACCCCCCATTCATAGCTACAAAGTAATGCATGTACCATCGTCGTTCAAATATGAACGAACTACCATTCAGTACTTGCATCATACAAATCTTTATATATATAGTTCTTCTGTGAGTGTGTATGTCACTGAACTTCTCTCAAACGACTCGAACGATTTTGATGAAATTTTTTGTGTGTGTTCGAGGAGATATGTGAATGGTTTAGATTCACAATTTTGTCCGCTGGATAATGTTTTTTTTTATTAATTTTTAATTTATTAGCAGTCGTTGATACATAATTTTTTTGACATTAGATTTGACAACTAACTAATATGTCAATCATTCTGTCGCACTTCAAAACACGGAGATTTATGGCTTACAGGTGAACTCCAAAAATATAAATAAAAAAACGTAACAGATATTCCTTGATTATAGAGCGATACGAAGTTCGCCGGGTCTTCTAGTGTTTTATATATGTATTTGCTATGTGATGTTGCTATTTAAAAATTTATATATATGTTATATAAAATTTTCGTGTCGCGACGTTAGACAGAGAAGTTCGAAATGGCTGGACCGATTTTTATGAAATTTTGTGAGAATATTGAGTAGGTTTGAGAATCGGCCAACGTCTATTTTTCATACACCTAAGTCGTAAGGCTTGATCACCCTTAATTTTTTTTATTTACAGACGAAATTTTTTGTGTTTTATTTTTTTATAATGTAGCATTAAAAAATACGTACAACCCAAAATTTTTACTTTTTAATTAAAAAGCCCTAAATTTTATGTGGCAAAACAGCGTTTGCCGGGTCGGCTAGTATATATACATATATAGATATCTGGCAACATCCCTACTAATATTATAAATACGAAAGTAACTCTGTCTGTCTGTCTGTTACGCTTTCACGCCTAAACCACTGAACTGATTTTAATGAAATTTGGTACAGATATAGCGTTGACCTTGAGAAAGAACATAGGATGGTTTTTATCCCAGATTTTTGAAAGGTTCTCTTGGGAACGCGATATAACCGAACTCCACGCGGGCGAAGCTGCGGGTGGAAAGCTAAATTCTATATAAATATGTATGTATGTATATATAATATTTCTGTTGTAGATATCTCGAGCCAGTATCGACGCCTGCAAGGATTACTTCAGGGACGACCTCATCAAAACCGACTGGCAGTTGATGGTTGAATTGAAGAAACTCTTCCAGATACTCTAAATAAATACAATAGAATTCTCCTACATGTGATTCTCGGGCCGTCAAGACCATTCCATCTTCGCTAGAATCTCATGTACTCCAACCCTGGTTTCCTTCAATTTATTTTCCTATTTTTCCCCAACCCGCACTAAATGTATCCACGTGTATATAACTCATAAATTCTTATTTATTCATGTTTCTATAAAACACCCGCCATTTTCGATAAAACGACGCCAAATGAAGCAGATGTAAATATATAAATGTTTTAATTTTATTTACATATTATTGTACATAGAATCTTGAAAGTATTATATTATGTAATGTTTTCGTGCAATAAAAATGCTCCCGTCCTTTCATTTTAATTTTCAAAGTTTTTTTCGAAGTAAATAATTTGAAAGCGTAATTCTGCATACTTAATTCAGTATGCTGTTGAGTTTTACACTACAAATTCTACAATTCATAAGCCAGTAAAGTATTAACGTATCTTTTTGAGTGTAAACGCAATACTTCTCGTACGTAGTGTATGAGACTCGTGCTAAGCGCAGATTGTATTGTTGGCGTCGTTTCCGTCGAAGATGTGCTGGGTTGTTGTTTTTGTAGATTTTATTTCTTTTTGAAATGCTTTGTACTATAAAGATGGAATCAGACATATTCTTATATTGAAGAAATTTTAATAAACTACGTAATATGTCTTAACTGTTGTTTTAATGACACCCTGGAATTATTTTTTTTATTAATTATAGTCTATTTTAAAAACACGTCCTAAGTATTCAGCAAGAAGTAACAGAGGTTATATATAAACAATATTTCTAGCCATAATATGTCTTTTAGTAGTTCCGTAATAATGATTAAAAAATACGTGGTTTCTATATATATTTTTAACTCTTCAGTTAGTTTAATATTTTACGATATGAATTATGTCTGTTAATTTTAACAGTCATATATGTATATTTAAGCTCAGACAAAAGAGATACAAAAAATAAATATAAATTATGAGATGCTTACTTTTAATCTGATAAGATTTAAATTATTCTTCCTGTATCTAATTTTACTAATACAAATGTTTAACATACATTTTATCTAATTAATGAATTAACTATTTATCACATAATTTAATGTGAGTCGAATTAACTTCTAAATGTATTATTCAAAGTAAGTTTTATGAAAAAAATTATCAATTAGGAATAATGCTACACTTATAACTATACTTATTTAAGTAACCTGATTGTACCTTACTTGAATGTGGGTACATTGTAAGTGAGGGTCACTGCGGTATTGCGAACTTGGAAGTACAAAAATTCTCATATAGTAATATCAACGTAAGTATATAAAAAAAAATTGGCAACTGCTTATATACTATTGGATGCTGCAAATAGTGCCTGAATATTATACAGGGTGACTGGTGAATTACTATCGATATTTGAGGACGTGATATTTGACGATCATATATGACAAAATAAAAATTAATATAACATAAATATTAATAAACTTCTAAGTAAAGTTAACCAAAAGTTATGTAATTAATTACGCATCGTGTGAACACCCTACAGATTAGGTATACACTGACACTCACACATACGTGTGTCGTGACGTAGTGTTGTATCAGCACGCCGCCGCACGCGTCCACACTTGAACACTTGGAACGTGTCAACACTTTATTTATTTATACGGAAATTTTGTCAAAAATTAAGTGCCTATTTTTTTTTACATAATTCGAATGAGAATCATGTACCGAGTATTCTCCTTAAATATTGATAGTAATTCACCAGTCACCCTGTATAAGTATCAAATGCTAGAATAGAAGAATATCATTCACAAGAAATTTTCATAAAAATAATGATATACAGGGTGACTGGTGAATTACTATCAATATTTAAGGAGCATACTCGGTACATGATTCTCATTCGAATTATGTAAAAAAAATAGGTACTTAATTTTTGACCAAATTTCCGTATAAATAAATAAAGTGTTGACACGTTCCAAGTGTTCCAAGTGTGGACGCGTGCGGCGGCGTGCTGATACAACACTACGCCGCCGCGCGCGAGTGTGTGTGTGTGTGTGTATACCTAATCTGTAGGGTGTTCACACGATGCGTAATTAATTACATAACTTTTGGTTAACTTTACTTAGAAGTTTATTAATATTTGTGTTATATTAATTTTTATTTTGTCATATATGATCGTCAAATATCACGTCCTCAAGTATCGATAGTAATTCACCAGTCACCCTGTATATGTATAGTCCATTTCAATAGAAGTTGGTAATCTTATAAACAAAGCAACTGACCACGATTACTCCGTTCTTATGTACAATTGAAAATCAGTCCTGATAATTATTACATCTAAATGAACATTACCTTAGACCAAATGTGTAAGTATTTACAATCTTTTTAAATGGAATCCAAAATTGTTTGACTCCAATGCTACCGTTTTAACGAACTTTAAGAGAATAATAAGTATATTTATAAAATAAATTAACATTGATAATAAACTTTGTTTATGACAAGATGGTTAGTAATTTATTATAAATTCAAGCGAATATCTTAAGCAGTAAAACGTTTTTTCTGCTACAGATGACATCTTACGCAGATCTAATTATTTTTGTAAAATACTAGTTTTATTCATCTTTAGTAATTTTGAATTTACTGTTTTCAAATAACAATTATTTCAATACTAACTAGTACTACTTCTTATAATACATGCTTATTAATTAGAAAAATACTAACAAAATCAAAACACACACAAATAACTTTAAAACTAAAACATATAAACATAACACGAGAAATAAACATAAACTTGAATTACCCAAGACCAGGACCAAATATGGAATTAAAACTATAGGTACAGTTTGAGGGAGCAAAACTATATAAAAGCTTACCTAATGAAATTTTTAAAGAAAAAACCTTTACGATTTTTAGAAAGAAATTATTAACTTATTGTAAAAAGCAAATACATTTACTACGCTTGAATTGTATAAGTCGGTACTACTATTCTAAATTATATGTATTAAACTGTACTATATTATAGTATTTAAGTGAACATTGTATGTCCTTTATGAGGATAATAAAGTTCTTTAACCACTACTAGACTTTAATTTACACATGTAATAAATTTTCTAATTAGTGTTCTTCTAATATATGTATCTAGAAGTACATTTCCGGACTTGACAAAGTGATCCATAATCAGAAACTATCATTTACATATAGAAACTATCTGTGGGGTATGGAAAATAAAAAAATAATGAATCCCTTCAACCACGTACGCAAAAAGCGTTGCTTTAAAAAAATTGTCATAATAGCGTCAAATATTTTTAAAAGAATACGATTTTTGAAATTAAAAAACTCATAGCTAGTAAGTTTTTAATCCACTAATTAAATATTAAATATTAGACGAATAGATACAAATGGAGATTAAATATTTCTTAGTAAAAATATTTTGTTGTTTTTTGACATTATATTGTCAAAATGTTTGTTTTTCTTAACCTTATTTATCTGACATTTACAAACTAAATTTAAAATGTGAATGTATCTATCTAAGTAATCACAATATTATTTGATACATTTGTCATATACAAATCAAATGCTCATATATTATTTTCTTTGACTATTAAAATATTTTAACAATAATTATATTGATTACATTTTGATTACAAAATCTTTGAATAAAGTAAGTTTTTGAAACAACGCGTAGGTACATTTTTCTGTCGGTCGTCAGAAAATTCTCTTGAATTTATGTTAAATTTTAACTAGCCTTTTATTAATAATTAATCGAATCTATAAATTATTTATAATAAAATTTGTAAACCTTACAGTCAATCTGGGTAACTTTGATTCATCGGGTAACTTTGACAGCGGGACCATGAACTAGTTTCGATTATTTTTTCGCATGAAACCAACTCTATTCATATATGTTTATTTTAGATTTGCGATTTTAAACAAGTTTCCTAAACGCACCTTAAAAAAAAGTAAGCTGTGAAAGTAAAAAAAAGTCAAAACTTTTTTCTGAATATAGCGAGCGAATTTAAGTTTATTTTAGGGTGAATAACTTTTTGAATATTTTGTGATTTTGGTTGCTGATAATGTAAGTGAGATGTTATAAAGAGCCATTTGTGATTTTACTACCACATTTTCATGAAAAATTTGCTTATAATTACGTCTTATTTTGAAATTTCATGCATAAATATGAAGATACGTATTTTGAACAGAAACTGGGTAACTTTGACGGTGTCAAAGTTACCCTTACAAAGAAACTAAAATGATGGCGGAAGAGGTGGTAGAAGAGGTGATTGAAGAATTTGTTGTTAAAGATGGAGTTTTGCAACATGCACATCAAAATATATTGAGTTCTCACCTGGAACAACAGTTATATTTAAAACAGAAGGCACACTGTTTCCAGGAAAAGTGACAAGTTACACATTCCCGTATTATACACTTGTTGTAATGAGTAGATCAACACAAGGTGGTTGGAAATGGCCAGATAAAAGAGAAATTATTAAAATTAGATAAGATGATGTTGTATCTCAAGCAGATAACAGTAAAATCAGTATAAAGCAGCCTGGGCTCTACACAAGTATTATTGATGATTTGCTCTATATGGAGTGGGTAGAATAGACAAGTCATGCTCAAGATTTTACAAAATGTTTGTTTGTTAAAATTATATTTGCTTGTTTTCTTTATAATTTGAATAAAAATGTTAAATTAAAGGAGTTTTTAAAGCGTTTTTGATGGTGTTAAACAATGTGTGTAACATTGCCAAATGTTGTAGACTGATTCTTCATATTTTTTTTTAATGTAAGACAAAATTGCAAAATGTTCGTTTTATTGTGTCACATGCATCCATTAGTTAATAAATATATACCCCAATGTTACCCAGATTGATAAAAATAATACTTATTACTACATTTTTATGCTTGGCTCTGTGTGTGTCAAAGTTACCCATCTTAGGAGGGTAACTTTGACACACACAAAATTTAGATTTTATACTCTATTGGTATGTTTTATAAACTTTCTGTGGATGTCTAGAGACGGAAAGTAATACGAGAGCACTGATAAAATAAAAACACCCGAGTGATAGGTTTAATTTTTTTAAATATAGTATAAAATATCACCCTTATCTGTCAAAGTTACCCAGATAGACTGTAATGTTTAGTTTATAGAATTTCAATGATTTTGTTCATTTTTAAGCTGTTTGTAACTTATCTACAAAATTTGTTTTATAAGCTTATTACTTTCAAAGCATATCAACAATTAAACGATTTTAAATTTTAATACAATTGATATATCATGATAGCTTAAGTTACATTAACTAAACCTTTAAACTATATTGCCGTAAATGCCTGCAGTAATATCATTATAACGAGCCAATGCAAGCCGATCTGTCAACGATTATTGGGAGGAGCAACTAAATACACTTCCTCATCAAAATTAATATATAACACAACAAAAAAACAACCATTACATTTATTAAAATATTCACATAAGTAATTTTAAATATATTAATCAAAATGATTGTTAATTTTCAAATTAAAAACGATTTTAATACGTGCATGTATTGCAATTCGGTTTGGGTAACCATGGTAACGGGATTTGCGTGGGTCGGGGGGTGTTTTTCAGGGTCTGGGTCACGCCCCAGTAATGAGGGCGCAGGCGCTAATAGTCTCTGAAGCAGTACAGCTCAAAAGGCCTTCGAGTCTCCAAGTGGAAATTGTTGAAGACTCAGTTGAAATTAATATCGTCAAATTTTATTATGTTATGATTGGCAGTTACTGAACTAAAGTGAGTGATTTTATTGAAATTTTGTGAAGTGAAAATTTTATCACGTGGAGTTCTAAGGTAGGTCCGAATAAAAATTTTTCATTTTTATTTGTTTTTATAGGATTTAGAAAATTTAACGAAAAAATAGCTTTATGATTATAATAATATTATAAAATAGATTTTTATCTGAAACTAAAATACGTCGTTTTTAATTTTTTCATATTTTTATAATAATATTTTAAGTTTAAAATTGAAAATACATATTTGTAAAAAGAACTTAACCAAATTATTGAAAAAATTGAACAATTGTTATATACTGCTTTTAAATCAAAAATAATACATTATGAAAGTTTAAAAACAAAATTTAATGCATAAATTAATTGAAATGCAATTAATTATAAAATAATAAATACGGTATTTTAAAGAGTATCTTTATTATGAAAATTATATATTTTTACAATCATTCTAAGTTTAAAACTTTGATTTACATTTATTTTTACAACATATTTTACTAATTTCCTCTAAGGATGGGTATCGGAAATTTTCACGTGTATATATTTAAAATTAACATACGTATTTCGGATAACTAAACTTTTTTCGACGATGAAAATGTAAAAATAAAAAAAACAATTGAGTATTTCTCCGAAAAACATAGTTGCAGTTTAACTACTAGTTCCCTCATATCTTTTTTCATATTTATTTAATATTATACATACTCATTGCATATTATCAATACGTTTACGATACGCGGCACGTAAAATAGTTAATTGAATGTACAAACATTGAACATGAAAACCACACGACCAAATAATTTTGGAACATGACATCAGTCCGTTGCTATATTCGAAATAGAATTTAAAAAAAAAGAACTGTCAAAATATACTTGACGTATTTAATATAGATAACATATATTACACGCGGCTAGGATAGTAAAAGATTATACAAGCACAAGGTCGGTAGTTCGGTTTAGTGTTAAGTATTTTCGGGCCACGTGCTGGTTCATTGATGCGCTCCGTGAATGAGCCAGCAGTCGGTTGGAGCGCGCACGGCGCCGCGCACACCATGCGCCCGCGCACAATTAACTAACACACAACCTTGGCTGTTCCCATTCATTACCGTTCATATTTATAATTGGTGATACGTTACTCGAATTGTTTGTGATTAAAATTAATTGGACTATTTATTTTAGTTTGTGTTATATGCGACGGTGTCAATCCGTAAGTTTATATTGTATATTATAAATCTATATGATGGTGTGCTGTAAAAACTAATAACACGGTCTCTGTAGATCCTTTTATATTTACTGTTACATACCAAGAAAGAATATAGACAGGAAATTAAAGTAATGAGTTAGGTCGGCGAGGAGGCTAACAGTAGCCGGTCCCGTTGCGTGTCGCCGACACTCGACACTCGACACTCGACACTCGACACTCGACACTCGTACCATTCCACAGCAGGAAGTACACCTATCACGGTTATCGTACTAACAGCACAAGAACTCTTTATGATTGTACGAACAAAGCGCGTGCCAAATGCCGCCAACAAAAAAACACTCCACTCCACTGTTTCAATGATAAGATAACCTTCACAAAGGGCTACTAGACTTATCCGAGTTTTAAAAGCCAATGTGGCGAGGCTTTTAGAATATTACGAGTTATCGACGGCGCCAGACGAGTTTTTACAAAGAATTACACTTTAAAAAGGTTTAACGTAAAAATAACCGATATTGATTAGATAGTTTTTGTTACATAAGTCCTTAAATAAACAAAAAACATTACACAGAGTATAAGCGGCTCCGGACCGAATGAGACGGCTTAAAGGAAACAAAATTCGCCGAATGACAACTGAGTGTGCAATAACTAAGTCTTACTTACATATGATTTATAAATATTTCTGTCTCTGTAAATAATTAGAACAGACCATACATTTTTTGATTCTTTATATAACAAACGTTTGAAATCTTTTAAAATTATGTTATACTAGTTTTTCGCCCGCAGCTTCGCCCGCGTGGAGTTCGGTTATACCGCGTTTCCAATCGAACCTTTCAAAAGTCTAAGATAAAAACTATTCTATATTCTTTCTCAAGGTCAACTCCATATCTGTACCAAATTTCATTAAAATCAGTCCAGTGGTTTAGCCGTGAAAGCGTAACAAACAGACAGACAGAGTTACTTTCGCATATATAATATTAGTCGAAGTTAATGAAAAATATGTTTATTTATGCATTATTTGTTGTTCTATATCAGAATTAGTGAATGAACGAGTCTAGGAATGAGGATATCGTCCATATATCTGTGAGCGACGGGAATGCGACCTCGCTAGATAAATCTATCAATGAGCGTGATAAGGGGGCATATCACACACGGGAAGTGCCCCGACTTCGCTCGCAATATTCACACTATATTTAAGCAGATACCTAGTATAATGTAGGGCAGTCAGAGTTTATAGAACGATTTTTTTCATGAGAATAGTTATTAGATGCGGTAATTGAAAGAATTAAACAATAATATTGGAATATAATGTCGGTAATATGAGCAAAATTTAACTTATTTGTATAATTTAGTAGTTTTTTTATTTTAAAAAACATTTTGTATCTCGTCTGCCCGTGATCACGATTGCTGGAAAGTAACTAAAACATCGGAAGTACATATGTTGTTTAAAATAATAAATAAAGGCGAAAATATAAGTGTTATTTTGAGGAATACCGGTAAAAGTAATTTTTCATAGAATTTTATTACATTAAGACAAAAAAATAATTAAACTTTTTGACTATTTATTTGTATTGTGATATAGATTATAGGTAGTACTTATTTGTAGTACTGTGATATCCAAGTAATAAACATGAAATATTCGAATGTGGAAAGAAATAATCTAAAAATATTTGTTTTTTATTGTATGATAAAAAAAATCACCATCTTCCTAAACTTGTAACTCTTTTAACAGTTGTAAAACGAGCTTTGGTGAAGGTTTGGGGAGAATTTAAAATAGTTTTCAATAACTATTTCAGTGAAATATCTATGCACAGAAATAAAGGAAATTAATTGTTTCTGAAATTGTACATTGCTTACACTTTTATTTGATGAAATAATAATGTAATTGATCTTTTTAATTTATTAAATTAATTCCAAATAATTAAAAATTCTCTTTATTCGCTTCTGAACATACGTCCATAAGATTTTTCTTTGTAATGCACGTTGCATTTTTGAGGTTTCTACGACCAAAACCAAAGTTTCCATAGAAACGTTTGTATATATTTAAAATGTGCATATTAGTTATTAAATAACTTTATATATATTTGTCAAACGTGAGTTATGAAAACTTTATATTGAAATATCAAAGCCAAGCTCAGTTCAAATGAGAAGCTGAAAGTCAAGCGAAGCCACACACTGTTCATACATTATTTCAGATGTTATTTCCTTTTCATAATAATAGTCTTTATATAAAAGAAAGTCGTGTTAGTTACACTATTTATAACTCAAGAACGGTTGTACGGGTTTGGCTGAAAATTGGTTGAAAGATAGACTGAACAAAATAAGGACAAGTTGATCAAATACAAAATCTCCTTATCATATAAGGAGGAACAGGGTTCGCGTTGTCAGCAATACTTCTAATTCTGAAACTAACGAAGAGAAAGTCGCGGGAAAAAACTAGGAGACATTAAATAATAATAAACAATATTTATATACAGGGTGACTGGTGAATTACTATCAATATTTAAGGAGCATACTCGGTACATGATTTTCATTCGAATTATGTAAAAAATAGGTACTTAATTTTTGACCAAATTTCCGTATAAATAAATAAAGTGTGTACACGTTCCAAGTGTTCCAAGTGTGGACGCGTGCGGCGGCGTGCTGGTACAACACCACGCCGCGCGCGCGCGTGTGTGTGTGTGTGTATACCTAATTTGTAGGGTGTTCATACGATGCGTAATTAATTACATAACTTTTGGTTAACTTTACTTAGAAGTTTATTAATATTTATGTTATATTGATTTTTATTTTGTCATATATGATCGTCAAATATCACGTCCTCAAATATCGATAGTAATTCACCAGTCACCCTGTATAAAGCATTGAAAACACACTGTATAGATTTTTTTGGATATTTTACTGATATCTTTCTTATATATATATAGGGTGTATATAATTAGCGTCAATGTTCTCCAACTATCACGTCCGGAATCCCTAGTTTGGCATCGGAGTTGCGTTCACGATTAGAATAAATGTTTATCATATTATATGCTAATGACAACATATTGTAATTGTAAGCTTCAAGCCGCGACCACGTACTATCATTTACTTCAACAAAAACCTATACTATAATAAAAGGTATCGACTATCGAGAATTATACAATTTCTGATTATTGACATTCTTCTTCTACCTGGCAATTCCCCAGCTTTAGTCAGGGTCTGCCTTACATGTTGTGAATAGTTTTGGCTACCTAATTGTTTTTACGACCGTCCGCCTGCCTGACATCAACCCTCTTTGGGAATTTCTGATTATTGTCATTGACCTAATCTAAAAAAAATCTAGTTTTTTTTGATACATTTTCTAAACCAATAATGCATGAGACGAACTTTATTTAGGACTCGCATAGAAACGAAAATTATTTGTGAATATACAAATGAGAATTCTGTTGTAATTGAATTTTTCATAGTGTCATATTGAAAATATATTAAACTAGCTTTCCGCCCGCAGCTTCGCTCGCGTGGAGTTCGGTTATATCGCGTTTCCAAGAGAACCTTTCAAAAGTCTGGCATAAAAACTATCCTATATTCTTTCTCAAGGTCAACTCTATATCTGTACCAAATTTCATTAAAATCAGTTCAGTGGTTTAGACGTGAAAGCGTAACAGATAGACAGACGGACAGAGTTACTTTCGCATTTATAATATTAGTAGGGATGACAGTGAATGTACATAATTTCGTGCGACCATTAATTTATCTCGAGGTCCGTACAAATTTGGTAACAGGTAAATTTGGTAACAGGTAAATTTGGTAACAGGTAAATTTGGTAACAGGTAAATTCTGTTTCGCGATGGTCAGGGCGTCACTGAAATTGTAATTCGACGTAGGATGTTTGTGGGACGCCTAACCTACTTGTGACGATCGATGGCTTGATGTTATCACAAACAAATCCATGTGGAATATCCCGATATAACTTGCGATATATCCGACGATATATCCGAGGATATATCCAGAGATATACGATAACTTATGCTCAACAGAATCTTTCACAACTTAAATCCTTGACGTAATTTGTTTAATCTATTCAAACCACTGATAATTTGAAATTTGATTAAACATTCGCATCTAATACTGAAGAAATCTGATTAGGATTTGAATGTCTTCTTCGTTTACCTGGCAATTTCCCAGCTTTAGCCAGGACCTTACATGTTGTGAATAGTTTTGGCTAATTGTTTTTACGACGGCCGCCTGCCTGACAACAACCCTCTTTGGGAATGCATTAATCAGTGATGTCTAAATACTATTAGAAAGTATCACTCGGAAAAATCACTAGGATTTCCTAGTCCTTTGAAATCCTTTGAATGTATGTTATGCAAATATTTTTTATTTTCCTATGCATTAATAATCTAAGTTATAGATTTATAATCAACTAGTGGGGGGCAGCTAATGTTTATTCAAAGTGAAGTCTTTTTTATCCCTAAAACGTAACCTTCCCAAATCTCATATTATTATTGATTGTTTTATATCATACGCAGCAAGAATTTTGAATCTTTCGTAAGGTTCAATAAAATTAATTCCGAGAAACGCTTGGGAAAATGAACGTCGTGTTGAGTAACTTGGTATAATACATATGGTATAATGCAACAAGTTGTATAGCAATACATATAATTGTTACTAAGATAACTTGTATATATAATTAGTATATTAAATAAAAATACATATATATCTACTCGGTTTGTATTAATCTGTGTTTTAATATATTTTATTAACATTAAGTCTTCGTAAGGGCGCCGAAATGCTCACATGATTTCAACGCCTTTTAAAGATACAATCGACTTTCGCGTCCAATAAGGTGCAAGCCAAATCCAAGTGTTGCATAATGTGATCCGCTTTCCACCTACCCACGTGTTCTTTGAATGGTGGGTGAACAATTTAGTACCTGAAGCCTTTGCGAAATTATCGTGTAGGTGCAATTTGAATTTGATTTGATACAAATTGCAAAATAAGGATTAAAATTTTATATAGTTGCATAAAATTTTAGCGTCTCATTATTTGTAAGTGATAATTTTTTGAGTTTTGTTTATTTTCATTTTTGAAGTTGACAATGTCTGTCAAAAGAAATGTTATTAAAGTGGACTTATACAAGTAAAATGTTTGAAATATCTCATTTAATAAGTAAAAATAAAATGTAACAATATGACATTTTTTTTATTCTTATTAAAAATTTATATTCTAAATAAAAAAAACATCGATATTTTCACTATATTCCAAATTTCTAGTGCGAATGAAACCGTATTAAAAAAAAAATTATTGGTTCGTTTATGTCGGTTTGACAGAAGACAATGACAACAGATAAATTATGACAGCTGTTGTGTTTCAAGAATCTATTGTTCGATTTGACTTTTTTACGTTGAAAAATTATTAAAAATGATTCCC